CTACAAATTAAAGGAATTCAAGGCAAGAGGAATCTTGCAGGCAACAGTGAGCAGTAAATTCAAGTTTATGCTCTGTGACAGTAATGGAGTACAACTTGACGCCAGGAAAATCTGGGTCGGACTCAAGAACCATTATGTTGACTACTGTGAAAGATCGCTGACGCGATCAGAGGAAGCCATGGCAAATCTGCAGTACGATCCCAGGAAGGGAGTCGAGGAACTGTACAACACTATGACGAGTCTACGTCATAAGATTGCAGCGGCAAATATATTTTGGGGTGAGAAAGTGTTTGCATCAAGGGTGATGGCAAAACTTGTTTCCAAGAGCAGAGAATGGCGCTACTTTGAAGGACATACAGTGCGATGGACCGACGAAATGCTAAGCCCCAACAAATTCCTGTCGGAACTCATCGAAGAGGAAATTAAACTCATCAACATGGGTGCACTACCGAGGCACGGTGTAGATGACACCATATACGAGGCGAACTATGCGTCTAGAAATCATAGGAACCTACGGAAAGGTTCAACATCACATGGGCCAAATGCACACGGCGCAAAGCAAGGCAACTCTAGTCGGGATGACTATTTTGCAGCAAACCATGAGATGGATACTTATTATCGTAGAGAGCAGGGACGTCGACCCTATGAACAAAGAAACGACGATCAAGACAGAATGCCCGCATGCCATAATTGTGGTAATATAGGCCACTATGCAAAGGACTGTCGACCAGCTCCAAGGAACGGCAATTACCGACAATCGTCACCAAAATTCTTCTCCAAAGGGCCACGATCAAACAACCAAGACCGATCAAGAAATAATCAATCGGCAGACGGAATGTTTGTAGCAATGGACAACAAGAAAAGGGACATTGTAATTGACGAGGCATGTAGCTCCATCGATAGGAGTGATATGTTCATATTGGACTCGGAGCCTCCAGCCATATGGTATGCCGACCTGAATGGGTGTATGATTTTGTACCGTGCAGCAACCGACAGGTCAAGGCATCAGGACAAGACATGCACAATGTCATCGGTACTGGAACAGTGGAAATCCTGTGCAATGTAGGTCACAGGACTGTTTCCATTCAACTGGGTAATGTTCTAGTGGTGCCAACTTTCGGAGTCAACCTTATCTCTGAAAATATACTCGAAGACAAAGGATGTCAGATCAGTATTTTCAAAAAGGTCAGGACGATAAGAAAGTCGAATGGCGAAGTTATCATGACTACCCGTAGAGACGGAGGCGTAAACGCAGTAAACTGCGAGGCTATAATATCTGATGAGGAACGTGCAATGGCTCATAATACAGTAATTGCAACAGCTAATCACGCGTCAGAAGTATTTAGAAAGCCCACAGACACTGCTGGCTGGCATAAAAGACTGGGGCATATAAATGTCGAATCGATCAAGAACTTGGCCGACAAATCGGAAGGTCTTGATATTATACCGGGAAAGACCAAAGAGAGGTCTCAGTGCGTGGCATGTATCAAAGGCAAGGCCGTTCGACACCCGTTCCCGAAAACAAGTACACATGTGGCAACTCAAGTCAATGTGTTACTACACATGGATCTAGAAGGGCCGTTTCATGACACGGCTCTAGGTGGATACAAGTATTACCTGATCATAGTAGATGATTACTCAAGGTATTCCCACCTGTATCCAATGATCTCAAAAGATCAAACGTTCCAGCGGTTCAAGGAACATGTTGCCGCTGTCGAATTAAGTAAAGGCTTACCGGTTCGAGCGATCCGAACCGATAATGGAGGGGAGTTTACCTCCAGTGCGTTCCAACAGTTCCTGAAGCTTAAAGGAATTGCAGTACAAAGGACGACGCCTTACACTCCACAGCAAAATGGAGTTGCCGAACGCAAGAATCGGACAATCGTCAGCGCTGTACGCGCTATGTTTGCCGGTTGCAAGCTTGGTCGAGAATTCTGGGCAGAGGCAGCGATGACTGCAGTGTATCTACAGAATCGGTCTCCTAACAAGGCGCTAGGCCAAAGAACGCCATACGAGCTATGGACAGGAGAGCTGCCAAAGGTGATGCATCTCAGGACGTTCGGATATGCAGCGTATGCACTCAGACCAAAGCAATTGCTGGAAAAATTGGACACACGCACTAGAAGGTGTGTATTTATAGGTTATCACTCACAGGCCAAGGCATACAAGCTGTTTGACCTTGAAGGCAAGAAAATGATAACAAGCAGGGATGTAGACTTTGCTGAAGAGGAGTTTCCTTGACTCTCTAATCCCGCTCGTCGAAACAATGCCGTACAAGTAATGACACTGTACGATGAGGCTCCATTATTTACTCATAGCTACAATCTAGGTGGTGTTACACCGTCTGTACCTATTGCGATAGATAATGTGGTAAGTCCAAAAACATCAGAAACTCCAGGGAATCCAGATTGTGCGAGTACGCCAATTGGAGGGGAGTCAGAACCAGGTCGCCGACAAGTACCAAGAGTAGTACCGACTGCAAGGAATACAGCGAGGATGACTGTAGCAGATCGCGGGACCGAGGTCACAACAAGCGATGAACGCATAACTCAGGAGGAGTTATTAGGGCGTGGCATCAGCAGGAATAAGGCTATAAAGACATCGCTAAATGAGTCGAGTCTAGCCGGTTATAGGAAACCGAACCAGAAACCGAGATCGAAATCTCAAGGTTCGAGGAAAGCAGTTCAGGAACGTCCAGTTGACGTTATGAACAGGGACAGAGCCACGATGGCTGCTCCCACAGAATCGACGGTCACGGCTGATTATCCAGGAGCGATATCAGAGGTTGATGACGCGTCTGAGCCGAGCATACAGGCTGCGGTGGAACAAAGAATGGTTGAGGATTTGCCAACCAATACAAGTCAAGACGACAGTGATCTGGAAGAGTCAGATCAATACTACTCGTACACTCACGGGAGTGGTACCAGTAATGCCGATGAGTCGAATAACACAGTGGCAGTTATATCGGACGGATCATCGAGGAACATTGTGCCAGAAACGTGGCAACAGGCTATAGTTTCGAGTGATGCAGATCTATGGAATGCAGTCAAACTCGTGCTACACTACGTGCAAGGAACGTTAAGTTACGCACTAGAACTAGGAGGAACCAAAATAGTGGATTGTGTTTATTGATAAGAGAACCTTGTCTCTTATAGAAAGAAGAAGTAGTGAATTAGTGACGGTATAAGCGTCACTCCTAAGCTTCACCATTAAGGGTTCCCAAGCGTTACAGTCTTTGTATAAAGTGAGGCAATGGTCATCACCATATCTAATCATTGTATAGCTTACTTGTTTATACAATGCTTGTTACTATAGACTGCATCCTGACTGTCTGGGTCCTATTACAAATGTCATACATTACCAATGTCTAATTCATTATCCAATCTTGTCTGGCATTATTATTGGCTTTAATCACGTTTGGTTTGTACAACTGCCATGATTTGTACTACCATTATCATTGTGTATTTGAACACCAAATATTACAATACATCAATAATACCACAGTGTAAACAGTAATACAGTTGATCAGTATTGTGGCAAGACTTTTCATTCAAGTTTGTATTTGGAAATACTCGATGGTTTAATCACCACACACTATTTGTAATGCGATTGTCATTGATCTCATTTCATTCCAGTCCAGTCCATCTGATTTATGATGATGTTTAGTAATCCATTACCATGTGTTGTAGTAAACTAGTTTGTTTATTGAACCAAATCCACAACAATCACATTCAGAATATTGTTCTAAAATAGCAATCAACGCATCAGCATTCACGTTGCATTCAATAATGAATGTAACCAAGACTGGTACCATCCTATGTTTCATCATTTCATTGGTGGTATAATCTACAGTATTTCCAAGCGTGATTGAGTTTTCAATGTATTTGCATCAAGAATTAATCACCTCGATTCAATAAATATGCAGTCTATTGCAACATAACAGGGCCCTAGATATAATGGCATCCAATGATCATTGTTTCTCATTAATGAGTGTATCAATTGTTCGTAAATATTGCATTTTGATGGTTGCTTGTTTAGCACCATCCAGATCCGACTGTCTGAAACATGCTGCAATCGACTTTTCTGCCTTTTGGATTTCCACTTGATACAATCACAATCATAGTGTCAGTACTATGTGGTCCAGTGTTACATGTGACTATCATCATTACCTTGATTGTCCGATTTGATCTGATTGATTACTTGCACATCATTTTCTGCAGATTCGATACTTTCTTGAATGTCCATAATCTGAGCCAGGAACTGTGGCTCATTGATCGATGTTGATTCACTAATGCCAACACCATACATGTCGAGCTATATTGTCATTACATTTGTATTATTACAACTGTGTTTTTCGACAATATGATTACTGCAATCCACTCAATGGTTTCATTACATGGCAAACCTTTTCAACAATAATCACTGTATTTCAAACACGCTTACCATATACTGTGCACGAGTGAGCGGATCTCGCAATGTCTGATATGCCTTGTTGACCAACGTTGACTGTTCTTCAGACAGCAATCGTTCTTGCTATATATTGTATGCAGCAACCATGTAAAAATCGTTCAACAATCATGTAACAATCATGTAACAATCATGTAACGACCGTGTAACCATTTACATCAATACAATCCATATACATCGACACTCATCCATATCAACACTCACATTAGACTTTGTCGTGAAATTGTCTGGATGCAACATCTGTTGCAATCCTCTGTATCGTCGTTTCAGATCCGCCAGATCCACCTGGAATGCATTGTGCAGTAACTCGTCATTCAACTGTGAATACTTTTCTGGCATCAATAATGCAAAATGGTTAGGTGGAGGTCGCTGCAATGGCTGAAGCACTGCACACTGAGTGTTTTTACAAAACAGTCGAGAAGGAATCTGAAGTTGCTGTGAATTGTCTACCAACGAAGGTGGTTCATAGTGATGACATTTCCAGCAATGTGTTCCTGGCAGTTCGGGTTGAATACTGTCGTCTATATTGTCCGGAAGTGGAGTAATCGTCTGTACAGTTGGTTTTCGTTGATGGTTTATAGTGTTTGGTTTGGATGCAATCGAGTGTTTTTGGAATGATTGCAATGCAGTATGTATAGTTGATGTAGTGTTTCTACTGTAAAGTGTTGTCCTGATCATGTTCATCCTATTGATCATGATTGTCCATCGTCTTGCATTCATTCTACTCGGTGCACTTGATTGGCAACTTTCAATAGTTTCAATTTACTGCAAATTGCTAAACATTATTTTTACACAAAAATCTAATATTGTCGATATGAACAATATGAACAATATTGTCATCAAATGAATCGACTGTCATGTTTTGTGTATCAAGTTTTAAAGCAACTTGACATGATTGGACAAGGTTTTGACAAGGTTTTGATTACAGTTTGACTACAATTTTTGATTACAGTTTGACTACAATTTTGATTACAGTTTGATATCGATTGTGGTTCAGATTGTGTTAAACTGGTCGAGTAACAATCGAGTTTGTAAACCAAACGACCATTTAAAGCGTGATCAAACCTATTAAAGACTCGAGTGTTTGTGTTGTCAAAAAACTCAAACAGGTTGATAATATTTAATACAATAATGATGGCTGATTGTTGGGTGACAACATAAAACAAGTCATGATCGCATCATACTTGTCAAAATCCAAGTTTTATTATTGAAAGCAATTGTTCAATAACTGAATAAAAAAATCTTGAATTCATTGCGAAATCACTGTAAAATCCAACCAATAGCACGTGGTCGATTTATCTTTTTGCCATCGATTTCAACTTTTGCATTATACCAGATTAGTGTACAACTGTACTAAATACAAGGATATTTTTATTAAACAGTAAATTTAAACACATTTTATTGAGTTTTGAAAGCGAATGTATGATAGATGATTGATACTAATGTGTATATTTGAGAATAGAAATCAAGAGATGAGCGGACTACCTCGACAAGTGATAAAATGGCTTCAAAGTCTCGATCTATCTTTTCCTATTCGAATTCCAAAACGGTACATTATAATTGATAGGATTGTGTTACTTTGTATTGCTGTACAACATACACATATTTTATGTGAAATAACGCGAATGTGGCATCGTGTATATAAATGAATTAGTGATTTTGCGAATGGGTATCTTATTGCAGAGATATTTTCCCGATATTATCCCAATGAGTTGCAAGTATGGCTGCTGTATACTGGTGACTCGACACCACAAAAGGCCAATAACTGGGTATGCAAGTATTGCTTGTGATTTGAGCCAATAGTACTGAATTGATTTAACACCAACTATTTATACAGGATGTTATTGGGAAATGTATGTATTATTCTTGGATTTGTATTAGATTTGAGCAGTATTTTCAACTCATCACAAGTTCAGTTTTTAAACGAAACAATATTAATATACCTAAAGAAGCAATGGAAGCAGTGATGCATTGTCATGCAGACGCGGCCATTCGATTTGTTGAAAACTTGTACATGCTTCTTACAAAGAACAGGTACTATTCTAGATTTTCAAACAATATGATGAATGTATCAGACAAAAAAGTATACCCAAGTCTCGATAGTTAAACCTGTACAAGTTTACCTGAGCGATCGATAATACAGGATCAAGAAGAGATAGTCCCACACTTTGCACTTCCAACCAGTGCCAATGCAATACGATGCATGGCAGAGTCTCCTGACAAGGCCAGAATTGTGTTGGAAGCACACAAAGAGTTTATTAAGCAACTGCGAGGTATGCAAAAACATTGTGATTCATTTATTAAAGTATGATGCTCATGCAAGGTGTAGTGCAGCGTGGACCGGAGATACAAGAGATTATCAAGAAAAGCAGACATGCAACTATGGATAGAAACAAAGCAGATTGCAAGCAGATAATCAAGACGAGCAAGAAAGTTTATTCATAAAGCTTAAGCAAAGCAGCCATGTGAAGTAACTCATGGTTATCATCCACTACGATCAATGCAACAGTTGATTTTATAAGAATGAATTAGACTTTATGTGCCAAGTGTCGATCAGTTAAGCATTGCTGATCAGTGAATTGCTTAGGTTTGAGTGCTTCTATTTCACACTTGATCCAATATACCGCTTGAATTTTACAATGGCATCCAGTGTGATGATGAGTACTGGATCTGTGAGTGATCCTACTGACATTCAAAAGCCCAAGGGAAGAATCATTGTTGCTACCCATCATCTGCCTTGGATTATATGTCGTTCAGGGAATTCATTGCCTTCCAATGGCATTAACCCTGGCACTGGAAAATCCAATCATGTTCATCATTCGAGAGGTTTGAGCATTGATAGTGTTGCGACATCAAGCAGCAGTGACAGTGGATACGGATTAAAGTCTTCTTTATCTACTGCAAACTCGGACTTCATTGGGCCTGGTCTGACTTATAATACTATTGATAGTGTAAAAAATATCACTAGTGAATTGAATGCACCGACTGAGCCTGTTGATCAGGAGTCTCTGTTGAAACCAAAAGCATTCAACTCTGAATGGACTCTCAAGTCTAGACCTGGTCACTCTGCTCTGTTTTCTGGAGTGCATTCTCTCTCAGAGTCGGGTGCGAATCAAGTGGTGCATGTTGGCTGGCTAGGACATGTCCCACCATCGCAATCCACCTCGAATGCCAATCCTGATCCAGTAACACTGTCACTGACTCCACAAACTCCTGAAGAGACAGTGCAGCAAGCAAAGCAGATGCTATGGTCTTTACAAAGCTGTGTTCCTGTTTTGTTGGATGATAATGTGGCTACCAATCACTACAAGGGTTATTGCAAGTTGGGTAAGTGTGGTGTGGTTGGTATTTAAGCTTTTGACTAGGTTTGGAATACTATTGACACTGCAATTTAAACCTTAGATCTCTGGCCATTGTTTCATTATATTCCTTGGGACGATACAAAAAGTACAAGAGAAGGTACTCGCAGCTGGCCTGATTATGTCACTGTGAATGAGCAATTTGCAGAAACTATTATTCAGATTTATCAGCCAGGAGATATCAGTAAGTTGTAATGTGAATGAGTTGCTTAATATGAATTGCTTTTGACTTTGAAATCATTCTATATAGTTTGGGTTCATGACTACCATTTGCTGCTGGTTCCATCGATGATCCGCAAGGCTTTACCAACTGCTATCATTGGGTTTTTTTTGCATACACCTTTTCCCTCGTCTGAAATATTCAGGAGTCTGCCACGTAGGTGTTTTTTATATCGATGCAATGTTTGAGATAAAATCTGATTTATATGGTTGATTGCTATGCTAGGACGAAAGGAAATTCTTTCTGGCCTGCTTGGATCTAATTTAATTGGTTTCCAGACTTATGCACATGCCAGACACTTTAATAGCAGCTGTATTCGTGTTTTAGGCTGCGAATCCTCTCCCACTGGTGTAGAGTTTCATGGATTCACGGTTTCAATTGGAATCTTTCCTATTGGCATCGATGTTCAAAGAGTTCAAGCACTTTGTCGCAAGGATTCTGTCTCGCAAAAAGCCAAATCCATTCGTGACTTATTTCCTGGAAAACGCATCATCATGGGTCGTGACAAGTTTGACCACATCAAAGGCATACTTCACAAACTACACTCGTTTGAAAAGTTTCTTCAATTATTCCCCGAATGGCATAACAAGGTCACATTGATTCAAATTACCAGTCCACCTCATCGGTCTTCCCCAAGTTTTGCATCCAAGATCTCGGAAACTATTTCAAGGATCAATGGCACATATGGGTCATTGGAGTACGCTCCTGTCCATCATTATCACCAAATTTTGGATGAGGATGAATATTACGCTTTGTTGAATATTGCTGATATGTCTTTGATTACGAGTTTAAGAGATGGTATGAATACCAGCTCACATGAATTTGTCGTGTGTCAGCATGAGCAAAAAGCCCCTTTGATTTTGAGCGAGTTTACTGGTACTGCTGGATCCATGAGTGGAGCCTATCTGGTGAATCCATGGGACCACTTGGGTGTTGCAAATGCAATCAACGATGCCTTGCTATTGTCAATAGAAGATCGGGCCATCAAACACAAGGTGTGTGATTCATTCGTCCTATTTACAAAATTAATCTACTATATCATTCTAAACTCATTTCAATCTTTTTACGTTTTGCAGCAACTCTATGATCATGTTACACGACATACGGCACAGTTTTGGGCAAGTAGTTTTATCAAGGAACTCTGTAGTATTTCACAAGGCACCACGCAACAAACACCAACGCCTATAGTTGATACACCACGCATCATCAACAGTTACACCCATGCTCAACGCCGGTTACTCATGTTTGATTATGATGGTACATTAACTCCAATCAAAAAAGTTCCAAATGCGGCACTACCTCCACCCGACATGCTTAAAGCAATGCAGATTCTTGTCCAGGATCCTAAAAATGTCGTTTTTGTGATTTCTGGTCGAGATCAAGCTTGTTTGGATACATGGTTAGGTCATATTGACAATTTGGGTCTTAGTGCCGAGCATGGTTCATTCATCAAATATCCAGGTGGAAAGTGGATCAATTTAGCAACAGAAATTGATTTAAATTGGAAAGCACCTGTGGCAGAGATTTTCAACTTTTTCACTGAACGAACTCTGGGATCATTTGTGGAGCATAAACGATACGCTATAACATGGCATTATAGATTGGCAGATCCGGACTACGGTACTTTTCAAGCCAAAGAATGTCAAATGCATCTTGAAAATGCCATTTTATCCAAACTTCCTGTTGAAATCCTTCTTGGAAAGAAAAATCTTGAAGTGCGACCCATATCCATGAACAAAGGAGAGATTGTCAAACGATTGGTACAGCAGCAATTGCAGAATCAGCCTCCATGCGATTTTGTATACTGTGTTGGAGACGATCGTACCGACGAAGATATGTTCAAGGCATTAAAGAAGAGCGAGTTGAATGAGGATACTTACTTTACCTGTACAATTGGTTCTGCTACAAAGCACACTCATGCTCAGTGGCATGTGAATGCACCACAAGATGTGATTGATTTGATTGGAACCATGGCAGATGTAAGCCTTAAAAACTGATGCTCAAGAATTTCCTGATTGGCTTTAAATACATTTTGAACTACCCGCTATTTTATTTTTATGTGTTTGAATAATTCAGTATATAGAAACTGATATGAATATATTGCAACTTGAGGTCAAGATATCCAAGTGTATGAGAACGAATCCATTAGTTGGATTGTAGGATGCTTTTGTCTAGTCTATTACTTGGTTTAAATGTTCAAGTCAAATTACAGTGATTTTGCAATGAATTCAAGATTTCTTTATTCAGTTATTGAACAATTGCTTTCAATAATAAAACTTGGATTTTGACAAGTATGATGCGATCATGGCTTGTTTTATGTTGTCACCCAACAATCAGCCATCATTATTGTATTAAATATTATCAACCTGTTTGAGTTTTTTGACAACACAAACACTCGAGTCTTTAATAGGTTTGATCACGCTTTAAATGGTCGTTTGGTTTACAAACTCGATTGTTACTCGACCAGTTTAACACAATCTGAACCACAATCGATATCAAACTGTAATCAAAATTGTAGTCAAACTGTAATCAAAACCTTGTCAAAACCTTGTCCAATCATGTCAAGTTGCTTTAAAACTTGATACACAAGACATGACAGTCGATTCATTTGATGACAATATTGTTCATATTGTTCATATTGTTCATATTGTTCATATCGACAATATTAGATTTTTGTGTAAAAATAATGTTTAGCAATTTGCAGTAAATTGAAACTATTGAAAGTTGCCAATCAAGTGCACCGAGTAGAATGAATGCAAGACGATGGACAATCATGATCAATAGGATGAACATGATCAGGACAACACTTTACAGTAGAAACACTACATCAACTATACATACTGCATTGCAATCATTCCAAAAACACTCGATTGCATCCAAACCAAACACTATAAACCATCAACGAAAACCAACTGTACAGACAATTGCTCCACTTCCGGACAATATAGACGACAGCATTCAACCCGAACTGCCAGGAACACATTGCTGGAAATGTCATCACTATGAACCACCTTCGTTGGTAGACAATTCACAGCAACTTCAGATTCCTTCTCGACTGTTTTGTAAAAACACTCAGTGTGCAGTGCTTCAGCCATTGCAGCGACCTCCACCTAACCATTTTGCATTATTGATGCCAGAAAAGTATTCACAGTTGAATGACGAGTTACTGCACAATGCATTCCAGGTGGATCTGGCGGATCTGAAACGACGATACAGAGGATTGCAACAGATGTTGCATCCAGACAATTTCACGACAAAGTCTAATGTGAGTGTTGATATGGATGAGTGTCGATGTATATGGATTGTATTGATGTAAATGGTTACACGGTCGTTACATGATTGTTACATGATTGTTACATGATTGTTGAACGATTTTTACATGGTTGCTGCATACAATATATAGCAAGAACGATTGCTGTCTGAAGAACAGTCAACGTTGGTCAACAAGGCATATCAGACATTACGAGATCCGCTCACTCGTGCACAGTATATGGTAAGCGTGTTTGAAATACAGTGATTATTGTTGAAAAGGTTTGCCATGTAATGAAACCATTGAATGGATTGCAGTAATCATATTGTCGAAAAACACAGTTGTAATAATACAAATGTAATGACAATGTAATGACAATGTAATAACAATGTAATGACAATATAGCTCGACATGTATGGTGTTGGAATTAGTGAATCAACATCGATCAATGAGCCACAGTTCCTGGCTCAGATTATGGACATTCAAGAAAGTATCGAATCTGCAGAAAATGATGTGCAAGTAATCAATCAGATCAAATCGGACAATCAAGGTAATGATGATAGTCACATATAACACTGGACCACATAGTACTGACACTACGATTGTGATTGTATCAAGTGGAAATCCAAAAGGCAGAAAAGTCGATTGCAGCATGTTTCAGACAGTCGGATCTGGATGGTGCTAAACAAGCAACCATCAAAATGCAATATTTACGAACAATTGATACACTCATTAATGAGAAACAATAAACCATATTTCATCAACGCGTCAGTTTATTTAAAACCATTTCTGGATAGGTCTGAAAAGTAGACTGCTTGCTCTTGTTAGTACTCATATGATCAATGTATGGAATATATTTATCTTTAAGCCACATAGTGATACAATTGTCTGACATATCAGCAAAAAATAGTTAGTATTTAAATCACAATCAACTTTGTTATCCAATGTTTAGTAAAGATCAATCACTCACCGGTTCTCCGTATCTCGTTCAAGATATTCTCGTTCAAATAACTCCTCGATCCGGGTTTTGATAACTAAAGGATCAGGAGAAAACCGCAAACTTAATTGCGAAATCACCATAGCTACAAGTTCATTGTGACGCATTGATTTTCTTGATTTCATAACACGAACAATACATGCTTCGATTTGATGTTTTCGGTCTTGAGCTACTTGCTCCATTGTCTTGACCCGTTCAAACTCTGTCTCGACTGAGTTGGCTGCCGTGCTTGAAGTCGCCAAAGAAGTTGGATCCAATCCTGTATGGGTGGTAGATCCCGCAACAGTAGATGCAGCAACAGTTTGAATCTTGATTTTACTCAATGGGGATGTAAAGGCAGCATTCACTACAAACGTATCATCAAGCCCGATGCTTTTTGTTTTGGTTGATTTAAGCAAAATACGATACTTGCCCAGTGACAGACTTTGCAAGGTACGTGCTAAATCACCACTAGGGATCTCTGTTTCATTCATGATACGTTGATAGCCAATAGGTTCGTTCACTTCCAAGCTATTAAACAATGTCAGAAGAATAACCATGGCATAGGTACTGACATTCAACTCTTTTTTGCATGTAGTGAATTGAGCTTTGAGATCTGCTGTACCCATGTGTTTGAGCCATGTAAGCTGACGACCAGAGTGGAGAGTCATGTAATATTTTTGAAAATGATCAACCGTGATGGCAAGGCTGGGCGGGAGATAACATGCCATCATGGCTGGAGGTACTGTCACGGGCCAAAACGTATTCGTCAAAACATAGATGGACAGATCGGGAGTCTTGGTTTCACAGACGGAGACTGAAGCCATATAATCTTTAAACCCGTGTGTCAAATCATTGGATACATGCATATCCTTAAACATCCCTTCTAGCTTGGATATAAACTGATGTCCACATTCCACCTTGAGTTTGCTGATCATGTTTTTCTCAGTATCGTGACTAACACTGCGACCGTAAAGAAGCCGTTTAGCAAGGTGTTGGTTGTAGTAGCGCTCAAACACATCTTTTTCGCGAATGAAGCGGAAAAAACATACAGATTTTTCAAGAAACTTTTCAATCTCATCATCCAATTTCTATTATAAAAATTAAAAGTATATAGAGTAAGAGCCAGTTTAGTATTAAACTTGAAATAATGGCATAGATACATACCCCTTTGATTCCTTTGCGAAGATTTTCATCAATAAATAAACTGAGAAACTCGGGACATTTGATGTTGAGATTGATGCATGTTTCCAAAGAAGAGTTGATATCATTTTGAAATGTTTTATCTCGTGCAAAACAAGCATCAAGCATAGTATCATATTTATCTTTAAGAGAAATCATTGCTTCGACCCATAAAATAGGCGACAATGGGTTTGTTTCGGATGGCATGTTGGTATTTGATGGTCGGGAAGTATCTGTGGATAAGGGTAACAAGCCCCCACACGAATGGATCTGATTGATGGTGATACTGCTTTGCTTAATGATATTTGATAGTCCAAATCGCAGTTCAACATGGCCATTTGGAACACGACTGAATAGCGAGTAGATACGCTGCAAGTCCTCAAATCGATCATTGGCAACAATAGGTACCAATCCAGAATCCATCTACAAGTTTCAGACAAGGTAAATGAATGATTGAATGTAAATCGCATGTATGTATTCAGCATTGATTTAGTCAGTCATGCAAAATATACCTCGAGAATTGTTTTGATATTATTTTCCAACAGTTCTTTTTCAAAAATAGATTGGATTTTGGGTCGAGTAGATGCGTGAATATAATGCTTTGTTCTAATGTCCTCTTCGTTTAGTCGCTTTTCAACCTATCAATATATAGAAATACGTTGCGTACAAGTCAACTTGGAGGAAATCAATTTAAAGCAGCATACATTGTAATGAACAGAAACACACTCGCTTTAAAAATTGAATTGCATCGCATTCTTTGAGAAGCACCTCGCTTTCGCGCGAGTAAAATGTCTGGCTTGTTTGGAGAAAGGCACGCTCAAAATCAGCATGGTATACGGTAGCAATGGTACGACTCGATGATGCTAGCATAAATCAAATTATATGAATGAGATGAGCATTCAAGACATGTGTACATTTTGGAAACCTACTGGAACTAGCTGGAAGAGTCAATAGCATATCTATTATGTTTTTCAATAGCATCCGATCAATCATCTGACCATCACGTTCAAGCTGGATCTGGTACAACAATGTGGTAATGATATGCGATTTGACTTGGTATTGGACCGACTGCAATACAACATTACGAAAAGTTTCCAAACCCATTTCATATACAGTGGGTAAATTAGCCGACTTGACATATGTGCGATCCTAAAGAGATTGATTTGATTTGATCATACAAGAAAAAGTCAGTATTAGTATTTCAATAGTACACTATCATGACACTTACTAGATACATTAGAATATCTCGAATCATTCCAAGACAAACAATGTGATCGTCCCATAGAGATTTGACTTGATTCAAAAACACATGTGCTTTACTCTGAGATGGAGTTGCATTATGTGGAAACGCAGGAACAACGTTTTGCGCAACTGCCTTTTCCAGAAATTCAGATATGAGAGTCTGAGTGCCTTTATATAGACGTTCGCCTGCTTTTTGTAAACACATGCTGTAAGCATTCCTGTATTTGAATAAGAATGCATCAAGAATGCGTTAGAATTCAAGGTCTTGAACATGAATCAAGCAGCTAGAAAGGCAGATTGCATGTGTTGATAAAATCAGTCGTACCGATAAAGCTCTTCAAAACTAAGTTGAAGGGCATTTTTGCAGTATATCTGAGTGATGCCGTTGGAAAGAATCTTCCATTGCTCATCTGTATTGCGCTCTCGTGTCTGAAGAGTTCAAGATTAGATTGTTCCAGTAAAATAAATGACATTAGACAAGATGTGTATAAACCACTTACAGGACGAGCACCAATCTTGACAGAACGACTGCTGTTGAGATAAGAATGGCTCATAATGCTCGACTGGTAAACTGTAGAATCAAATAGTGGTCAAGAACTCGAGATTCAAGAGTCAAGGAAAATGATTCTTGTATTTGTAAAACCGATTCGTTGCAATTATTCACCAAATAGTTAACATTAAAATGCAGTTTCTTGATATTTATATTTCATTTCAGTTACTGAATCTTGAATTCATTCAGCCATTATACAGTTTAAATAAACTCGGTCATCAATTCAAGATGCATGTTCACCATCAACGTAAATAACAAATGTTTCTTGATGTTGCGATGCGTAGGGATGAATCGATACGTACCCTCTGCTAGTGCTGAGGATTGGCAATCCATCAAAACACGTGACTGATTATTCAAGTGAAATCTAGAATTGGTTGGCAACTCACTCGTCTGGAATTCAATGCGGAATGCAGAGGCGGATGCCTCGCGTATTCATCCTTCATCTGAACCACTGCTAGCAACTCCTCTACAAACTCCTCTCTCCGCAGCACAGTTTACTTCTTTAGAAATACAGAGACTCGAGCAGGTAATGATACGCTTTATCATAAATTCACTGGAGTTCATAGTTCATCTGACTATAAGCAACTCATCACAACCATCTGTCTTGGTATTAACTTTTTATCCCGACTACTGTGCCTTGACACTGCATGCATGTTAAACTCGCTTTCGAATGCATTCTCTTTGATCATTGACTCGTTTGCTTCGTTATGGGCGGAAATTCCATTGGTTTCATTACGTGACTGTTACACTACTCGATAATTGTTAGCTTCTGTCAAGACTTGATTCATTTATAAGCCCTACAGATACTCCATTCAAGAAACACATTCTTCCAAGTGGAATTCGGAGTCGGTTGTTTTCTGCACTGGTTCATGTGAGTTTGAATTGGGAATGGTCTGTCTTCTTGGCTCAACGTCACTTGAGGTGACCCCTGTCAAACAGCAGAAGCTGTATTCTTGGATTATCTGTGTAGTTTTCTTTTGTACTAGAATGGACACTGGATAATGGAGTCTACCTGTCGTTGGGGTTTGCGTCTAATAGCAGATTCTGTATTTAATTCAATGTCATTAGAAAGTCTAACTTTGTGTGTTGTAGGAATTTCCACAATGGCCTCATTCGAGAGCAAGCACTGAACAGTATGAAACCTTTTTTTGTAATCATTGTTGGGATAATTATTTGAATGTTTATTTAATGATTTTGACTGTTGTAATACCTCTTGTAGACGACTAGCATTGATGCATAGACACAATAATTCGGTACATACACATTCTTCTGGATCACCCACTTTGCATGCTACTGCTGGCGATGGAAAGAGAAAGTTGTCGTTTACTTTGGCAAACTCCTCATCTACGTGTCTTGCAGGATCGTCAAACTCGGGACTAAAATCTCCAGATGTATGCATGCTGTAATGGTCAAATTTGGAATCCTGACTCGTATTAAATATACTAACATTGATGTTCAACCTGTTTACTGTTAGCCATTCACATCTACCTTGCAAAACAGTCCATTCTTTTCACGATTACGAGCAGCCTTGAATGACTCTTCTGAGAATAATTTTCCGCTTCAACTCGAATCTCAGAGATCATTGCCTGTATCTTCACAACCCATACCTGCAGCCATATTTAAAACTGCATCTTCCTCATCATTACGGGACACAAACTCTATTCAACTTGATACACTTGAAACAAAACACTTGAAAACGTCTGTATCTCCGTCAAAAAGACCTGCACCCACCATTCATACTAGTACATCTATAATCTCATCGCCTCAACGAGAATCAAAACGAACCAAACAGAAATCACCGATTACTCCAACAGATTCAGATGATATCACGGCATCTGCTTTAGATACGACCACGCCATTATTTCAACAGGATTTGAAAACAAAGATATCGACTGAAACTGCATTTTTGCAGTGCTCTTTGGAAACAGATTTGACAGTAAATAATGGTACAGTGGACTCTACTTGTACTTTGAAAGAAATAGCTGAAAATAATGATTTGGATGGATCAGCAAAGCAAGACCATGGTGGAAATGACGAACCTGTATTACCTATATCTCAAAAGGCTGAAACTGTATCTACAGTAATGGATATACTTTTACCCAATAGTGAAGAGTCTATATTGCTACCAGAAGCTTTTGTTTGTCCACAACAGCAATTACGGTCTCGCGAAAGACGACAGGCTCGGAAGAATACGTTTACTTCAAGTCGTGGAGTAGATACCCCCGCATCGAGAAACAGTCCCAAACTGGGAAAGGAACGAACCAACACAAGTAAAAATACTGTTGAAACGAGATCTGCCACCAGATCAATGCAATCCTTGGCTGGATCAGCAGGTAAAAACCCCGATTCAAAAAGCAATAGACGTGCAAAACTTGCATCCGGAAGTCTTGGTGATGTCAGAGAGTATCGGCATGCAAAACGGTGTATTCAAAGACCAGTTATTGCACATAGCACATTAAAAGATGATCATGATGATGTCAATGTGAATCAAGATGTATCCGACCGCCCAGTAAGCTTTTCATTGATCCATGTGTTTCTCCACTTTGATAGTTTTAATCACATTTCTGATTACGTGATGATTTGAATTCACGTTTAGACACAGACTCCTGTACATAGAAAGCCATCTGAACGAATAGCAGCGCAAAAGACACGAGCAAGCAAGGTGAGACGGTACCATTCTATCACGAGTTTATAAATGTACTGACTTGGTAAAAGATGATTCTTTCAGGGGCAGTTTCAGCAGTGAGTTTAAAACCAACTAAAAAGCCACGGGCAAGAAAATCGCCTGCTTTAGCTCTTGCATCACCACCACCAGAAGCACCTGTAACTCAAGTGAACCAATCGCGAGGATAAATACTTGAAACCATTTATCACGGCATTCTTTTGCTGTACTTTAAATGGTTATTTCAGTTCATATCCAGCATTTGAATAACACATGTACACTGATGGGTTGGCGTTTAATGTGTTTGCTTTCTATATATTTGATAGTAGTGTATACAGGGCACCCGATGATACCACTTTTTTAGGCGAGACTGCCAAAATAAATTTAAAATTAACTGCGTTTTTGTACGAGTATCTGACTCTCTAAAATATCGTTTGATCAAAATCCAACAATTCTGAATAAACTATGAATTGTGTGTTTATAACGATCAAGTCATTTCATTGAAGCCAGTCATCTGTAGTGATGAGATCTGGTCTTTTAATTGATCATGATTGCTAGATTGAATCAAAAGTTGTTGACAATCTTAATGTTTTATGGAATACAATCTGTCAAGATCATGGATTGATATCAAGGTTTGATTGTCATGCCAAGAATAACAAATAGTCATATTTTGTTGTTTGTATTGGAGTTTTTGAAGTTGAGACAACTGTACAAGACTGGTAACAATTTCAACTAAAAAACCTATTGAGATACACTTGATGATGAAAGTGATGATTACTAACACACTGAAAGTGATGATTACTAACACATTGAAAGTGATGATTACTGACACTTCCCACTCTGTCCTCAGTCTATTGTCATCAACCCTAAATTTAGCCCAGACTGAAATTGAGGTGTTTTTTGGGTCACAAATTTCTTCTAGTTTTTACAGCACAGCTAGAGTTGGAATTACAATTGAACAGGGATTGACAACCATTATTACAACCTATTATTGAAGAGTGCTAATGACAATGGAGAACACTGATGTTAATGTTAGTCTGATTGCTGTTGATTATGTATTGAATTATAACCATGTGTATGACAACTGATACAGTTTTATACACATGGTTGAATGTTGTCATTCTTGTTCACTATAGAATCCTGTAGTCTATGATGTGGTCTTGTTCAACTCTTGCTGATACTAACATGTGGTTTATTTTTGTCTTGAAATGCGATTAGAGCATGCAATCAGAACATTCATTACAGACTGTTGAGCCAGGTGCTGCTGCAATCACCAAGGTCCAGACATATAAAGAACCCCATCAGCCAGTCATGACCATACCATCCACTCGAAAAGACCAAACATCACTACAAGACAGTACGTTAGACTCGTTTGGGATTGGGATGCATGACAGACAGTCCTCTTGTACTTTCTCGACTACTTCTCTTTCGTCGTCCTTGTCCATGTCGCCCTCTCCATTAGAACTCATGCATGTGGCTGCTATGACTGCTGCCTCTGCGAATACTGAGGACGGTTTGGTACATCGGGACAGTGATGAGCCATTGTTTCCAGCGCTTGATGATACTGAGACCCATGATAGGGATCATGATGGTGAACAACCTCGACACAATTCTGAATTCCATGACAACAGCCAGATCAACAATGTTGGATTTCCTAGCTATCAATCCAATGGAAAAATGGAAGTAGATCTTGCTATTTCTGAAGAAGTAGAAGAGGAGGAAGTGGTACATGAACAACAAGTATATCATCCACAACAGAATAGCTTGGCTGTATCTACAAGTACATCTGCTTATAAGAGTGATATAGCGTCACAGTTTTATATTGATACGACACCTGCAAGTGACGGGGTTCCTGTGCTGCCATCGCCAAGTTCTGCTGTGGAGGACACTGTAAAGATGGGGATGGGGAATACATCGGCTGAACAGCCCTCATCCACCAAGACTGAAACACTTGAGGTATCTAAAGATTTGAATGGATCTGTTGATCATCAGCCTACATCCCATAAACGATCGAGATCTGATAGTATCAGTCCAACTCGTACAGTTCGAACTCAGCCTGCCAGTGATTCAACTGATATTTTGATACCAGCAGCCATAGATTCAAATACAATATCCATGACTGGTTCTGATTTAGATTCTCTATCAAACCCTCTGCCTTCATATTCCTCCAGATCCAACCCTGTTGTGGCGAAACCTACTGCCAGTTTAAGTGAATTCCATCCCACCCATACCGTGACTTTTACTCCATTACCAGGCGTCATATCCAAAATGCCGCCCAACAGTCGTCTGTTTATGGGAAACCTTCCATCCGACAAGCCTACACCCAAAGAATTTGCTCAACGTTTTGTTCCGTATGGAAACATTGTTGAGATTATGCTCAAATCCACGTTTGGATTTATTCAATTTGATAACGCTGAGAGTTGCCAGGCTGCTATTGAGGGAGAAAACCAAAATATGATGGGTGATGTGAGACTTGGTAAGTTTTCCATGTCTAGTTTATTATATCACACGAGTAACATTCAGTTGAAACCGTTTAAATTGAACAATTGAGTCAAGATTCTAATGTTAATCCATGGTTCGTTTTTAATCATTGGATGTGGCCTGATAGATCTCAAGATTTCCCGTGAACGAGGTGCTCATTCAAGAGCCGATGAACCAAACGATGTACGTGGGTATAACCACAACAAATATTCTGATGAGGGTGACGATCAGCACTCCAACGATGCAAAAAGGGATTATAACAGCGCCAACCGATACAATAGTGGTGGAAATCGAAGTGGTCGTGGTCGAGGCCGTGGTGGATGGAATGACGATCGTCATGATCGTAGTCAGAGATATGACGATCGAGATAGGGTTAGGGACAGAGATCGTGATCGACGTACCAGTAGAAGTTCCAGATCACCACCTCATGGCAGTGGCCATAGCAACGACGGAAGAAACCACAATCGTGATAGCAGCGGGTATGATTCACGCGATGGAAGAGATGCCCGCAGTGGAAAACAGGAAAGCCGTGGCAATGCCCGAAACTGGGACAGCGATCGATCCCATGGCGGCTATGTTGGAAAAGATAGCACTCGATTGGCTAGACACCATGATTCTGCCAAAGCTCCTACTCCAGTCATCAAGCCTATTCCAAAACGATACGGCTCAGCAGTTCCTGAATGTCAGTTGATTGTAATTGGTGAAGTTCACCGCGAGTTTGTTTCGCATGTGTTTAGCACATTGAAGCGTGCACGTATTTTTACAGAAACTCTGCGTATGCCAGCCCAAATGGATCTCAAGCAGGCAGTTGAGCAATATCAACAAGAAGGGGTAAAGGCGATTGTTTTTTTAGAAAAGAGTCGAGAAATGAGTGGCAAAGTTGCCCTACAAGTGTTTTCTCGTCATTCTGGTGTTGTGGGTAAGTCGTTGCCTAGAAAATGTTGATGATTCTGTACAAAAGTATGCACTGATTAATACTGTGTTGAATAGAATACGACAATGTGACTTTGGACCAAACTTGCGACTACATTATTCGCGAACGACATGGCCATGATCCTCGTGCATCTGGTGCCAATTCGTTTGGAAATCCGACAGGCCACTCTTCCAACTATCCCAGTCACAACCAGCAACCCTACCAGGAACAACAGCAGTTGTTATCACAAATCAATGCAGGTATTGGAGGGAATAACACGGTTGCAACGGCATTGGCGGCATTGGTTGCACAATCGCAAGCGCAAGGAACACCACTGGATCCACAAGTGTTGTTTGCATTGGCGAATGCAGCAGCAGCATCTGGAGCTGCAGGGGGAGCACCACCCTCGATTCAAGGTGGTGGAAATAATTTAGGACCTTCATCTACAGCATCTGGACTTTTCCATCCTCCTGCAACGCTTGTTCAGAATGTTGGTGGCAGTGGGATGGGAGGATATGGACATCAACAGATGAGCATGCATGCGCAGCAACAGAACCAATACCATCACGCTCAACAGCAAAGTGGTCACGCTGCAGGAATGTACATGCAGAATGCAGGTGAGCCAGTGAATCAAGCTTTACACAATGGTAATGGAACAGGAACAATGCCGCAAGGATACCCACACGGATCCAATATGCACCAAGTGAGTAGTTGCTAAACTGACACGTTTAACAGTATTGAACCGACCACTTATTTTTATTAACATGTCATAGATGTCGAATCCATCGCACAACATTGGAGGAAATGCACGAATGGGGATGATGTCCCAATCAGGACGAGGTCAGCACTCACTATCACACCAAGCGGTGTCTTCCAACACTGGTGGTAATGCACCTCCAACAAACATTGCAGACATGCTGAGCCAGTTGAATGCCAGCACAAGACTCTTGCAAGCCATCAACAACATTAAAGGACCCAATTAAACAGGATTTACTGAATGTATTATGAGGGCTGTTTTACCAAAAGAAATGAATTTAAAATTGCTGTTAAAAGTTGAATGTGTTGAACAGCAATGTAAACTTGTCCATAAAACGGACACGTTCACACAAGGTCATGCCTAGAACATTCCTAGTAGTGAAATGCTATCAATGCAACCAGATACAAATCCAGCAGGTAAGTTGCATAGTATGTCATGTGTTTTAATACTATTCAACTCACAATACTTGCAGAGTAAAAAAGTATCCAAATGGACTTGTCAAGTATGTCATGAACGACAATCCCTCCAGAGAGTAAGTGCAATATCACACTATCCACACTATTCATCCTTGCTTACTTTTGATCATCTAGGTGTATTTTGAATCCACCTGTGCAAAGGATTGTCGATCAGCCTTGCAATCCATATCCACTACTTTACATCATTCAAGTACTATAACAGATCAAGCTGTTTTGAATGCAATACACAAGAGTCCGGATACGCTTGTCATGTCAACCACTACTCTACAGGATAAGAATGTTGAATTACATTCTACAACTAGAGATACAACGTTACATGTTGGACATTGTCGACCAGTGTTTTCGAATCTGGGCAGAAAACCACTGCCTTTACTCGAGGTCGATTCATCATATAAGATGAAGGGTTCTTTGGATTCAAATGCTCGTAAAACTACTACACAAGCTTGGATTAATTGGTCCGAGTTTGTTGAACCCGAGTCTGTAGATGACTAGCATCTTGATGGATTCCATCAAGATTTCATCTGAATTCCATCTAAACTTCATTTATATACCACATATCAAATACACCAAAATCTATCCTAATACTGTCAGGAAGTTTATTGTTTGGTTTAACAAGACCATTTCATTCCAAGAAAGAAATCACTGGTTTAGAACCCATAGTTGAGACGGAAAATGTCTACACAAAGTATGCATTAAAATCTACTCTTGTTCAAGATATCAAAGTATCAATACAATGTGTTGATTTACCGTTAAAGACATAGTACGAAGAACCTTCGGGAACAAGTTGAAACGTCTGACTAAAATGCTGAGGATTTTGCTCATCATCAACCTATACCACAAGTATCATTTAAAACCATCATCATATTGTACTTTTCTAATCTACCAGATCATGATTCGTCAATACACTTACAAGTAGACGACCCGTGACAGTAACAAGTAGTGGTCCAGGAGCAGGGTTGGATGGTTGTGCGTCAACTGTTACAACTTGATGATTGACTTTTTGGAATGGAAGTTCCTGCAAACATCTCAAAATGGTCAGATACAAATGAAATGATTTACAGTCGTGTTCATGCCAAATGGAATACTAGAAGGGGTTAAACAAACAGCTAATCTCATGGAATGGTAATTTACTGAACAATATGTGTCCAGTAGTCTTGTGTGATTGGCATGTATGGCTGTATTCCCGAGACGTGCAATCACTGTTCTCATGAACTAGAGCGTATCTGCGAGACTAGAATACCAACAAGACAATATATGACCATGTCAAAAGAAAGAGATCATCACAGTTCAAACTATAGTTTGAGCATCATGACATGGTCCTTGTATCTGAACTGAAAAGATTAACCAAGCCAATCTCTAATAGAAAAGCACAAGGAATATTTGAACAGTCTCTTCAAAGCAGTGACTTCAAGATAAAGTAGACCATTTTACATGAATACGACTTTGAATAGACTCGAGTCCATGACTTACAGCGAGTTTTTTGACAATGGCTGGACCAAGAAACTGCTGGCCTTCAAAACTCAGCATCGAATGGTCCTTCTACTCCATCACAATTCAAATCATTAGAATAAACCCAACATCTGAATTCAAAAAAGGTTCAACAACTTACATAAAGAGGAGTCAACTCGGCACGATTACGATCAAACGTAGCATAGTAAAAGTCGACAAATGACTTTGCGATTGTGTTGATATCGGCCATTGTTGGAGTTGATTTGCTAGATTAGTCATTGTATTGAATGTCAGATTATGGTGAGTTGGAACATTCTTTTAAAAACATGAAAAGACAACATTGTGTTCCAGATCAAAGTGCAGACTATTGGCAGTTGACTCACAGCTGTTGGTTTTGCAAGGTAAAGAATTCAACGCAATCAAGTCCAAAGTAGTGTATTCACGTGATATTATTAATGATCACCTGACTGAGATTTAAAGTGTTGAATTTGAATTAAAACAGTGAACATGTTGCACGGTATTCCACGTGACTATTATTCAAACACAAAAACAAACAACGCAATTTTACTTGACAGCAATGAGCAGTCAACAGCCATTGGATTTGTTGGAGGTAAGCAATACAGGAAACCAGCCAAGAGTAGAGTTTGACTAATTACGTTTTTTTTGGTAGTTTCAAGACACTCAAGGATCGCAGTATGACTACGATGACTATGTTGTAGCCAGTCAACTGAGTTTACCACCAACCACCACTTCTAACATCAATGGACAGATGACATCAACTGGAATGGATTCTTTGCATGATATTTCACAAGACTATCCGCTGTCTTTGAGTTCTCAGTCAAACCATCACGGTCTTGTTCATCCGCACTCTCATGGTCATGCAAAACATCCAAACGGAACCAACATCGATACTGAAATTTCTCTTGGTTTTTACGATCCTGATTTTGACCTGGCTGATGACTCCGTATTGGAGTTTAATCATCCCGAACAGGATCAAGATCAGTCTGAAACTGCTGCTGAGCTTCCATCTCATGCTTGCAGGTTAGAATTCTGATTTTTTATCGCTGGAACTATCAATGCTTGAACTGAATCTCATGCTCTTATTTTATATCTTGTAGTTATTGTGGAATTCACAATGTATCAACAGTGGTCAGATGCTTAACTTGCTCAAAATGGTTTTGTAATGCTCGTGGCCAATCCAATGGCTCGCATATCATCAATCATCTTGTTCGTGCTCGTCATAAGGAAGTGTCGTTGCATTCGGAATCTGCGCTGGGCGATACTATTTTGGAATGCTACAACTGTGGATGTAGAAACATTTTTTTGCTTGGTTTTATTCCTGCTAAATCTGATACTGTTGTTGTGCTTCTTTGTCGGTAATGTTATTGGCTTGTTGCAAATTGCATTCATGCATGCTCATACAATGTGAACATGTTTAAAATAGACAACCGTGTGCCAGCACACCTAGTAACAAGGATGCTAATTGGGATTTGGCTCAATGGATGCCATTGATTGAAGATCGCTCGCTTCTATCGTGGATTGTCAAAGTACCCTCTGAACAGGAACAGGTCCGTGCTCGTCATATTACTGGACAGCAAATGGTCAAACTAGAAGATGTGTGGAAATACAATGCTTTGGCTACTGTTGCAGATTTAGATAGACCTGGTGTCGATGATGATCCACTTAGTGTTCTTCTCAAGTACGTCTTGGTATTTAATGTTGTAATTGTACCGATTATAACTCAACGTGTTGTGTTTCTCACCAAACATTTGACTGTTTAGATACGATGATGCATACCAGTACCAAAACATCTTTGGTCCATTGGTCAAGATGGAGGCTGATGATGATCGTCGCATGAAAGAGTCGCAAACACAAGAAGATGTTGTAGTTAGATGGGATATGGGTTTAAACATGAAACGAATAGCTAATTTTCCACTACCAAAACTTGAACTTGGCGATATTCGATTGGCTGTGGGTGATGAGCTGCTACTCAAATACCATGGTGAACTCCATGCAAAATGGGAAGGTGCTGGTCATGTAATCAAGATTCCCAACAGTAAGTTGACAGTTTATTGAAATTTTTGGTATTTAGGGATTTGCTGACTTTGGTGTTTAGATATATCTGATGAAGTCAGTATGGAATTGAAGCATGATGACCGTGCTCCTGTTGAATGCACTCATAATTTTACCGTTGATTTTGTATGGAAATCGACATCATTTGATCGGTAAGACTGTTGTGCTGAATCATATTGCTTATAAACTAAATTGGATGACTGATACCGATACTTTTGATAGCATGCAAAATGCCATGAAGACATTTGCTCTTGATGAAAACTCTGTTAGTGCGTATATATATCATCGCCTTCTTGGTCATGATGTCGATCCACAAGTCTTGAAGGTTACATTGCCAAAACGTATCAACGCACCCAATCTTCCAGAGCTGAATCATTCTCAAGCTACTGCTGTCAAATCTGTCCTTTCGAAACCTCTCAGTCTTATTCAAGGTATGCATTAAACTATTTGGATGATACACTATTGATAATCAGCCGCATCTCTATTTTTACTAAATACGCTGCGTTGACGCTTTGATGATCAGGTCCACCGGGAACAGGAAAGACGGTGACATCTGCCACGATCGTATATCACTTGGCAAACATGAACAAGGGCCAAGTTCTTGTTTGCGCACCTAGCAATGTTGCTGTTGATCATCTTACATCCAAAATCCACAAAACTGGCCTCAAAGTAGTGCGTGTCACGGCTAAATCTCGAGAGGCACTTGAATCCTCCGTTTCGTTTCTATCTCTCAGTGAACAGGTCAAAAACCTTGATACCGATCGACAACTTCAAAAGCTTATTCGTTTAAAAAACGAATTGGGTGAATTGAGCTCTCAAGACGAAAAAAAATACAAATACTTGTTCCGTAAGGCCGAGAGAGAGATTCTTGAGCATGCCGATGTGATCTGCACTACATGCATGGGTGCAGGCGATTCAAGACTTTCAAAATTTTCATTTAGGAGCGTATTGGTTGACGAGGCTACTCAAGCATGCGAACCTGAATGTCTGATTCCTCTTGTACTGGGCTCAAAACAAGTTGTACTTGTGGGTGATCATCAACAGCTTGGTCCGGTTGTTCAACACAAAAAAGCGTCCAAGGCTGGTTTATCTCAGTCATTGTTTGAGCGACTGATTATCCTTGGACTGAGACCCATTCGCTTGCAAGTGCAGTATCGTATGCATCCTTGCTTGTCTGAATTCCCATCGAATATGTTCTATGAAGGATCGTTGCAAAATGGAGTTACTGTCCAGGAACGTATCCGACCTGAAATTGATTTTCCCTGGCCAGTCCATGAAACGCCCATGATTTTCTATGGTTCGTTTGGACAAGAGGAGATTGCAGCGTCAGGTAAATCATATCTAAATCGTACCGAGGCTGCCTATGTAGAGAAGGTTGTAACCAAGTTTTTAAAGGCGGGTGTAACTCCTGCTCAGATTGGTATTGTGACCCCGTATGAGGGTCAACGTGCATATGTTGTTCAACACATGCAATTCAATGGCTCGCTTAAAAAGGAACTTTACAAAGAGATTGAAGTTGCAAGTGTTGATTCCTTTCAAGGTCGAGAAAAAGATTACATCATTGTGACTTGTGTACGATCTAACGAGAACCAAGGTATTGGGTTTCTAGTAGATCCACGTCGTTTGAATGTAGCTCTCACCCGAGCCAAATATGGGCTCGTGATTGTGGGCAACCCAAAGGTTCTTGCCAAGCATCCGTTGTGGTATCAGCTGCTGATGACATTTAGAGAGCATTCATGTTTGGTAGAAGGTCATTTGCACAACTTGAAACCTTTGATGACGCAATTTCAAAAACCTCGCCGTGGGTATTCCAATGCAGATAAACAGCGCAAGTATAGTCAAGACACATCGCAGTCTCCATATGCTTTGGGTACTACATACACGCGAAGCAGCCTCTCGGCTGGCAATGGTAATTTAGTATCTAATGGAAATACATCAAACTCGACATCCAAATTCTCCAGTGCGCATCACGATCCCAATGCGTTTATTGATCCGTCGCGGATGTTATCGCAATCTCAACCAATGATGCCTTTGATCCCCTCACAGCAACGAAGTCAGTTGACCCAGGATATGGGACCCATGACACCAGCTACAATGCTATCTTCGGCATCGCAGTCCATGTCAGAGTTGTTTATTTCACATGGTGCTGGGCTGGTTGGGTCATTGCTTTCACAAACTGAATCGTCCACCACAAATGGGTTTCTACAAGATGCATCTGCTTCGAATAGTCAGCGCTATGGCGGTGGATCTACACTGTCTCAGTATGATCGTCTTCACTTTGAAGATACTGACGATGACTACAAGACTCAGTCTGATGTATACCTTAGCCAGTACGAAAGTGGCTTAAAGAGTCAAGGGTTTACACAATATTGATCTAAACTGGTTCTAATCAATCGTGCTAGGTACAACAAGTGCATGTTGGACTATTGTATTGACATTGTTCTAACTTTATTCCTGTCATTTACAGAGTATTACACGTCTTTTGAATTTACCTGCTATTTAATCTTGGCATATTATATGATGATCCTGCTTGGAACTTCAATCTACATGTAATAGCATCAGATCTGATCATGGGTAAAAAGGCTAAACTATACACTTGCATTTGGTTTGCATGCTAGTAAAGTCACGACGTACTTTTTTGCATTGTGTTACGATGATATATCAGTAGTATATATAAAGGGCTTGAATCATGCCGTTTTTATAAGAATCTGTTAAATTCTTGATTTGGAATGATTTCATTTACGCAGAAACTTGTAATTTTATAAGACTACTGGCAAAGTTGTACTGCCTTTTGCTGCTGCTTTTCAGATAATCGGATGAATTGCCAATAATAACCAGAAATATTACCTTTACAATGAGTAATAGCGAATGGGTGCAGATAGATAGGAAGCAATGATTGGATTGGCAATACATGCGAGTTTTTCCAATATAACATTCAAATTAAAATCATGCAGTTGTCTACTCGTCTGATTAAAAAGGTTTCCAACCTGACGTGAAATCAGTAAACTTGCAACTTGTTTGATTGCCCATTTCAGAAATGTAACTGCTGCTTTCGTGTCAATCACTAATGTTTGGGTTGAAGATTCAAAAAATGTGGAATGTATTGGAACAGGAATGTAACCATTTGCTCTGTATTTCTGTACAATGAGCACGAAAATCAGTCAACTTTGTCAAGGGATTCAAAAAGCATAATATTGCTCAGTAAGATGAACCCAATCATGTCATATGAGCCGTTTATGATGTATTCCGACGTATTTAGTGTTTCATTTTACGTCAATACGACTAATACAGTATTCACCACTCATGAAATGTTGTACACTGTCTTGAAAACAAAGTATTTGACTGTCAACTATTTAGTCTAGCTGTTTATTTTTAGTATTCTTGGTATTATTTAATCGCATGTTTTGATTGATGGTGAAATAAAATTTAATTCAAAGTTTAGTTTTATACGGGTCAAAGTTTAATGATTATACAAGATATATATTTTAAACTTGTCAATATTATGTAGTATAACATTATGGATATAATCCTCCCATCAACGACACTAGTGTCGACACACTTGCCATGGATATAGCACAGATACTTTCCCAACCAACAGTCGATATCAGTCTAGTAGATTTAGCTGCTGAATTGCTCTCGGTAGCAGTTTTTGAAACACGAGGCAAGATATCAGCATCGTTCCATTTGTTGTTGTTCACAGGCGCGGCCAGTCCAATACGACTCTCATTGTAATCAAACGAGGTATAAAAATGCTGTAAAAAAATCCCACCAAAGATGTTTGACTGGCTGGGTGATGTCGTAAATATAGATATACATCGAGTGTTGTCGAGAGTAAAATACTGCATGTTCCAAGATAACGTGAGCCTTGCTCCTATACCACCCAATGAGAACGTTATGGGTTGAAGTGTGTGAACAAGTGAACAATCTAGCTCGTAGATTCCTCCTTGCTGAATGATACCAATAGTAGATTTGGATGAATTAGACCACGTCGTGTTATTGAATGACATCAACAATGGGATGACTAAACTATATCAGATTTACCTTGCTGATTCCGCCCATGGCAGTATTGATAAATGGAAACAGTTGTTGATCAAGATAAATCAATGTAGTGCCAGTATCACTTGTAGTTGAAACATGTAATCAACACGATGAGCAACACTCGATGCAATGGGTGTATTAAATAAATGAATTCAACTTACAACAAAAACATTTGGGTAGTGACGACTGTTTGTCCACCAGCTATGATATAGTCGATACCAACTGCCCATTGTGACATATTAGGGATAGTGGGCAACCTAATGCATTGATCAAGATGGAATGATTAGATTCATTATTCAAGTCATTTGAACATGAGCCATGTGTTGGCAAGCGCATACCACGTAAAATTGCCTGTATATCGGGCAGGATTGGGTGTACCAAAAGTAATTTCACCAGATGAGGCGATAGGTTGTGTGGCTTCAAGACTGTTCACACTTTGATCGTAGTAGAAACTGACTCTAGGTATATTGATGACAGACCTGATGTTTTCAAATACATCAGCAGGATCAGATTGTCGAGGTGGACCAAGACCAATCAACCCATCCAGACCAAGCGACGCCAGATTGATTGATGTAGCAGCGCATATATTTTGGTTTGGGATGCTAATACCGGCTATAACCAATAAATCTGTCACTATTGTGCATTCAATCTTGGTTCCGTCGCCATATTGTCTTTTGACTGATGTGCGTGATATATTTAACAACGACCGACTTATAGACTGGATGGGTTAGTAAAGTGGGTTGACATGGATTGCGCACTTGAAAGAATGAAAATACCTTTTTGTTGGATTAAAAGCATTGGCAGTTACTGCAGGTGTGCATCCATTACCGGCATTGCAGAGAGTGGAAACAATCCAAAATGTCGAAGATCCAGTGTCGATCTGGACATTAAGAGTGACAGGAGGCGTACCCACATTGATTGTCATGAATAATGTTTGTGCGATTCCTGCAGTTGATACAATGGACGAGCCATTTTTGACTGCTCGATTGATCACTGTAAATGGCATACTGAATTCAAGCATTAGCAACCAACGGTTTGAATACTCATAAGAAATTAGATGGCAAGATATACTTGACAAGGATGAAACCGAATTACATTTTAGAGTAATTCAAATCGTATACCTTGAAGTTGAAGGCGGCTCTGATGAATTAATATGAGAATTATGAGATGAAGTAGTTTTCAAGGATGTGATGGCAGATACATTGAGAATATTCATTGCAGTAATGCCTGGTGCCAAGAGAACAAGTACTACAGCAGAAAAATAGAACATGATTTCAAATCAATGCGAAACAGTAAAACAAGACAAGTTGCGTATCTCGATAATAATATCACGCATTGTAATGCGCGTATTTGAATTCATGCTGTTTTATGGGTCGTATACGATTCGTTCCAGCCATTAACATCTTAGTAATAAAACCGGGTCCAAGTCCAGTCAAGCTTTCCCTTTGGTTTACTGCCGTATTCACGTAAAATAGAGTTTTGGCATAATCATTATTGTATTATCACTCAATTCGTGTATTGCAATCTAGATATTATCAGACAGTTGCCAATTAAACTATAATGTATTTTAAAGACTCGCAAATACGTTTTAATTCAAGACATTTTTGAACACAACAGTTGAATACTTTTAATGTTTATAATGAAAAGAGAGAAACAATATAGAATTTACTGCGACTGTAATATGAGTATTTAGATTTAGAATGAATTTATAATTTAGTTTATATTCTCAACAATTGCAATCATTACTTTACAGAATAAAATAAATGATTTGTAAACCATTAATAAAAGTATTCAATTCATGTTAGTTTAAGAATGAAACAGTTGGAAATAAACATGACCATCAAGATATAGAAATCCAACCATTGCAGCACACAATCTTGGAGTCTTAAACCACAACTTACAACCCTAACCTTGACATTCAACCATTGTTACATTGACTATGGGTCGTGGTCGTACCAGAATATCGTATATTCTCAAAGACTCTTATTCAAGCACCGTCCATACAGGAGGGATTAGTGCTCTTGCTCTGGATGTATCGGTTCTGGATTCAACATCTCCGGATCACAGTCTGGATAATAGCGGTATCTTGTATACTGCTGGAAGGGACTCTTCCATCAATAGCTGGAATCTGCATCTGACTGACTCGGCTCACTCTGCTGCTGTAGAGCCTTTCAGTCTTGCTCCTCATGACTCCATCCCGTCGTCACTTCCATCTCGTTCATCATCAGTTGTTCCTGACACTCTCATCAACCCTAATCAACCCACTGCTTCTGTCCCAAAAACTCATTCAAATGACTTGTCAGATTCCTTGTCCAACAGTCATCATTCTTCCCAAATATCCAGTTTGCGTCAGCGACCTTATCCTCGTCATTCTGCTACTAGTGCACGCGATTCTCTGGATTTACTGGATATTAGCACCAGTGCCAAGGACGGTCGACGCTCAGTGTCCTTTTCAAAACATATTTCTTCTGCTGAAATAGTCTCTTCTCCTGTCGCTGCAAACCATTTGTTGTCAGATCTTGGAATCTCTCAAGATTATGACACTATTTTAAATCATAATCTAAGAATATTTGTAAGTTTGTGTTGGTAGATTCATGTGCTGTTCTTGCATTCTAACTCGATCTACTCTTAGCCAAAAATCCCTCAAAGTACATTTAGACGCTCGTTTCAACATCATAGCGACTGGGTCAATGACATAGTGCTGTGTAACAATAATGCCAACTGTAAGCTGTTTTGGCTCTATCCATTTGATGTTTGATTTCGTATCCAATTTAACCTTTTGATTCTAGTAATATCCTGTTCGTCTGATAGATCTATATATATGTGGAACACACTCTATGATCAATCTCCTGTGAAAATAGGATTTCATACTGGTATGTCTGTTTAAATAGTCATCTTGCTATATTCGACAAGACTGATGATGATTATGTTTAGATTGCGTAAAAAGATTGGCATGTTCTCCTCAAGCCAATTTTGTTGTATCCGGTGGATTAGATCGCAAAATCTACATGTGGGATATACAAGAACTTCGTAGTAAACCTCGAGTGATCATGAGCTCAGAATCACCCAATGCCTCCATTTATTCCTTGGCTTGCAATCCATCTGGAACAGTTCTTGTATCTGGATCTCCAGAAAAGGTCGTACGAGTATGGGATCCACGAAGTGCTTCACCACAATCATTGTGTCTACAAGGTCATACTGATAATGTTCGCGATCTTCTTGTCAGTCATGATGGGCGTTGGGTAAGCTATTCGTTCAATTACTTGACATTTGATTGTTTAAAACAGTCTGTATTTACATTGTTTTTTAATTAGGTATTGTCGGCATCAACAGACTCGACAATCAAGCTGTGGTCACTTGCAATGCCTTCAAGATGCTACACCACATATACACACTTTGATGAAGCAGTGTGGTGTCTTGCATCGGCTAGTCCAACTCTCTCTACATTTTGGGCAGGATGTCGAGACGGTCACGTTAAAAAACTCTCTCGTTTACCTTTACTGGCTTCAACAGAAGAAACAGCTGAAACCATAGCAATATGCAAAGAGTCGAGTCCAGTTGTGCGTATTGCTGGAATTGAAGATGGTTTCATTTGGACTGCCACTTCAAAATCTAGCATTCATCGATGGCGAGATGTACCATTTCGTAAATCTACAAACACAAGGTTTAAACCTACTGGCGGTGAATTGATCATTCCACCAGGTGCCATGATTGCACAATCCACTGACGACTTGGATCCTTCTGGCTCATTTTCTGTAAATATCAATACTCTGCGACCAATGGATAGTTCACTTGGAAGCATACGATTGATACCCATTGCAATGACAAATGACCCTGAAGACGATTTAGATCAAGAAGACGACAAAACTGTTCTTGTATGGCAGGATTCTGTTGATGTAATTGTAGGCGCTCCTGCAATCACCAAATTTGCCATGCTAAATAACCGACGACATGTGCTGGCATTAAACACGGACGGCGAAGTAGACATGTGGGATATCATTTACTGCTGTAAATTGAAAACCTTTGGCAAAGTTGATTTTCAATCTACTTTACAATCCGAAAATACAGTCGAATGGGTTGCTAACTGGTGCCATATTGATACAAAAATTGGTGTATTGACCGTGCATTTGGAAGAGGGAAAGTGCTTTGATGCCGAGATTTATCATGAAGATTTGGCATTACCTGTTCGGGCCAATAACGAAGATCAGAGAATTAATCTTGCAAAATGGGTATTGACATACTTGTTGTTTCCATATATCTGTGCCATATGTCCAAACGATGCTTCTTTGGCGCACCATTTGGAAAATTTGCAAAAGTCGGGTTCTAGTCCTTGTGACGATCAGCAGATTCATTCTCCTTTACCAACAAAGGTGTATGTATCTACTGAACCGCATGACTTTGTTCCGCTGCAATCAACATCTACTCCAACTATTTATCCCTTGTCTTCAACACCAACACCCACTTTGAATATGGAATTATCTGAGGAGTCAAAGGATGAATATGATCAAGAAAATAGCACTAGCAATAATGGGTCGCATGAAGATGATCAGAAATCGAACCCACCTTTTTTTAGTGACCATGAAGGTCAAACTGGCGCGTTTACCGAAACTGGAACAGTTTTGACTGAATCATCCTCGGTTGAGTTGGAAGCTGAACAGCGTTCGTGTAAAACAGACGACTCTCCATTCACCACGCAGCCACCTAGTACGTTCACTGATTCATCTTTCATTGTACGTGTATTGATTTGAATTGACTGATGTAGTTTTTTTCTGCTTATTTGTTTTTAGACTACCCACAGCAGTCGGTACCGCATACTTTGGCAGTTTTACCTATGGCACAGACTTCAAATGTAGAAACAGTGGCATTGGTGACGCCAGCAGCTGTACCGACCACTTTAGCTAATATACCGTCTAGTACTACCACAGCATCCACGAGTAACGTTGGTGGGTCTTTGATGGGAAAATTTAAGATTAGACGACGAACAAATACAGGAAATAGTACCAAGAGCGGATTTGATGATGACACGGCAGATGTGACGGCGAATGCAGTCGCTGGTGATGCTACAACTGGGTTACTTGTAAATACTGCAGGAACTGCACAGCAACAAACCAGTGCCGGTACATCAAATACGGCTATTCCAGATATACCCAAACGACGCAAATGGAGATCAGCAGCAGTGCTGTTTCGAGGTATTTCAAATGCGAGCCAGGAAGGAAGTGATTCATCTACAAGTACAGTTGCATGTGCAGCACCCACGGCTGCTCCCACCGTGTTGATTCCTGCTCCTACAAACTATACCAGTCAGCTATTGACCGTATCTGAAACACATGTATCTGATCATAGTGCTACGTTGTCGAGCACTTTTCCAAATTCAGCAACGTATTCAACCACTCCAGTACTTAGTACGGGCGATGCTTCAAACTATTCGACCTACTCTCACTCTACCACCCAGCCTAGCACTTCTTCAAGTGCAGTCAATGCAAGTTTTTTGATTCAATCTATATTGTGGTCAATTTGCCATCATTCCATATAGTTTTACATGGGTTATGCTAACAATGTGATTGTGACATAGAATCCACACATTTCAGGAAACTACCTTAATTATGATTTGGCACCAGCTGTGAATATTCCTGCGTATATACCTATTTTTATCAGCTATGAAGAGTCGCCTGAAGCATCGTCGTATATGGATGTGTTTCGAGGTACATCTGGCGATTTGGGGAATCCACAAAGCATCAAGAACTTGGAAGATGTGGTGCCAACGTGGCTTTATGAATGGATAGTGATGGTAAGTATGATTCTTGTGCATTGAATCCCACTATGGCTCTAAATCCTTACATATGGACGTGTTGGTTTGAGAATCTTTAGAGACGTCTACCGAATACAGATCCACCCAAAATCAGTTTTGTATTGCAGCCTCATCCCGAATCCAAACTTTCCGAAATGCCGCCAGGGTAAGTGATGAAACTGTATTTCTCGACTGATACTGTACAATCCACTTATAATTTACACTTGAATGATCTAGAAACGGTCGATTGACAGCTAACCGAATGCTGCGGATCAAGAAAGTGATGGAGTATGTAGCTGAAAAACTTCAAATTCAGATTCAACCTGTATGGAAAGCAAACTGGACCTCTGAGGGAATTTCTCCTCCTCCAATCAAGCTGGAAATCTACTGCAATGATGTGCTGATTTCGAGTAGGATGTCATTGGCAACAGTCAAATATCATATATGGAAATCGGGTGGGGATGTATTATTGGTGTATAAAGAAGCCTAATCCTACAGCCGTCTTCACAAAATAAACACTGAATCAAGGCATTCAAAGCAAACCATTTTTGTCGAATTTACTAGGCAGTGTTGTGCACCCTAAACGGATATTCAAAATTGACATTACTGATGAGTCGTGATTTGCTAATTGTTCAGTAATGTCGCAAGGTATAAAAGTTTCATATTGCTCATTCTTGAACCCTATTGAAACTATTTTAAAAATAATTTGTCAATCATTCCAGACACTGGGAATGTTTATTCAAGTTGATTTTTAATAAAGGTTTGATTCTACATTTGACAAGATTGATCGAGTTTGGATGGACATCAAGCCACGTTTCTAGCAGATTGAGAGTTGAGATTCAAATCTAGTGCTGCCGTACCTGAGGACAATCAAACGGTCTAAATTGAAGATTGATAAATTGAATTCATACGACATACAAATGAATGACAACGAATACACTAAATGTTGTCCTTCAACACAAATGGAACATCAACTCAATATCTCTCAACCCACTAACCAGAATTTCAACCCAACAGACACCAATCCTCAACATTTGTCGCCATCATCCCACTCTTCAACTTTACAGATTGCATCTATACCCGAGTGTATTGACCCGCTTTTTAAAAGCGAGCTAGATCCAGCACTGATGAAAAGTACTGATATAAAAGCTCTTGTTGCATCTATTCGTAGCTTGGATTTGGATGTGTTTACATCAGTGTCAAAGTTGCTTTCCAAGAGACTTCCTAAAGGATGCAGGATCTCCACAACTGACATGTCATGTTTGGTGACCATGGTCAATACACTCAATGAACACATTCAATCATGGAATGAATTGACAAGCAAGACAAGGGTGGATGAAAAAGAAGATTCAATTAATACAAGTTTATATTCAATCACCGAGGTAAAGAACCATGCATTGACTATGTGTAGTCAGTTTTAGCTTGGAATTAAATAGTATTGGTTGACCAACACGTGTATGAATCTAAATTTATTTAGAACGCAGCCTGTCAGCAGTCATACAATAATATAATCTCTGTTGTGATCCAGATAAAAACCATGATGGAGCATCTTTGCAGTATTTTATTTGTACCCTCTTGCTACGCTGCAACAGATACTGAAGCAATACGCAAATACGGTGTGAGGGAAAAGTATCGACATATAGCACTTCATCTTTTCAACGACCCATTTAGTAATCTAGTTGAGCAGTATATTCAAGACTATGAACGATTTCACAAGTCAAATCAACGGAGAAGGCAAAGGACAACTTTAAACAAGCGCGATGGTCTCGGAGATGGCAATAGATGGAATCTATATGACGATATATCCACGAAACCTAGTCTTTTATCCAAGAGGAAGTGCAGTTTTGAAAACAGTCAAGAGACGGAAGACTTTGATTGTGTGGATGTAGACATACAATCGCAACATATGGATACTGAAGAAGATCAAGAAATGCAAAGCCCGACTGTTTCCATGTTTTGTGAATGGGTTGTGAACATGTATACGTGTGCGCATTCAAACCAACAGCATGCTTCCAACTCGACATTGCCATCATCAACTCAAACACACCGTATTCAAAGTGATCCTGTTTCAGCCTACACACTAAATCTCTTGGAAGAGTTTGTCTATTTTGTAGGTGGATTTTCACATACCAACCATAAGCTTCTTTATAGCACTGTTACGGATTGGGTTGATCGGCATTTTCGTCAACACACGCAAGCTTCTGGACTGGTAAGATGGCAAATGGAAACAGGCCAATCGTATTTTGATCGTTTGATTGTAGAAGAGTTTGGAGGTCGTCGAGGATTGGCTTTATGGCTCAAGAGCATGTCCACGACTCAAATCCAGAGCCAGTTTGAATGTGGTAAACAGGGATTTGTTGGTTGTTTTCGTGATGGCATAGAATGGCTAGATCAACATCTCGATTTGAAATCGAATGATTCTGACAAGACTGTATCTGGTTTGAGTACTACACCGCTGTATCGACACCGAGAAATGGGAATTATTGCACTCAGTCTACCTTCACAGCCTGGCGATCCACTAATCCAATGTGCACGTTGTGTTGGCCGAGCTATTGTCAGTGATTATTTTATTCATGTCTTACCATCACAACATCATAAATTAGTGATGCGTTGACACCTGTCGTATAAAAATAGAACGTTGATACGCACATGTATCAGATTTGAATACTTGTACAAGATTAAATTGATAGATGCGGAATTTAGATCAAAATTGTTTGGTATCAACTGTTGTCATCATGGTGGATTGTTTATCCAAGCATGTTATACCATGTACAACACACGGCTTCGAATATACCGGATGGCTTGAATGAACGCCGTTATAAACGACAGTGCAGATGGATAAATAAGCCAGAACATCTGAATGGCACCAATGCATAGAGCTTAAAGTGAGTCAGGGTCATTTAGAGCAACAACCATCTTGATAGAATGAGTGTCTAAACGAGTTCAAAGGCACTGAAATCAAACTCAACTCATCAAAGCAATGGTGGCAACAGAGTGGAAACTAACAGTCGAGTGGCAGACTATTCAACATGGTTGGCTTGGTTGTTTCAGTTACTAGACCAAAACAGCACATGCCATTACTCAAAACATTTGTAATGAACGCAAGAAATAAACTCACACTGCCAGGGTTGGATGGCAATCGATAAAATATGAAATCATTCAACTATCAGAATGATTTATTAAACTATCTGTCAAGTATCATGACTAGCGACAAAGATTGAGAATGGAGAAATGAAAAGTTGTTATTCTTGGCAATGCTCTTTTGCAAATATCGTTAGATTGTTCATCTGCCGATTTAAATGACAATGTCATGTATCGCTTGTTTCTTGTACTACAATCACAATCTGAATTGATAGTCAGATTTCTGACCCTCTCGCTTCAATATAAGACAGCATTACTCATTTGATCCAACGGTTGCTACAACAGCAGTCTACTTGCTATTAGATTGTTTTCAAACCATGGCGAAATCGGGTTGTTGAAATAAATATTATGCATTCTCATTTCTTTTGTCTTGGCTGTGAATTAGCATGATGGGGTTATAGAGATGAACCAAGATATAGTAGTAGCAGTGCTACATGGAATGTCTGATTAGCCTTTTGCTTGGATTAAAGCCAGTTGTGTTGATTCATCTGATTTACGGCTGTATTCACAAAATTAAACACGAAATAAGGATGTCGCAGTGCATAATAAACGGCAATCTCATGAAATAATAATTTCCACCGAGCTTACTGGACGGCATTGTCCTCGGAACTCCTTGGCAAAGCCCAGTGGCCTTTCTTTTGATGACCTACATGGAAACAATGGCTGCACTCCTGTAATCTTTGTTTTCTTGAACTAGAGCGTATCTGAGATTTAGGATACAATAAAGAGCTTTATTGACAAAGTTCAACATCTGAATGGCAATGGATGTATTCGAGTTTAAACTTGACGATTATACAGTACAACGAATATCTAGTCATTGTTTATTTTGAAGCAGAATCGAGGCAGTCACTGCAAGAATAGTGATCCATCCTACGCGAGTACGGCTAACAAGATATGTAAGCAAAGCGATAGTGTGGGGCTTGACAACCACTAACAACATGTACAAGAACAGTGCATACAACTGTTTGGTCATGACCAAGTAAATAGTGGTTAGTAATTTAGCCATCAGGCACAGCAATCATATGGCAATCAGCCACCACCTAATGGCTACAACTTGCTTTCACTCGCGCCATTGTGTACTCGGTTCTACAATTGGTGCTAAACCCGTTTCATCAGTGCTGGTTATGCTTGTCAACCCGTTTTGTTGAATAAATGATTTTTACGCTTTCACTCTTCATTTTGTATAACTTGACCAGACATCGCATTCCCCGATTTCTTAGAACTGTCATTTTGATACATCGTAAAATCACCAGCATAACAACTTGCTGTGTTCATTTTCTACAATCTTACACTTATAGTTTGTATATTTAGCACTCAAGCTACCGACTGCTTGCTAGCTTATCGTAGTATTCAAAATGAACTATCACATTTATACCGCCCTTTTGGCGATCGCTGTTACCACCTCGACGGTAGATGCCCGTGGTGGTTGGTCATTCCATCGTGCACCAGTCAATGGCATAATCGAGCCTCTATACCTGACGAATGGTCCGAGTTTCTCCAGCAACTTGAATTCTAACAGTGGTGTTACTAGCACTGAGCCATCGCTATCTTCGAGCATCAGTGGTGCCACTGCCAGTCCAGTTTCAGCGCTTGAGAGTACTGCTACACATGGCGCACGATTTAGCAGTCAGAATCTAGATATACCAGAATCCACTGGTCCCAAATTTCCAGAAAAAGCTGGTGCAATCGATCCCAACTCGCAAGGTGTGGAGGAACCTGGAGTACCATCAGTCAAACATGTCGCCAAGGCGTTGCTTTCAGGCTCTGAAGAAACTCTGGGATCCAGTGCACCCAAATCGTAAGCCATGCATTCAGTCACTTGATTAAAAATTCTTGAACACTATCAATACTTGTCATGTACTAACTGTATATCCTGATGAATCGCTCCATTGGATTCGACATTTGATTATTCAAATGTTAATTATGCAGTGGGCTATCAAGCTCCATACAAGTTCCAAACTCCAACGTGAACTCAGGCCTCCTTTCTCCAACTGTCAAACTCAACGGAAAGGCTATTACACTAAGGGCCGGTTCATACGTCACCACTGTAAGTCTACCATAGTTTTAGTCGGAATACTTTGAGCGTGTAAATCTACAGATTGCTATTGGATATACTAATCGCTTGCTGCTTATCTACTTTTTCAGTTGACTACGAGAATTAGTCTTGGCACTCCCGGTCAATCGTTTGATGTGTCGCTTGACACTGGTAGCGATATATTATGGGCCCGTTCGTCAATCTGCACTGGAAATGGATGTGCAAGTGGCCGCAAATATAACCCAGCCTTGAGTTCAACATTTATCAATGGTCACACAGCATGGTCTATAATTAACTATGCCGATGGTACTGCAGTGAATTACACTTTGGGTAATGATGCATTGACAATTGGCACAGTGTCCCAGCCCAACGTCACGTTTGCTATTCCAACCTCGGTCACTATGCCCCCATCTGTACCAGGCACAGATGGAATCATTGGTCTTGCTCCTCCCAGTTTCAACAATCAAGGGACTGACACACAATTTATGCAATGGCTTTCTTATTCATTTGCTGTACGCCAAGTTTCTGTCTGGCACGATGTGATGGTCAAAGAAGACCAAAACGATCGATCCGACAATGGTGGCACAATCACATATGGTGGCATTGAGCCAGGTCGATCGTCTGGAACCCCTCACTGGCTTCCTATCCAACTCACTAACATTCCTGGCAGCAGTAACTATTGGGTCGTTAACATGGATTCAATCACTTTTGGTGGTGGTGCTATTCCCATGCCTTTGGATGCTAGCATGGCACTGGTTGATACTGGTACAGCTCAGCTTGTATTGGGTCAGCAACTATTTGATGTTGTTAACCAGCAGATGGGTGGTATCGATAACGGTGCTGGTCAATATACTCTTGATTGCACCAAGGCCAAAGCTTTCCCGAATCTTGTGCTCACTCTAGGCGGCAAAGCATTTACACTTACCTCGTCTCAGCAATACTACACTGATGGCAAGATTTGTGTTTCGATTCTCGGTCGTGCACAAGACGGTGAACAGCGTACTATTCTTGGTGTTGCCTTTCTCCGTCAATACTATGTTACATTTGACTATGATCGATGGGCAGTAGGTATTTCTAGCCTGGCCAAGGCGGCTCCTGTATCGAACAATGGAACGCCAGTCATTAGCACTATTCCCAAGACGATCAAGACTGTTGGACCACAACCTCGATCTTCAGCTGCAATCAACAATCCACAGCCACGACTGAACAATGATATTCCAACTCAGAACTCTGGCAGTGTTACTGCACCGTCGTCGGTTCCTAAACCGGCGGTCAGCAGTGGAAGCAGTATATCAGTAACACATAATTTCTTGGCTATACTTTTATCAATTGTAGCAGCTATGAATCTAATGCTGATTTGATTGTTACCATACATTTGATTTCCTATTTTCAAAAAATGGGTCGAATCTGTTTTTATCTAACTCTGCTTTAAAAAATACACCATTTCATCTCAACATACTTTTGGCAGACTATTTCCGCACAATCAAATTGCGCCTTTAGGCCTTTGATTCTCTTTGCACCATCAGCACATGAATTTTACCATTTGAAAGAACTGGAAATAAAAAAAGTCGACACTTGTAATTTACAAATTGAAACTTGCAATTATAATTGATCGTTACAGCCACATATATTGAAGCATATGCTAGCCGTCAAGGCATGTGACTTTCAGACTACTGGACAAGAATGTGGAAGTGCATAACAAAAGAATTAGAAACGCGGGTTCAAACTCGCTAGAATACGGCTGTATATTAGACTTGATATCGACTATTCAACATTTACAAAGAATTGGATTACTAGATGGTTAATACTAAAAACCGATATTCTAGAAACCTTTTGCTTTTGATTGGTTATTCTTTTGCTGGTTTTGTACATGCTAGAAATATCCAGTTTATGCCATGGTCGAGTCAGACTGCCACTCACTCATCTATGTCTTCGTCAGCAACGACCATTGATTTGAATACAGAGGATATGGTCGTGGGGATGATTTCTGCAGATACCGAACATCAAGAAACTGCTTCAGTTACTATGATCGCACAGGACACTGGACTGGTAATGAGTGATGATCACTCGATGCCTATGGTTCATGTTAATCAGCCGTTTATGCATGAGTTGGATAAAGCATCACTCCAACCTGCTCACATGCCAATTCCAAGGTAATTGTATTGTTGCATTTGAGGTTTTATAACGATTGAGTTATCGCCACCATTATTACATTCAATGTGCTGGTAAATCTACAAATGGTGTTGCTCATACTTGCAATCGATTAACTTTGTAGAATGCCACATCCTGTATCCACAGCTGGTTCCCCATCACCAAAACCGTCTTTTCGACCTAATCATGGTCCTTTACCATCTCCAAAGAGAACGACTAAAAGCAAAACTGCTACTAAAAAGCCGGCGTCTAATTCACCTGCTACTCCAATACCAACACATTTCTCAAGACAACCTCCGCCACATCATACTAGCATTTCTCACTCAACCCCACATTCAAGTGCACCTCACCCATCTACTGCTAAAGGTCCAATTCCTTCTCCTTTACCTCCTAAAGCTCCAGCCCCAGTTCCAGTACCTTCTTCCATCCCATCACAATCTCCATCTGCTCCAGTTCCAGTTCCAAGATCTCCTCGACCCAATCCATCCCCACAGCATGTTCCTTTTACCGCAGTGACATTGGGTGTAGGAAGCTACGCTCTCACAGTAAGTTGCGATTGCATTGGATTTATATCATGGCCATCGAGTCAAATTGAATGTATTGTCATTCACTGACTCTGCTATATCAGCTCACTGGACCATTACAGATTGGAACACCACCACAAACCATACAAGTGCAATTCGATACAGGATCGTCATTGACTTGGATTAGATCATCGAGTTGTAAAACTGGATCTGGATGTGGCGGACCAAAATATGATCCATCTCGCAGGTAAAAGTTTATGACAGAAATGCATAGTTTGCATAGTCCTAACACTTTATGACCATATCATTAGTCTGACGTGGAGACCTGGTACAGGTTTTACTCAATCCATGACCTATGCAGATGGTGGAAGTATCTCATGTGAAGAACAGCTGGATGTGGTTCATCTTGCAGGCACACAACTTGTATCTGAAAGCATCTGTTCTGCCAATATGATTACCAATGCTGTAAATCAAACTGATATGCTGGGTGGTCTTGTTGGAATGTCTCCCCCACTTGGAAAGGATAATACCAACCTGATGTTGACTCTTGAGCAATCCTTTGGATTAAGTATGGTATCGTTTTGGTATAACCAAATGGCAGTAGAAGGTGACCATGGATTGATCAGTGGTGCAGGAGAGATTACATTTGGAGGATACAATCCTGCTCGATTTAGTGGAGATATTGAATGGTAAGTAACTTGTCAGGATTACACTTTACACCATCTAACTTTTGGATTATTTGGCAGGCTTCCTGTTATTCCCAACACAGGGTATTGGTCAGTGAAACTCGATGGCATGACATTTGGAGACATGATTGTTCCTGTTCGTAAAGAACTGTCCAGCCAAACCATTTTTGATACGGGGACAACTCTTATTGCACTTCCATCAGATATGTTCACTGTGATGAACACCATCATGTATGCTGAGTTGGATCCAGTAGGAGGCATGTATAAGCTTGATTGTAAACACGCCACGACTCTCCCACCAGTAACACTGTTTTTTGGAGGAAAGCCCTATATGATGACCTGGTCTGAGCAGATTCTGACTGACAATGTCGATTGCTGGTCAGTGTTTACACCTACTCTGAATATGGGGATTATTTTTGGTGTATCATTTCTTCGAGTAAGTCCATCTAGATTGTGATTCGACTTGATGAAAAACTAACATGTTTACAGAACTATCATGTTACGTTTGATTACACATCAACGCTGATGCAAGTGGGGTTAGCGGCTACTACGGGACAGGTTCCACAGCCACCAACATTTACCAGAACACTGTCCAACTCGACCAGTAACGGGAAAACACTACAGACGTCATCAGGACAGTCATTCAGCGAAGCCGGGTATAGACGGACGAGTATGACCATAGTATGGATGATTGCTGTGCACATTTTTATGGTAAGGGTTCACAGCTAGCAACACTAGACATGAGAATGAAGTGATAAAATAAAGAAACTGTTACCATCATGGTTTAAAGGCATTCTGATGGCAAGTAGACAACTGTTGTAGCATTTCAACAAGTTTTTGGTTTATAAACTGTACGATTGTTTCAGGTTAGCGTAGATTATATAGATGGAACGCTGAGCTCGCGTCAGAACAAACCAATGACCAAACTTGGCAAGCAGCAGTCATTGACCCAAACAAGTGGCATTGTCGTATATTGAATTGAAAGGAACAGCAGGTTGTAGTGCAAGTCATGATATACGAGACAAGCGATAGATGCTCCTGTCATTCAAATCAATAAACAATTCACGGATATTTGCAAAACATCAAGAGTGATGGCTACAACGACTTATCATGGGGTTCTCTGTTCTCATACCCTTTGTCACTAGTGTGAAGGCACTAGTAAAGTTATCAAAGATTGAATGCCACTGATGGCCAAGCATTACAATACCGAATAGAATTTAGATTGCTTAGTTTATTTCAACTCCAAGCTGTATTCATGTAAAGTGAGCACTTTTGTACTACTTGCAGTCACTCTTGCTTGGAGTAGACAATGGTTGAATCTCTTTGGTGGACCTTGATGCTTGTTCAATAAACACCATGTCCATCCTATGGTGTTCACACAATTCAACTATAGTTTTGGGCTGACAAGTCTTTGAATCTGACACGTTTACACTTGAAGCAAAAGATTGCACATCTCGGGAAAGTGAACCGTTTCCACGTCAACCGCGCAATGTTTTATAGGAGTTGCAGATTGAACAAGTGCTGAGGATGCAGTGGAACTATAGTGTGAAGATTATTGAATTTTTTACAACCCAATAAACTAAACGTTTAGAAACACAATGCTGCCAATAAATTTGGCGCGAACTGGCACCAATCATCTCAGCAGACAGGCTGTTTATCACGTATTCTGACCCCTATTAATGTTTCATTTTGCGCGAATACGGCTGTGATGGAAGGCGTACTTGATGCGCTCCATCCACGTGAAGTGAATAAAAGGTCGATTCTACCGTCTGACAGAATCGTACTCGAGTTTCAAGTAGCTCTTGTTCAGATATCTAATGGGTGCATCCATACATACTGCTGTCATATTGCACTTGCTACTGCTGGTTGCTTCATTAGCATTTGCTCGTAATGTTGTAGAAATCCCTTCTCAATCTATCCTAAACCCAGACGGTCAACTATCCGGAGGGTCGAAATCAACCGCATTTGCTATCAAGACGTATGATTATTGCATCCCCAATTCATATACCACTGTGTCCATTATTAAATTGCATTCATGTTCCAACTCACGGCATCTTCATTCTGAATCTTTGTGTTTACAGAAGCGTTCGGTTTAACTCAATTCTGCGAGCCTCGGCTGATAATACATCTGCATCTATTACTGCCGCTAGTATGGGCCAAACATTGGTTGGAACGGTTCAGATTGGCACTCCTCCTATTTCTGTCACTGTGCAGTTTGATACTGGCTCTGCTTCGTTTTGGATCACTTCGTCCTTGTGTAAAGCTGGCAATGCCTGTCCACCTACTAGTCCTGTTTACAATCCCGACACAAGGTGAGTTCATGATGGTTCCCACACTGACTCGACTCGATTTTTTGAAATGGATACCCTGCAATCCATCTGCATTCATGTCAAGCTTAACTTGTTGGATACTCACGCTTAGTTTAAATCCTATTCAATAGCACAACGGCAAAGACCATCAATAATACTCTTCTTAATAGAGATTATGGCGATGGCACTAGTGTCAAATGTCTAGTTATCAGTGACACATTGGTGATTGCTGGTGTGGCAATACCTAATCAAAGCATCTGCTCTGCAACAGCAATCAACTACCCGTCCATGTCTTCTGAAGACGGTCTGATTGGTCTTGCCCCACCTCATTACAGTAATGATCCTGCAGATGTTTTTAGCAACTTGAAAAATGTATTTCCACAAAACAAGGTCAACTTTTACTATAATCGCAATGTAAATAGTCTGGAATCAAATACTGGATTGGTTCCCAATGCTGGTGAAATTACGTTTGGTGCTCCCGATCCAAATAGATTCACTGGAAACTTCAAATGGTAAGCCATTCAACCTGATTGTGTTGGTACTGCAATGGTATGGTTTTAAACGCATATTCATTTTGTTATAAGGATGCCAATTGTCACCACCGAATCCCATTGGGCGGTTGCGTTTGACTCTGTCACGATCAATGGAAGAACCACTTCTGCTAGTAAAATCAGTGCTCTTTTGTAAGTTTTCGTTTATTGAATATCATATTCTGGCCACTCCTTGCTGTTTTAATGGATTGACTGCAGGTGTAATGCTAGCGTATTTTTCCAATCTTGTATGAAATGTGCTGGATACTAATGCGTTTATCATTGTTTCTGTAGTGATACTGGCACGTCCTTGATATATCTCAACCAGCCCATTTTTAATGCTGTGAATAGTGCCATGGGTGGTGTCAAGATACGAAATAGTGATATATACCAAGTAGATTGTACCAAAGTTAAATCATTTCCTCCAGTCACATTTACATTCAATGGAAACTCGTTCACTTTGAATTGGGACCAGCAAGTTATTGTTCTACAAGGCCAAACCTGCATCTCGCTATTTTCTGCTTCTGGTGATCTTCCTACAATCTTTGGTGCTTCCTTTTTACGACAGTTTTATACCTCGTTTGACTATACAGGTCTTGTCGGACTTGCTCCACCCACTGGTTCTGTCAAGGCCATGATCGTTCCTTCAACTTCTGGGTTTAAAAACAGTGCCTTGTCTACTCTTGGTGGTTCCTTTAGTTCATTGATCCTACCGTTTGCTGTCGGTGTGCTGGCAATGGTATAAAATAGTTGACCTGCTTGTTTCACATGGTTCCACTTTTGTATTTTTAGTTGAAAGCGATTCCCTTGTTCTAATGTCAGCCTAGATTATTTCATTCGGCCAACTGGTCCAGTATGAAATACAACATATTATCTTAATGTTTACTTTCCTGCTTTTGATGTATTGTCTCGACAGTATAAATAAAGTCGGTCATTTGACTGTCATGTATATATTAATTCATGTTTTGTATTTTTGTATTTGGTGTTGATCTGACATACTGCTGTATAATCAACAAAATCAATACATTGAGCACCAACAGATCAAGATAAACTTGTGTCAAACCTCCCATAAAAACGTGTAATTAAAAAGTATTGATATTCAAAACGTATTGTGTCTATTGGAGGCATCACCAATGAATATCGAATCAAGCATTCTCCAACTATGCGTCTCGTTCACGACGCTGCTTGGAGAATGGATCTCGTGTGCCTACGGATGGTGCAGGAGCAATTGATTCGCGAGGAAGTGTAGTGACATCACCAAGGTATGTGGGGAATGGTACAATGGCATTTTCAGGAAACGTTTTTTTAAACCATCCCTTCTTGATCGAATCCGTGACACGAAGGTATCCATTCTCTGGACCTGGAACACCGCCTTTAACATAGATGAGATTGTATTGGTTATCAATCTTGATGACCTATTTTATACACGGTACTCGATTAATAATGCATTTCAAATACAACGAGTCAATGCATAAACTTACCTTGAGATTTTGTGTAGTACGATTAACACCACCCATACGACCAGGCATTTTCTTTCCTTTCCAAACCTTGCCAGGATCTTGACATTGACCAATTGAACCTAGGGATCGATGTGAAATAGAAACACCATGTGAAGCAGGTTGACCACCAAAACCCCAGCGTTTCATTACACCTTGAAATCCCTTGCCCATAGTCTTTCCTTGCACATCAACATACTGTCCAGCAACAAAATGAGATGCAAACAGTCTCACACCTGAAGGAATGCAAGCATCAGGTGTGACGTCAAACTCTGTGATTTTCTTTTTAGGTGATACTTGATATTTACGGAAATGAAACAATTGAGCCCGATGAAGACGATAAGAACGACGCTGAGAAACTGCTCCAACCTCGACCATATGTTTACCCGATCCAGCATGAAATCGGGTACGAATAACCTGACAATTTGATACCTGTAAATCCATATTCAAATGCAGGTTAGATGGGTTGAACTTTTAAATAAGATCTCTCATCTTGGCATGTACCTCTAAAACAGTAACAGGAACCATCTGACCCCACTCATCGAAAATCGAAGTCATGCCCTTTTTTAACGCAACAAGTCCGGTTCGTCTCGATTTGTATGTAAACACTGGTTTGGGTGTAGGTCCTGATCCATCTGACATGGGAAACACTGGCTCAGTACGAGGATATTTATAAAATCTAGCTCGAGTAAACCTTCCAGCTGTTTTTTCAGCGTATTCCTTTTCGGCATTCTTGGTTTCTTCAAGTGTTTGACGAACAAGATTGGGTTTGGCTAATGTTGCAAAAGAAACAGTGGATTGGAATGTGGAATGTAGTGGTTGGAAAATAAGCGATCTAGAGTGTATAGATTTGATAAGTGATCTGGGTCGACCAGATAGCTGTAAAGACGACAGCAGCGTTGTGATGGAATTCATGGTTGAACAACTAAAGCTGCCAAAGTTCAAGCGATCACCAGCAAAAAAGAATGGCAAAGTGAATCAATTATCACGTGGTATCAAGTGACTGAATGGTTTGGTTTTCAAACATCAAGATTTACACTTTTGCTATGAAATATAATGTCTGCGAGAACAGCAATAAGATGGACGCATTCAGGACTGCACGGTAGAATCCATCACACACCTATATATCCACACTGTCTAATCAAACACTCGCCAGTTTTTTTATCAGTGTATTCTCGTCCCTCCTACAGCACTATTCACTTTTCCAAACCCAACCCTTTCACAGCCAGTCCTAATCAGATCTATCCTACAGCCAAAGCATCACTGGCAAGATACTCCTCTACCCATTCAGATCAGCCATTATCTGAATCGTTTCCAGCACCATCAAAGAAAACTTGGATAGATTCAGTGTCGCCAACTATCAAACCTTATCTTTTGCTTACTCGTTTAGATAAGCCTGCTGGAACATGGTTACTGTACCTTCCATGCACATTTGCAATTGGCATGGCTTCGTTTTATTCAGCTGAAACCATTCCTATCATCACAACACTGTCCACTCTTGCTTTGTTTGGTGTTGGATCGGTTGTTATGCGTAGTGCTGGATGTATCATCAACGATCTATGGGATATTGATATCGATAAAAAGGTTGAACGAACAAAAACTCGACCTTTGGCATCAGGAGAAATCAAGCCCTTTCAAGCCATAGCATATCTTGGTGCTCATCTAACTGTTGGATTGGGAATACTGACTCGATTAAATATGTTCAGGTGAGTTTAAATCTATATCTCATTAGAGCAAAGTGAGGTTGGATTGTATGTATAGGTATGGATTGGTTAATCGGTTGTTGTTTAGTATACTGGTTGGTGCTTCGTCTCTTGCGTTGGTGGCAATGTATCCTTTGATGAAACGGATTACATACTGGCCTCAAGCCTTTTTGGGTCTTACATTCAATTGGGGTGCTTTGCTTGGGTTTACTGCTTTGATCACCGATCATGTTCCATGGGACGTTGCAGTTCCTTTATATTTGTCTGGTGTCTGTTGGACGCTTGTTTACGATACAATCTATGCTCTTCAAGACCGTTCTGACGATATCAAGGCGGGCGTGAAATCTACAGCAGTGATGTTTGGGAGTTACGTGAAACCTATCCTGGCAATGTTTGCCGTGGGCACAGTTGGACTCCTTGCACTTTCCGGGTGGATGAATGGTCACTCTGCGTGGTTTTACACTGTATCTGTAGGAGGTGGAATTCTGCATCTGGGATGGCAGATACTGACTTTAAATGTAGCGTGTCGAACGGATGCTGCAGCCAAATTTAAATCCAATCGGAACTTTGGGTTGATTGTTCTAACTGGCATTCTATTGGATCTAGGATGGCGAAAATGGGAATTGTATCGTACTTCACAACACAATGAAAAACCAATTCAATAAGAATTAATTGAAACTCCAACACATATCTGTTGCTCAAATTATGTGTCACATTACACCCTTCAGCAAAGTTTATTTCCTACAGTACTTGATATCCATAAAATTATTCTACTGAATCCAATTATTTGATAAACACCATCGTCTACGCCATCTACTGTATCACGTTCGAGTAGTAGAAGATTCGGGTATCGTTGTATCAGTGGAAGACTCTGCAACAGTAGTGATGGGAGATACAGTTGCACGATTTTGATCCGGTAAGGTATGAAAATAGTTTAAAATAGAAGTCAATCCACCAGAACCTCTTCGATCGTCTTTACCCATCTGTCTTCGTATAACGGGTTGTTTTCCTACAACCCCTTTAGTAGAAGATGACGCACGACTTTTTGATACAGGCGTCTTTTTCTTTCGTGGGGTAGATCCATTGGAAAGAGAAAGCGGTCCTGATGCTTGACGAGTAAGTAAAGGTTTTGATGGAGTTTGAACTGATGTCACAGCAGTATGTGTTTCGTGGTTCATACTTGCATCATGTTCAATGGGTATATCTGGCATACTAAAAATAGAGTCATAAAAGGGTGTTGGATCCACGTTTTCAATATTAAATGCAGTATCGGACAGATTGGATGCGTATGAATCTATAGTAGAAGAGAGAGATGAAGATAGATCAGGAAGTTGCATTGTAGAGCAATCGACTGATTCAGAAGTTGGAATAGGATCAGCTAGGTGTGCAAACCCACGAAGATGCACTGCACCAGGATTCTCCTCAAGCGCAGTCAGGTCAAGCCCCGCTCTCCAAACACGAACCGTCATATCATCAGAACAGGTGGCAATCTAAGAATTGTGATTGGAAATAGACATTTCAGAAAATTAGAAACTAGTCTACTTGTGCAATAGTATACAAAACATAAACACTTGCTTGTCCAAAATCAGATCCGCACCAAGCAACCCCTGATGTTTCTGCTTTGTGTCCTTTGAGAATCAATGGCAACTGATTTCCTGGTTTCGTGGTGTTCCACATGTAAACACCGCCATCTGTAGATCCACTCATGATCATCGAGTCATCTGGTGAGACACAGGTGCGGATATAAAATGAGGCACACTTGTATGTCGGATACGTGATTTGCTTTGTCGGTGTACTCAATCTACTAGTACTGAATTCGTGAATGCTGTATAGTATCCAGTCAAATAGAATTCAATGGTTTAAATGAAAAATTATAGATTTTAACAACAATTTGAAATGCATGTTACATACCTATTGTCCAAGCAAGATGCATACAGCTTTGTTCCAGAATGATTCAAAGTCAATGAACTAAATCCTACAATGCAATCATCATACAAAATGAACACGGTGTTTACAATTTTAATTTTAGAATAAATCCATTACAAACCAAAGCTCCGTTTGCAGTTTTTAGGAGGTGTCGATGTTTCAACTGCATTGCGCCAGTTTTTTGATACACCGGCAGCTCTCAGATCCCAAAACTTGACGAGTCTAGCAGTAAAAAACAGTCCCACAAGGAATTCAAATATAAAGTCAAGTTAATACATCATAAGCCAGACATGTAAAATGTAAAGTCGGTACTGTTTTTAAAGGCATACCCATCAGCAGCTCCAACGGATGCAATCATGTGCGTGATATGAGTTAAAAAGGTAACCGAGGTGACGCTCGCCGTATATCTTGGTGAGACCTAATCAAATAAGAACCCAATAGTTGGTATATAGACAAACAAGAGCAATATCCAACGTCATGCGATTGCTGTTGATAATACAAAACCACCTACTTTTGGGGTTGTAGGTTTAGATTTGGATGCAGATTGCAATAGCATGTTTAGCTGTGAGGGACGAACGTGTGCATAGGGGATAGAAATGACAGGTTTGCTGCTTTGCTCATGAGATGATGTGTGTGTAGAGCCAGTATTGCAATTGAATCTACGGTCCCAGACCATAATAATGCCATCTCTTGAAGCAGTTGCAATGACGTCTTTAAAGCAGTGGTCAGGGTTAGTATATTTTAGAATGATTCGTGCATTGCAGTAATAAATGATATTACCTGGTTGAGTAGGACACCAAGATACAGATTTGATGCTACCTCGATGTCCGCGAAAACTTAAAACGCTTTTCTTTGTTTCCAGATCCCATAAGCGTAAATGCGCATCTCCAGCAGCTGTTACCTGTAAATTGGATATTGAAATTGATATTAGGATTGAAATGTGTTTGTATTGGCAGGTATGGATTTACATACCAGTTGAGCGTCATTATGACTCCATGCACAATCAAAAATGGCATTATCATGAGCAAACCACGATGAAACGGGGCGTTCTAACCAGTATTTAACAAAACAAATGAATAGTAAGAAAGGCCAGTCCGACCATAAATACAAAGTTTTGAACCAGTCGTTAGAGTGAATTAAATCAACATTGAATTAGATGAACATACCAAATGTTTTTAAAGTGTTGAAAATGGAAACACAACCAGCTTCACCTACAACAGCCAGTAGTTTGTTTCGACTAGTGCCATTATCTAACATGAAAGAATGGAATGAGAAGTCAATCAACAGCTAGAGAGTACATGCAGATTCAGATTTAAAAATGCCAAGAGCAATACAACAAGACTCAACTGTGGTTGTAATGACATGCATATGGCGGGGATCGTTGACCATCAGCATCTTTCAAGCTCTGAATATCCGAGTCACTGCTGTAAAAAGACTGCAAGTAGGTTTTGATGGAAACTAAATACGCATATAATTGTAACTATCAAGTCAATACAAGTAGATATCAACACCTAGTCGCTTACAGTTGTGTTTGAAGCGTGACAGTTGACCAGTTTCTCTTTTTAAAAGAGTTTTCAAGGGATTGTCTGTCATGAATGAATGCAAGTTATTGATGAGAGTTCAGATTAGCAAGACTGTTAATGAGCTCAGATTGAAGATGTCCGAACAACCACGTGATTGAACATCAGATAAGAATAGTCTTGTGTGCTGAATAAAAGAATTGACTTATGAAATGGTTTAATGACGAATTGATCGAGTTTACTTTTAGTTTACTGTTGAATTCACGTCAAAGTAACAATAACTCATTCATCTCGTAAAATAATTGATGTTTGATGAACAATGCTGTACGCTGGTCTCTTAGTGATTGGCATACGTAATTGCATTCCTGAAATCATTTTTAAACTAGAGTGTATTTGATATTAAAATATAAAACTGGATTGAGAATATATAGCGAAGAGTTGATTTATTTCAAAGTTTCAAAAGACTTGCATTTAATGTGAACACAACTTGAACACAACTCGACTCAAATCTTGCTTATTTTATTGCTTTGTGAATTCTATTACAATGACTACAATGTCTCCAAACGGACAATCTTACATTCTCTCTACCAACGCACAGAGTTTGGCAAACTATCCGCATGCTCGCAAAGCCAATGGCTTTCTCTTTATTTCTGGCATCTCTTCTCGTCGTCTAGATAACACTTGGGAAGGTGTAAGTTGCTTTATATAGTGTTATGTTGCATGTTGGCATCGTTTTAATTCATCTTGTGCAGGTGAACAAGTTACCAGATGGTTCGATGCATTTGGATATCAAAAGCCAAACCCGAGGAGTTATCAACAAGTAAGGCTTTATAGTACTGAATTCATTCTTGCATTATACAACCTAATTGCATTGTATACTCTTCAATTGTCAGTCTGGATGCTATTCTTAGGGCTACTGGAGCAAGTCTAGCCAATGTTCTTGATCTTACTGTATTCCTTATTGATATGAAATATTATGACGAGTTTAATTCAGTCTATAATGAGTTTTTCAATGCAGAACATGGTAAATCGGTTACTTTCAAATGTTGATGTTTTAGCTTTGAATAATTGAATGTATTCTCTGTTTAGGACCGACACGAACAACTGTAGCAGTAAAGCAACTTCCCAATCCAAACTTGCTGATTGAGATCAAGGCAGTCGCACTTGCAAACGAGTAATTCAACTCGGCAATACATTTGATTTCTTTTGTTATTTTCATATAAATCTTCAAGAGATACAAAATACATGTTTTATTATCCCAATCAATGCTTAAAGCTTAACACAAACAGTGGTTTCCTAATATTGACATACGTGTTAGTATACGATTTAATCAAGACATTCAAACCATGACTTACTTCGCAGAAAAACTCCATGGAATGAACTCGTCCTTCACGACCCAATCCACTCATCTTCATACCTCCGAATGGCATGTTTAGATCACGCACCATCCAGCAATTGATCCAAGCGGTTCCCACATGAAGTTTCTGCGCAACAGTATGAGCACGTTTAAGATCCTGTGTCCACACGCTTGCACTCAATCCATACTTTGTACTGTTGGCATAAGTAATGGCTTCCTGATCTGTCTTGAAGGGTGTAATGGTCACCACAGGTCCAAAAATCTCTTCTTGTTGCACACGAGCCTCGGTCGGATGCACTCTACCATCACATCAGATTCAGTAAAAATAGTCTAGTGACAAACTCTCCTCATTCACTTACCCAACAATGATTGTAGGTCGTACAAAACATCCATCCGTCAATCCAACAACTGTTTCGCGATGTCCACCAGCAACGATCTTGCCACCCTCGTGCTTGGCAATATCAATATAGGACAAGACTTTGTTCATATGCTCTTTAGACACCAAAGCCCCAATTTGAGTGGTTGGTTCACTTGGATCACCAACAACAAGTGCATTGGCACGTCGAGTCAACTCGGTTACAAACTTTTCAAAAATATCTTCATGGACAAAAATCCGAGATCTTAAAAACACAGTGAATAAACATCATTGAATGAATTTGACATTCAACTCAACTTACCCGCAAAGACAGATTTCGCCTTGATTGGCAAACGAAGATCGGACAGAAGTGGACACGGCAGTTTCGAAATCAGCATCAGCAAACACAATGTTGGCATTCTTTCCACCGAGTTCAAGTGACATTTTTTTATTGAGAGATGCAGCTGTTTTGTAAATGATCTCTCCTGTAGTTGTACCTAATCCACAAGGTATTGGATCAAGAATACAATTAGAATGGTTATAACATGTGAATATCAGTCAGTATTGTCAAGTCACTTGCCCCCTGTGAATGAAATCAAAGGAACATCCTTGTGAGAAACAAGAGGTGATCCAACAGATGGACCTGTTCCAAACACCATGTTTACAACTCCAGCAGGCAATCCAGCTTCTTGTAAAATTGAGCACAACATCCAGGCAGTAACACTGGTGATCTCGCTTGGTTTACAAACACAAGTGCATCCAGCTAATTTAAAAATAGTTGATGTTAAATAACCCAACAGTAGACGATAACATGGAAATAAAACTAACCTGCAATGCATGGCCTAGATTTCATACCAAACACACATTCTAGTTAGAATCTCAACTCGATCAACCATTCAACCATTTCAACTTACGCAATCTTCCATGTCAGTAAATACAATGGCAGATTCCAAGGAGAAATCAGTCCTGCCTAGAGATTCAGATTCCTTCAGTATTCAACTCAACTCCATACGAATACACATGGGTTACAATCTGATTGTGTACTCACGACTCCAACAGGATTTCGATGAACATAATTCAAGGCAACACCATCCAACATTGTTGTCATTTCATGCTGATACAGGATAGATGAAGCAAAAAACCGGAAATTATGAACAGCTCTTGGGATATCGATTGATAATGCAAGTGAAATGGGTTTGCCTATTGATTGCAGTTAGTATAGCAATGCATTAAAAAGCAATGTGTATGACATGTGGATTCAAACCTTGATCATAAGATTCTTGTTGAGCAAACTCTTCTAGTCTTGATTCAAGCAAGTTGGCAATACGACTTAGAATAGCTGAGCGTTCGGATCTAGTAGTGGTTGACCATGTAGGAAAAGCACTTTTTGCAGCAGCAACAGCAGCATCCACATCAGCAGCAGCAGAATCAGGAACCAAGGCGTTGATTGTTCCTGTAGCTGGGTTTGGAGAAGATATGTATTTAAAAGTACTTGGAGGAATGAATTGATTGTCAATGAAGTTGGATAGAGTGATGGGTGATGGCAAGGACATGATTGAACGTGGTCAAGAGTGAACACATTCGACTCGCTCTTTATTGCTTCAACTGTTCATTTCAACCATGCATGTTTATTATCTCGTTCAAGAAATATGTTATGGAATCAAACTGTTATGGATGAAACCATCAGTGATTCCATCCAGCATTATAGTGTCAACTTGGATTTATATTATAATTCCTTTGTGCACTGTCTTGTATGCTGACCAGTTCTCGATGCTTATACCGTATCATCTAGTTGGATGATCCATTCAACTACTACAGGATGCAATCGCGTCTAGATCGTTCGACACCAACGTATCTCTGGTTTCAATCTCTTGCTGATGAGCTGGATCAGATTCGGTCGATTCAGGCAAAAGTAACAAAATCCCATCATTGGCATTTTCAAAACTAGCAGATTGCACTGCACTTGAAAAAGGTGTGGGTGCACCTCGAAATCGATCAGGTCGGTCTTCCATAGTAGTCGAGTTGGCACTATCAGAAGACGAGTGTGCATCAAGATGGACTAGTTTAACCCCATTTGAAAAAAACTCTTCTGATGCAGTGGGTGTCAAGCTTTCACCGCGACAATTCACAGCATGAACATAATTTGTTGACAAAAAGGTATACAATGATAATGGAAATAACCATGCATCCGCATCTAGTCAACGAGCATAAATTCAAGCAACGTGTTAGTGAATCTCGACCTTGCTCAGTACAAGAACTACATTGAAAACGTACAACTTGCAGCATACGTGAGCGAGTTTTCTCGAAATGTAATAACACGATACAAGAATGCTATTCCAATGTAGATGGATAGCAAAATGATTCCAACCAGTCTTGAGCCATCAGACTTTCGTAGCATCGTATGATATATGCTTGTTCCTGGAATATAGATGGCTGCATGAATGACGGAGATGAACAAGGCAGAACATAGAAAGATGTAGATGGCCAGAAGAATATGTGATAGTGCGCCTAGACACATGACTGTTTTCTATAAAAATAAATGTTGGCATGATAAAAACTTTTAGAAATCAGACATCAAACCTACATTTTCAGTGAAATAGGCCAAGACAAATAGCGATCCAGTATAGGCAGTAGCAGTCTGAATCACCGATGTCGAATGGGCAATGGTGGAAAGTGACGTTGCAGCTGATAGCACACCCAATGCTATAAACTTACTTTTCTGTTTCTCCTAAAAGCGTTCAAACCAAAGCACCATAAGCACTCAGGGATAAATCAAAGTGAACCCCAACATAGCTCACCTTGAATAGGGCTCGGACACGATACAACAGTGTAGAACACAGAGCTAGTGTAGCTAATGATCTGAATATGGCCAGTCCAACAACTCTACTAGTCCACCATTTCAAATCGATATTAAAAGGAGATATGCGTACATCGATCAGTGTCAACATATAGGCAATGTATGCAGCAATAAAAATCCAAGTGATCCATGCTAAATGATATAGGGTTGCATCCCATGATGTACGGATGAATAGAATGCGAAACAACAATCTTGTTGAATCACTGAGTATGCGGATACAAGACGAGCCAGCCAAAATCATGCAACAGATTCATGTTGAATTGTGTAGTTATCGAACCAGCAAAAATGTTAGTCAACTGCCATTTCAAAGGTCAATCCATGCTAGAACATCGTCATACAATAGTTTAATGTATGATGAAATAAAAGCTGAAGTGAACCCATAGAACAAGCCATCCAGTAAAGCCAATTCGCTGGTTTATAAGATGATTACCTTATTCCAAACCCAGCAAACATGATTGCAAAGGTGAGATGAGAAGTGATTGTGCGGTTATCATAAAGTCCGCTTGGCATAAAATAAGAAATCAATTCAATGGGCATAAGTGCGCTCTGGACAGACATTGCTATTACAACTGTATTTAAAATGAGCAGTGTCAAGGATTGGGGATTGACCCCAAGTCAAAGTTGAATTCAATACACCTGGAAACTAAATGTCAATCCGACACCTTGAATCGAAAAGCAGATTATATACGATACACAAACCAGGATAGCGTGTTGATTTGCAAACTAGTGCAAGCTGGTCGTGAGTCATGCACTTCAAGATGCTGAGGCTTTTAGTATTTTGAAGTGTATCGATTTACCCATGACGCATATAAGCTCAATTTCTAGTCAACAGTCTGCGTTGATATAAACATTACCCAGCTCGCTTTGTAAACAATCAATGTACACGTATTACCCCTAGACCAATCTATAAAGCTCACTATTTTGAGTGGTCATTCATTCGATATCAAAAACTGAACCCAGAAATAATGTGGGTTCAAACTATAACAAGCATTGGGATTAAAGCAACTATCACGCTCTAGGATCAACATCCAAATCCCATTTTGTATTATCCAGTCTATAGTAAATCCCTATAACGAGTGCCTTTAAAACCACTCGCGATAAACCCCTGGCCGGCTGCTAACATCACCGTATTGCCGTTGTGGGTTGAGTGAGGGTTCTGTGTATTCTGTTGCATTCCACGGAAGGGGTTGTGTCGATAGACTGTCAGCATGCTCGGGATGTGCAAAACTGTCTGGAGGCGAATAGGTATAGTCGTGTGTTGGATACTGTCGTTGCTTTTGAGCCTGGTCAGGAGTGTGGAGATAGTTGATACCCCGTGTATCCGACACTCCCTCCGTATACAAATACCGCGGCACGGGGGGTGTGCGTATGTTGTGTTCAGAAACTGGCGAGTGCTGAGCAATGGTGCTGTTGTACGTGTTTCCACCATAGACAAGTACGGGATGACCAATGGTATGGTCGCTATTGCTGGACGTGGCGCTTTTGTCTTGACCATCAATAGCGTCTACTTTGGCTGCACCGCCACCCACCGAGTTGCTTTGGTATCTTGAAGTTGCTGCTTTGGATTTACCGATAATCTCCTTGGCAGACACATAGCTAGTAGACAAGAACGTATACATTTCCAATGGAAACAGCCATGCATCGACATAGTACGATAGGTACACGACGTAGTTATCAGGTGATCGAATTGCATTGTAAATTTGACATCCAGCAGTCAAACTGCACAAGATAATAATAATAAGAAAACGAGCGCCATCATGGTTCAAAAACATTTCGCTTGCAAATGTGGATGACGACATTCCAACAGCATTGGCAATAGAGTATAGGAATAAAATGGAGCAAATGGTTGAAAAAACACCCTGAGTAATGTGTGAAATGGCGGCAAGCATAGATACAGTGTGCTATAGTATCAAGTTGAACAGTGGCAATTAGGGGTTAAAAATACAGGGTTGTCGTTAGCGTTGGTTTCCCTAATTAGCATGCCAAACAGTTTGGCATGAATCTCGCACCAAAACAGAATAATAAACTCAAATGCCTTACATCTTGAAGAACATCACCACCAATCAGTATTTTTTCTTCAGGAAAAACCATAACCATGTATCCAGCACAAAGCGAAAAGACAATGGCAGATGTCATTGTAAGAGCACCAAGAGAGGCAAGCGCAATAAATGTGATGGATCTCGCCTACACCAATCGATAAAACCGTGAGTATCAACGTTAATGTATAGTGTCCACCTATCAAAGTATGACGATCATGAATGTATTACCTCAAAAAACATTCTGATACGAATCAAAAGCAAAGAATAGAGGCCAATAGCAGAGAGACTCGAGGCACTCAGTAAAACAATGAATCGAATTCTATACCATGTAATATCAAAGTGGTATGGCGAGATGCGCAGATCGACAAGAGTGATGTATAGTGAGAGATATACCATAATGAAAAGCCATGTTATAATAGCTAATCTAAGTAAAGGAGTACGCCAGGCATTACGCTTTGCAAGAATAAAATTGAGTGAACTGGCCATCTCACTAAGGTTGTGGTGACGAGTTAGTATTCAGCATTGTATATTTCAGGCACAACAGATGTTCATGTGTTGGAAACACGGGTAGAGTCATGCAGATGCAGCCAGTAGCAAAATAAACGAATTGCTGGTACAACTGTTGCAGCCAAGAAAACAAGTCCTATTATCAGAATGCAGATGATTGCATTCTGATCAACTCAGGTTCAATCTTGCAAGCAACCTGTGAGCATCTGCAAGCAAGCACAGCTAAATCCAGGCTCAGTCATACAAGCAATGAATTTGTACAGATAATCTACTCACTGCAATCCAAGACCACAAAGCAATCCAGCAAATGTTAAGTAAGCATTAAAGTAGCGTCCGTTATTAAGACCTCCATTTGGACCTAGCAATCGCTGTTTGATGGCTTCAGCAGCAGCGCTCACTGCTCCTTGAACAGTCTGATTGAGAGCAAAAGTCAGAGCACTAATCTGCTGTGGAGTGAGGCCTGGAGGAAGCAGCTGCAGAAGAGATGAAAGTGAGTTTCCAGGAGAATTGCTAGCCAGAGCCAATGCAGTGATGGACTCGATAGGCATTCTAGAATTTACAATATGCAGAGTACGACGCCAATAAACTGATAATATGGTAGTGCGATGATTCAATAAATGCAGAAATCGACTGAATTTATAGAAAGATTGTTGGGGTCAAAAACCGTTAAAATGCAAACAATAAAGTTGGCGTTTGGCGTTTGCTGATTATTCAACAGCATTGTTGGTGGATTGCCAGTCGAGCCTAATTGTGTTTTAGTGGATTACCAGCCGAGTCTGATTGTATTCTAATAGATTGCTTACATGGATTTAATCAAATCTCGTGAATTGACATTGTACTGTTCAATCAATAGATATCGAATGGTCATGAAAACTGGCCCAGCATTCAACACTACAGCCTATTTATAAAAATATGTGAAACCAGCCATTGTTAAATACCGAATGATCTGCTTTTTATTATCAAGCTTTGTTTTATATTGTTTAATCATTTAGTCGGCTGGGCTAGACCGAATAATCTTTAGAATTGCAAAATAATAGATTCAGTCTTGAATGCAATCCACGAAATCACCAACTTGATGAGCTTTCAAGTTGAACTGATTTCATTCATTTGACATCAACATCAGTCTAAAATCAAACATGCATTCAGATACTGTATGGATTGGACTATTAGCTCTTGTAGCCAGTAGTAGCATTCGTTCACTATTGGCTTCTACACTTGCATTTGAGCCCTATTCGGAGCGTTTGGAACTTTCGCAAATGGCAGATGGTAAAGTCTTGGCTCAGTTTGCATTCACTACTCTGACAGACTTGTCCAATTCTGCTAGTCAAGGTACTCCATAATACAATAATTTATTGGATTTGTACGCAGTATCGACGTATTCTTGACTCGTTGTATCTAGATAATCATTACGGTCTGCTGCCTCGATCTATTGGCGAAGTGGTTCAGACATTTGATATTGATGAACTGCATTTGACATTTACTCAAGGACGATGGAGTTATGACCGATGGGGTCATTCTGACTTTACTGCTCCAATTGGGGTCGAACTGTGGGCATGGTTCAACTCAACCAGGTATGAGCCTTGAGTTGTTGTTGCTCTGCATTTGTTATAAGCTAATCTACATTGATTCATCCACAATCAATCATCGTGTTCCTTAGTCCAGATACTAAATGGAAAGGCTTGACGAATGCTCTTGCTGGGCTGTTTTGCTCATCACTCAACTTTCTTGATCAAGCTGTCACTTCTCAACCATTGCTGTCATTTCTACCGTCTGGATCTCACTGTGAGTCTCCAATGTGATATTGGTCTAGTCCTGGAAATCCCTCCAACTGATCTCGACCTTTTTATGTATTTTATAAAAGCCAAACGAGAAGGATTGCAGATTCGATATGGATCGCTTCCTCGTGAGGCTGTCTGCACAGAGAATCTGACACCTTGGATAAAGTTATTACCATGTCAAGCCAAAGTAATTCAATGCATTTGCAAAACCATTTTTGTCACTCGAGATTCAAATTTACACTGAAAGTGCATGATGCTCATCAACCTTGTAAATACTACCAATTCTAGTCTGGACTTGCTTCGCTTTTAAATGCATACAAGATATTCGATGGCAATTTTCAATCCATTGGTGTCCATATTCAACCCAAGTGCATGGTAGGCTTTTTAAATTTAAACTATCTGAAAATCTCTAATCAACTTATGCATAAAATTATAGACTCCTGATTGCGTGACTATGGGTGTCGAGTATCGTCAGACATTTGCTGTTGTTTTGGACCCTATTCGCACCAACTCTCAGAAAGGTCAGACTATAGCTATTTGGTTTGATTGTCGTGTTTAGAATTCTATGCATTAACACCTGTGCATTTTAAATGTATAGATTGGTCACTGGAGTCACTGTTTGATCGTACCTTTCCCAAAGCCTGTCCATTTTCCCTATCGACTACAGTTCATTTGGATATTTTAAACATTCAGCCTGATACCGTTGTAATTTTACCAGATCCACACATTGACCAATCCACCTCCACTGCAGTGTCTTACACATACCATCTTTCCACTGATCCTTTCCAACTCAACGTTCGTTGGAATGATGCTACTGTCAACTACCGTAAGTATTTGGTCTGTTATTTCTGAAAATCATGTTTTTAAAACCAATAATTATTTTCACTATACAGGCAATCCAAAACTTGCTCCAATTCAAACACATCGGTATCTAAGTGGGGTTGGACAAGAACATGGTGGTGTGGTGATTGTCTTTATCAATGATTTAGATGTTCCCATGGCTGCTACATATATGGACTCTATTCCTTGGATCATCAAATTATTTATGCATACATTTAAAGTCGAGTTGGAAAATCCGTCTTCCAACATTTCTGGTAACGTTGATTATAACCTCGATAGAAACAATACGTTAAAAAGCTGTTCACGTAGTATTGACTAGATGGTTCAATTACTTTTTATTCCAATGTGTTTTAGACATTATCCGTCAAACCTATTATCAACCAGCAATTGATCGTATACGACCCAACGTGCTTGAACTTGATTTGGTACTTGGACCTAAATCCAAAACAACACTGACGTTTGACTTTGATTACACGTTTCTCAAGTATACCGAGCATCATCCAGATGCCAACCATGGATTTGAGCTAGGGTGAATACAGACTGACTTGTATTTTATGTTTTTATTTGTAGCTTACTCGTTTGGTTTTGATATTAGGTTTGGTGTGCTTACACTTTTTCCCGACTCTGGTTTGACTTTTGACAAACACCATAGTCAATCTGATCAACGCCGGATTTACACCGAGTCGTTGTTGGTGCGCCTACCTACACCCGACTTTTCCATGCCATATAATGTGATTACCCTGACATGCACGCTGTTTGCCCTGTTTTTCGGGTCAGTGTTTAATGCACTTACAAGAGAGTTTAGGCCAGTAGAAGTAACTGGTGGCAAAGTATCACCTTTACAACGGATAAAGACTATGCTAAAACAAAGTATACATGCATTTGTTGGCATGATATCCAAGACTGTTGCTAGCAAGCCAGAATAAAGCAGAATCCATTACAACTAACAATAATGGGAATGAGAAATGTTGATTGTATTTTAACTCATTTTTATCATGGTTTGATAGTATTTTGAAAACGCGAATTTTCTGTAGAAATACACCATCAAGTCAATGTAGACTATATATGGAGCACTGAAACGCTCGTGTTGAAGCAAGATTAAATGAGATGCTGTCATATATTTAATCGACAAGAATTTCAGGTTGTCCAACAGGTTAGATTGTTGCCGTAGTAAAGACACAATCGATGATCCTGCCATTCAAATCAACAATCTACCGATATTTACAAAACATCAAGAATTCTCATTCGTCTATCCATTTCGATTCCAATTGTCGGTAGTGTAGTTTCAACCAAAATATTATAAATTCTACTATCCAACTAGAATGCATTTGATACAAAATGATTGATTCATTAGTCAGAGCAACATGTTATGGATCCTTTTTTGATTGAGCCTCAAGTCGTCCCAGCTCACGAACATGATCAAACATGGGAGAGTCGTTATATATCCGAATAGGTTCTTTACCAGTTTCGCTGAATAAACAAGATACAAATGTTCCCATTCCTTTCAAGAATTCTAAATGTTGGATGCTCATAAGAGCATCATCGAGATGGCGAGCACATCGATGTGGTTTCACTTTGCCTACAGCTTGGTCGTACGTTCCTTGACCATATGCCATATCAACTTTTCTTCTACGTCTAGAAATAGCATCTTTCTGTGAATCCGTAAGACCTCCTTGTTGTTGATCCAGTAAAGTGTATGCAGAAGAATCGACCATGAAAAAGAATGAATCGAGTCAACTTGATTATAACCAGAAATCCGAGTCAACGTTTGACAAACAATACAATTTAAAATGAATCTCTCGAGCCAGTTGTTTTAAACCAAAGTTGAATCTGATCGTCAAGACACTTGAATAAGATTGACTTTGTGCTGATCAAGATGAACAAAAGTCGACTCAAGTATCAATTCATGTCAATGATGTGAATTTACCCCAACATCATCATGACCGAGTTTAGCGTGGCGATTATCGGCGGAGGGCTAGTTGGGTCGCTCTCTGCTGTTTATTTTGCAAAGAGAGGTTACACAGTCACTGTCTATGAGAAACAGTCTGGTAAGTTGGATGCAATCTAAACTACAATGAGTCGTATCTTGTCAGCTTGCTTGATCAAGGTTTCAGAATTTCTGTCTAGACTGCAATGATGATAGTAACTCAATAATGCACTCTTTAGATATTCGACAGAGTCAGAAAGTTTCGGGACGATCCATCAACTTGGCTTTGTCAGCTAGAGGAATTGCTGCTCTTCAAAGTGCTGGTGTGTATAAATCTATTGCAGAAACCTTGATTCCAATGCAGGGTCGTATGTTGCATGATAGCAACGGCACTCTCTCTTCTCAGCAATATGGTATTCATGGAGAGGTATGTGAATACAAATTCATTCTGATCTGCCATATCCAACTGTCAAAAACAATATCCGATTGTGTAGGGTTCTGCTCTAATTCCAATGATCATGATTCAAACAGTTTATTAACTCGGTCGATCGCAGATTTGTCAACGAGGAGCTGTTGAATGCTGCCGAAAAGTACTCAAATGTTAAAATCTACTTTGAGCATAGTGTTGTTTCTTGCGATTTCAATAATCGGACCATGATCATTTCAGAGTAGGCATTGAGTTGTTTTTACTTTAAATCACCATCTTGCATTAATAGTTCAAACCATAATTGACTGTTATTCTAGCTCTACCGGTCAAAATATCACTGTGCATGCTAATCTGATTGTTGGTGCCGATGGTGCATACTCTCGAGTTCGTACTGAACTGCTCAAAAAAACCATGTGAGTCATTACCATCAAGTGTATAGCTGATCAATCAAAAAAATGTCTGATCAACCTGCATGTTTTGATACTAATGAAAATGAACAAGTGGATTCTACTCGCAAGAATATATTGATCACGGCTATGTCGAACTGACGATGCCTGCTACACATTCTGGAAATTATGCAATGGATCCAGGTCATTTGCATATATGGCCTCGTCAAACTTTTATGATGATTGCACTCCCGAACGTGGTATGTTTGTAGTACTACTTGTGCCACGTACACCATTCATGATTCTGATTGTATCTGTCCAAATATGTCAATAGGATCGATCGTTTACAGTCACGCTTTTTATGCCCTGGTTTAAATTTGAAGAAATTCAAACTCCAACTCAACTGATTGAATTTTTTGAGGATAAGTTTGCTGATGCTGTACCCCTGATTGGCAAGGGATTTTTGGTTCAAGAGTATTTTAAAAACACCAAAGGATCTCTAGTTTCCATCAAGGTACACTATGTATTTAAACATGTTTGGCAATCTCAATTTTGCTTAAACCCAACTTTTATTCTTGAATCTGTAACAGTGCAAACCATATCATTACAAAGATCGAGCAGTGATTATTGGCGATGCAGCACATGCCATGGTTCCTTTTTACGGACAAGGCATGAATTGTGGTTTTGAAGATGTGTTGATTCTTGATAACCTGTTTAGTAAGCATCTTGATACACTCAGCATTTCCATTGATAGCCATGACGATCGCAAAGTTCCACAACTTGAAATGTTTACCTTGAGTAGCATCTCCAACATGTATGTCATGTCTGCTCCTACTCCATCTCAGCTTGCATCGATTCTGAAAGAGTACTCGACGATACGCAATCCAGATGCAGAGGCCATTTGTGATCTTGCTTTAAACAACTACATTGAAATGCGATCCTCGGTCACCACGTGGTCGTATTTGCTACGTAAAAAGTTTGAGAGCGCCATGTATGCACTGTTTCCCAATCTGATTACACCACTCTATACCATGGTATCGTTTTCGAGAATTCCATACTCTGAAGCTATGAGAAAGTGGAAGGCTCAGACATGGTGGTATCGGACAGTTGGACGTGCCAGTATATGGTGTGGTGTATTGGGTGTAGGTGTTTACGCGCTGTTGCGGACACCTCATGTCCGTAAAGCGATTGTATCTGTTCTGGATTACTAAGACGACACTGACAACGGGTAAAGAAAGTACCCAATGAAATTCTCTACACTTGATCTACCCAACCAAAACCTTTCCTACTGTGGTACCAATTCATTCGTTATACGATTTCTTGAACAGTATCTTATAAAGCTCAATAAAATTGGACTGATTTGAAAATCAAGATGATAGTTCACCAAACACATCCACACCAAACTGCAAGAAAAAGTTGCCGAATCGCTTTGATTTGGTTTTGTGAAGATCACAGAGTAGTTTGTAGTCTGCCTCGGGAATCTCGAAACATTCAAAGTTTTCCTCGATACGAGACGGAGTGCTGGATTTGGGAATCACTTGAGTTCCATGTTGGACACCCCACGAAAGTAAAACCTGGGCAGGAGTTTTTCCGTTGCGTTGAGCTATATCCAACACCTAAAGTTTAAAAGCCGATCAGTTTAGTCTACATTACGCGGAATCGGACAAATGAGAATATCCGATTCTCCAACTTACCAGTGAGTCAGATAGGAGCGAGCCAACACCTTTATGAGATCCAAGCGGGGAATAAGCTGTTACAACAATCCCATGCTGAGAGCAAAACGACAATAACTCTTGTTGAGGCAAGTAAGGATGAACCTCGACCTGATTCACTGCAGGTTTGATTTCGGCATACTCGAGCATGTCCTTCAACATGCTAATAGAGAAATTGGACACCCCAATAGCCCTGGTTTTGCCTTCCTTGACCAGCTTCTCCATGGCTCTCCACGTTTCCTTCATTGTAACAGTAGTGTCAACAAACTGTCCTTTGGAATGATATTCCCTGACCTGTTCGACATTGAACATATCAAACTTGATGTCGGGATTGATGGCAAATGGCCAATGAACAAGATACAGATCAACATATGGCATATCGAGATCTGAAAGAGTGATTGCCATGGCTTGAGGCACACGATCAGGTCGATGAAAGGTTCCCCATAACTTGGAGGTAATAAAGAGTGAAGACCGAGGAACACCAGAAAGCTTGATGCCCTCACCGACAGCCTTTTCATTGCTATAACACCAGGCTCCGTCGATCGCAGTATATCCAGTCTTGATGGCATGAACAACAGCATCCCGAGATGCTTCACCCTTGGCGCCATAGGTTCCAAACCCAATAGCAGAAACAGTTGCACCGTTGTTGAGAGTAAACGTGTGTGATGTCTTGCAATGCATGTTAGATGAAGGGTTAAAGAAATCAATCGTATCTACTCGTAATTCACACAAAGCAGAATACTAAACAAGAATGTTAACCTCGGAATCATTCACACCAAATTGCTGGTCAGCAATGCTTTAAACTCTGACAATGCATGGCTGTGCTAAACAAGGATTTTCAAACTAAAGTTTAATTTGTATGCGTCATATAATGGTCATTGTCTTGAAAAATGTCAGTTTCTAGTAGAAACCCTCGACGAATATTCAACCATTTTGTATATCAAAAAACCCCAAAAGATAATTGTTGCAAAATAAATATAATTGTTTTATTTAATAAATTTATATAATATTTCCTCAAAGTAGCGGGATGTTCAATCATCCAACAACTACTGAGGGTTTAGACCCGGTCAGTATTGACCGGTGTCTTCAAGCCTATTACAGGCGCTTCGAACCAAGTGATTTGGTTGTGACCAACCGAGTCAACTTGGTGCAATAGCGCCTGCACGCTTTGCGGGCTGTTTCCCGAGATATCTCGGGAAACTCGTGCAAAGGCGGGAAAGCCTTTGCACTAACAAGGTCAGCAAAGTTGACCGAAACCACTTTGCTTTTGTGGTTAGCGCAGGGTTTGGCCCCCTTGCTGACCTTGTTGCCAACCAAAACCGCCGAGTATAGGCGGTTTTGTACAGCGACTTCTTGCGAAGTGCTGGGCTGGACTGGGGTTGCATTGCAACCTACAACTAATCAAAGTAATAATAATAACATCAAGTTAGTCAAAATAATGTTTATATTGGAATAATAAAGTTTAAATTAAAATGGCAAATTGAGTTTTCAACATTGATCTCAAATATGCCATAATTCAAAATGAATATCAAAAGTATACGAATATAATATATCAATCTTACCATTTACAGTCTTGTTGTCATGAGTACCCATAACAGTTGGTCTGGATTCAATGATTTCCTCAACAGTTGATGATGTGGATTCGATAATTTCCTCGATAACAGTTGATGATGTGGATTCAGTCATTTCCTCGATAACAGTTGATGATGTGGATTCGACAATTTCTTCGACAACCGTTGATGGAATGATTTCAACCTCGGATGATTGTTTTGAAAGACTACTGAACGTATAATTCAGTAGCCCATCTGAAGAGCTTCGTCGCATAATGGTATTTGGAGGTTTTGGAACCTCAGTGTTTTCCTATATCAAATAATGTTTTAGCCATTAAATTCAATCAAGTCTACCAACACGTAGCTTTTAACACTAGATGTTGGTCGATACATTTATAATATTTACAACAAGATGATTCAACTCACCTGCTCAAGAGCCAAGCTTTCCTCAAGGAGATCCAACTCCTTGGAGTCCTCTGCTATGGCTAGCAGAGTCCTCAAAGCGGCCAAAATGATTGGATTATTGTCCAAATACAAGCCAATGGCTTGGTACTCCTGTGGAGTAATCTTTAAACATACAATTCATAATGTTATAAAGTAAGTAACAGCACTATAATAATACAATAATACAATAATACAATCAAGACATTCAAATTATACATATTAAATATAGTGCATCATTATAAAATACCTTTTCAAGAATTATAGGAGTAATTTGGTACATTTAATAGCAATAATAGGTGTTTGTAAAGATGGATGATAAAGTAATAAAAGTAAACCTATAAAAACAATCATCACTGAGTGTTAATAAACCAAAACCATAATATATGCATGCACTAGTATCCATAACCCAATCAGGCTAGATTAAGCTAGTGTTACGATAGATAACACGACTTGCAATCTTGCTGATGATCCTAGTAAATACATATTGTAATAGTAACTTGCCTTGTGTTTGAACTATACAGACCAGACCAGAACAGGAAATGACCACACTTTATAAGCTCGAGCAAATCCTGCAAGACAATACAACTCGATTGACAACTTTAACAAACAATCATGACCTCAACAATGTCCAAATACTAGATATTTGTTGATAATGGTCATGGCAATGGACATGATAATGGAAATGGCAATGGTCATGGCAGTGGTCATGGCAATGGAAATGATTATTCAAAATCTGATTGTTAACAATAAGCTTTTGCAAAAACATTACAGATTTATCAATCAACTATTTGAAAAACACAATACAATGTGCTTATGAGCTAAGCCATTTTCACCACCACAATGGATACGTTAATAGTCTGCAAAAACGTTTACAAAAATGCAGATACGCCATTGCACTTTCGGAGCTAAAGATTAGCATAATGGCGAATCAAGTTGCATTGAATTGTACTGCATTGCATTGTATTGAATGGCGAATCAAATTACATTGAATGGCATTGCATTACATACACCCAATTACAATCAAAACAATCCAATACTCAATCTAAACAATACTCGATAATGTCGAGATATGTTCGAGCCGAGTGCTAAATACAAAATCGTGAAATCCAAACATGTATAATGCAATTCACAAACTACATTATTTTACTCTCGACCATTTTAAACCTTGTTGGCGATCCAACATCTACTCACTCAAACCTATACACCTAAATACGACACAATCTTCATATACATATCATTGATGGCTAAACAGAAACAATACGCAACACAAAAAACAATTAAAACTACATATTTTGATTTTCGGATATACACAACCCATTGCAACGTTTGTTTGAATGGAACAAGATTGAACGGCTATTTCTTTATTGAGGTGATACTTGGTAGATACATGATTGATAAACTGCCAGAGTATTAAAATAGACACACATGTCTGATTCGTAACATACTCATATTATCACTCCATTCCGATATCTACACTCGAGCAGTATCACCTGTTTGATAAAGAAATACATTATTATAAAGATTGGTGTTAGTTCAATGTCTATAATCAACACCACAGGCCAAATCCAGATTCATATGTCGTTGAGCATCATACAATGTATTGCTTACAGTTTCCAACGCCAACTGGTAATCATCTTTTTATAATAAATACCAGTTGCAATGTCCTGTCTGCTACTGCATCGAGTCTAGTCGCAACTAAAGAATAAGTGGTGCATATTACAATATAAACATGACAGTTCAAATACTCACCATTCAGAGTAACTGGACTGAACATGATTACACACAACAGCATGCTGTGTATCCAGTCGTTACTGGATAAACAACCATCAGTTAGGTGCAGACCATTGTCATTCACCAGATTAGATGGCACATTCAGACAGTAGCAATATATCCACCAACAAGTATGTGTGCTATTTACACTATTAATAGCTTATACACTTTGTGACTACACTTTGTGACTACACTTGAAAGTGCAGTGTGTTGGCCATTGCAATTACTTTACTGTAATACAACAGTTTGATAATCAAACTGGATAGTTCAAGTTGGATAAAAGCCAATACGCGCTTGAATGTCGAAACAAGTCGAGAAATCCTTGAACCAAGTCACAGTACAGTTGTTGGATTGAGCATCTTGTGCTGTTTATGTCAAAAATGGTTGCTAGGCAAGCATAACAATATTATACTGGCAGCTGTATTGACGTAAAATGGAACTTGTATCGCAGTGACTATTTTATTTTGGAATAAGCAAATGGTTGAATTGTTGCAACTTTCTACCAGATTGTCATGTTGAATTATTTAAATACGTTTGCGTCTAGTTCAAGAAACTAATCTTGGCAATACAACTACACATGACAATCACCAGTAAACTAGAGTTTAGACGACAGAATAAATTTCCAATAATTTCATAGTTTGCCTCGTTTTACATAAACACGGCCGTAACATCAGTTTAGTAAAGATCAATGAATTGCATTATTCAAACATGTCGCAGCTTTTATGTTGGATTGCGACTGTCGTGGATGCAGAGACTTGTACTGTCTATATCTTTATTTGTAGTATCGCAACATCCTAGCCAATTGTTACATCATATTGGATTTCATATAGGTTTGTTTTATTTGAGCATAAACTTGATGTATATCTTATTGACTGACTGATGAATGAATTCATTTAGCTACTTCGTATTTGATTACATGGTTGTTGTACCTTTTTAATGCACAAAAAAATAACCGAAAGCGATGGAATGTGTTGGGAGTTCAACTGCCTTATGTTCCAATCGATCCATTTAAAGTGTCGCTTATCACATTTGCATTTTATGAAATGCTGGGTGATTATCTTGTTGGTGCATATATTCCAATTGGTATTAAGCTATTGCACGAATCTAGATTGCGAAGAGAATTGAAACGGATTGGCAGTGATGGCATGTATGACAAGTATGGGTTCACAACCAAGTACAACGAATTTTGGCTAATATCTATGGCTGGTGTTTTGATTAGGATTGACATCAGTTATGGAGGTCGAAACCATGTCACTCTGGATGTATATGCAAATGTATACAATGGAGCCAAACACAAACTAGATCTAAAACAATATGACAAAGGGTTTCCAGTGATTGTATTTGTATACGGTGGTGGATGGTGTTCAGGTAAATCAGAACAAGTAAATGTATATTGATCGCATGGTATTGATTTACAATTGATACTAGGTGACAAAAATTTGTATGCACCGTTGGCGAGAACATTGAACCGACTGGGATATATTGTTGTTGTTCCCAATTACTCATTGTGGCCCATTGGATCAATGGATGATATGGTTCACGATGTGGGTTGTGCGATTAAATGGACATTCAAGCATATCGAGTACGTTGTTTGACTCGGGGTTTATTCGATAACAAACACATGTATTGTGTAAACTAACGAGTTTGTTAGATCGTATGGTGGAAATGTAGACCGTGTCAGTGTAATGGCACATTCAGCAGGTGCACATCTCTCCGTGTTGGCAATGATTCGCAATGCTGAAAAGTTGTCATTTTCCAATAGTGTTAAAAACGAGGATAGTTGTGATGCATTATCTCGTGTTTACAGCATGATCATGTTAGTTGATACTGTATTGACTGAATAGCAAGGTTGTTTGTTGTGGGATGTATTCATGGCTAATATAGACAATGAGTTGGGTGTAGGATATCTGGGCCGTATGACATTTCAGATCACTTGGTATTTGAATCAAGTCGTGGTATTGATGAAGTTTCGTGCATGGCAAGGTTACTTGGTAATTGCGTAGAAATTCGAAAAGCAAATTTTGGATATTTTTATACAATACTAATCCACTTATTTCAAACTAGATAATGATTACAACAAATTTCATCAAGCATCTCCATCACAAATTGACCATCTTTTTACCACAACTCAACTCAAGCTTATTCTAAAATGGCTTCCAACCAACTGGCTAATTATTCATGGCCAATATGTAAGTGGTTTGAACAGTATATTTAAACAGTGCTCGTACTGCACACAACTATAGCTAAATGGATATTACGAATCGATCTAATACATTGATGATGTTTAGGACGCGGTTGTTCCGTTTACATCCAGTATGAAGCTATATAATGCATTGAAGAACGTGGGTGTTGATCATATATTTCTCAAAACCTATACCCACATTGGCCATGCAAAGATTATATTTGATCTGATGCTTCCAAAGCAAGAGGTGGAACTTGAAGATGAACTGAATTGGTTTTTTGGAATGTGTGCGAGTGTCGAAGCATTCAAGACTCGACACGAGTAATTTAAACCACGTGTTTATGATTTCACTTTTGAATTGAATTATCGAATTTTCAACATTATTTGTCATGAATATCAAGATGGACATCAAGATGGAGATCAAGATGAGTGAAATATCAGATAGAATAACCAGCATGTATAACGACATCATTTCGGACCATCGGTTCAATGGAGAAATCCAACCTGAAACTAGTCTAGATGACCTACGTACACTACTAGCATCAAAACAAAACAAGTCATGGCATCTTACACTCGATCGAGGACATCTTCAATCGCTAGGTGATTCCTGTTAGGTTTTATTTTGAATTAAAAGGTTATTCTGACTAGTATGAGGTGTAGATTTGGTTGTTAGACCTATACAGTGTGTGAGAGACTTGAAACGAATTGTTAGAGCGGCTTGGACTCGTCAGCAAATGGTATCATCCAATCTTGTTCGTCAGCGTTGTATTAACTGGAGAGGAATATGGACAACACATCGACTGGCACTTACCACTGACTCTTCATTATTAGACCAATCTACAGCTGGATCTCGTATTCTCAAAATATTATCGAGAGATCTTGATAAACTCAAGGATTGTGGAGTATCAGATGGATCGCATTTGAGGTTTGTGCGCGTACGTCGAGTTAAAAAGAAACTTGGGCTTGACAAGAGTGCTCGTCATGATCTGAAACGTAATAGTATGGGCAATGCAAGACAGCAAGTTTATTCTACGATTTCTGCAATGCCTCCTCCTTGGAGAATCACGACTGCTGGATCTGCCAATGCACATGTTCAAGGCACCCCATTTCGTGTACAATCCAACCAGCCCATGTTGGGTATATACCAGTATGGAAATCTACCACCTTATAGTCACCCGTATAACGCATACATGGGTTCATATCCACCACCCATCCCTCGCATGTATTACCCTCCACCACCTAAATAACTTGCTGATATTCCTGCACGGTAATAATAAAATGTAATTGACTCAATTCTTCAAGGATTGACTGGTATCATCTTGGAGTCCGATATTTTTCGATCTGCACCTTGACTTTTTTCAACAGCGCTCGCTTCATAAACTGTTCTCGAGCAAGAGATCTGACATGTTTCAAGTATTGCGTCACATCGTTTTGTCGACTCGATCCTCCAAATCCTCTAGCTAGATTATAAATCACATCATCAATGGCATGATTCTCTGCCGAGAGTTCAAAAGCCCTATACACATCACAAGGTTAGATGACAGCTCATCAAGTTAAAGATAAGGTGATGAAACTCAACTGATTTTCTAATTTGGTTCCACCTATCAAATACGTATCAATATCTACACTTGGCATAGATTTAAGTGTATCGAGTTTTTTTTCAACATTCTGAATCTCTGTTTCAAAAGTGTGGCAATTCACTTTTAATTTGCTTTCAATGTCGGTCAGATACCTGATCAGATCACTCACACGTTTCTCCCCTTCGGTCAGCGTCTTGCTCAAACTTAGTAGACGATCAATATCAACCGACATGGTTTGATCAAAGTATGCCAGTTTTTCTTTTAGCTTGGTTTGAAGTTGCGTACGTTTTGTATGGGTTTCCAAAGTGGTTGCGTCTGGAATAGCGTGACCTGTAAAGCTGGGTTTGAGAGGCTGATGAGTGATGGCCATATTTGACATTAATGGTGAGGAGATACGACGGTTGGGTGGAGTTGAGGTGTTTAGTGAATTGGATGATAATTGAGTGGGATTGGATGGAATAGGACGCGGAAGACTGGCTGTTCCTTGCATTCTAGATGGAGACGGAATCGGTGAGGTTGTTTGTGGATGTTGTAAATCTCCATAATCAAACGCACCCGGTTGAACCTAACATTTCAAAATATATCAATTCAATCAGTAATGCATGACAAATCAAGAACCTTTGAAAAATGGTACAGCCAGTTCAATATAGACTAGATTTACCATTGATGTAGGTCTTTTTGGTGGTATCACAGGTGTGCCAGGTAAAGAAGAGTGCATTTGCGTACTATTGGGATTGGCAGGTAAACTCCCCTGCCCAACAGGCTGGCCATACTGCTGTTGCCATTGTGGGTATGCACCTGAACCAGGCTGCCAAGGAGCAGGAAATGGAGGTGGAGTTTGTGGATTAGCAGATAAAGGCGATGTGGTTGAATTGGAAGATCCGTAGAGAGTTGCTGGCGCAGAATTAAATGGAGCAGCAGATTTGGCATAAACCGGAGATTCCGCAGAAAATATCTCTTGTAAAACCTTTAAAAACTGCTGCAACGTCGACTATAGTAATCAATACATTCAACAATGAATTCCATCATATATACACCTTCATCTACAGTCGGTTTCAATTTTAGATTCACGTACATCTGGACGAAGATGCCAATAAGCTAAAAAAGGATGATACACTCTTCCACTGATATCCACATGCTTTGAAGGCTTGATTACCATAGTAGGTGTAGGTAAAACATGAGCAAATGGAGGTTGAGAAGGATACGTTGAAGGCAACCACAAAGCAATAGGAATATTATAAACCGAACCAGAGAAATTGATTTGGATTGTTCCACTTATACACAGTAAAACAAGCTGTCTACCATCGTTTTGTGCTATAAATGTAGATGGTTTGAGTTTTTATGACACAAGAATTAAAATAATAATAAAATCGAGTTTCTCAACTATAAAGATCGGTCTTTGGACCCAGACCAGGATGATCCTTGAGCACTGCTTCTACATCCATAATCGATCGATCTGGAGATTGGTACTGGTATTGAATTTGATGAAAACAGACAGTTCAATGACAATCCATTCGTTGAGTATTACAAATGAGATTCAATAGACATCACAAGAGTTAGTTTATCAATGTATTCAAGACATTCCAACTAGACGAATACAACAAAGAGATATAGCAAGGGTTATAGTCATGACAGGAATAAACACTCAAAAACGGTATTCTTTGTTAAAGGAAATCTGTGCATTAGAGTATGACAGCAGTATTGTATAAAGACTAGACCATCCAACTGTTCAGCCAGATAATTGTTGAATTGAGCAACTGAACTTGATACTGACTGTAATCTTGCATCTCAACAAGAGTTTGAATTCATACTTCAACTCATGCATTCTAAAGAATGTTCTGACAAGAGTCGACTCACAGTTCTCAATACTTGTCGCAACCACTCTCGAACTGAGCTCGACATGCTTCAAATAATTCAATAAAAGTCGGCGAATTAGTCCGTCTTCACGCAAAACTTTCGAGTTTTTGAATGTAAAAACAGTTTGAAATGTGTTGCTCGTCTTGAGAAATCGATTCGATTGCGTTTGTACAATTCAATCATTGACGTCACTCTGAATGAACGAACTTGTCGTTCATTCAGAGTGACTGTTTTCAATCTTGTAGAATCTCATATGTTCTAGTTTAAACATGCAATTCTACACGTTAATCATCAGATTGTTGAACCAAAAGAGTTTACTTGATTTATCATTCCATAACATTGGTATTCTTATCGAGTCTTGTAGCACATTAATGAATTCATTGATGTGTTGGCAATTTTGGTCTGTTGTATTATGTATTGTCAAATTAGTGTGAAATCCAATCTTTTGTTCATTTTTGGAAATCAGGCTTCAAAAGTGAACCCAAATCCAACACGACCAGCACTACCACGAGCGTAATCAATCTCTCCACATAGCTGTATACAAGTCATATAGTTAGTAGTTGGAAATACATGTAAAGAGTACAATGCATGGTTTTACCTGGAGACTGATACCAGGAGCAATCTTTTCTTCCAAGACAGCCGAGACTTGTCCATGAGAGCTTACCATTGCACGAATAGTAGTAAACACTGTATCCACCTTGAATCCAACAGATGCCATACCCTCTCGACGACCAGGTGTACGATCACCTGCACGTAAAGTTGAAGGTGTCATGAGCAATTGAAGTTCAGATCCAACCTCCAATCGCTGGTTGATACGTCTCCAGTAAGTCGAGCTAAACACACCAACACTGGGCATCCATGTAGCAGTAAATACTTGTGTTGGGTCCTTGGGATTGATGGGCATGTATGGGGATGGAGCACCAGGTGGAACAGACAGTGGAGTGGGCAATACAGATGGAGGCGGTGCGTATCTAAAGGCAAACGCAAGAGACGGGTCTTCCAAATCTGGTGTAGGTCTTTGATAGGTCAATTCTGCACCCAATGCAATGGATTTCGAAATAGATTGCAAGTAAGAGAGTGTATAAGTTCCGGTAATGCTAGTCTCAAAAGTAGATTCTGGCTTGGTGGACCACGAAGGTCGCGAATCAATCAGATTGGCATTACTGCATTTAGCATTTAATGACCAGTCCAAATCGTGGTGATCGTGCTCAAGTTGAATCATATTGTTGGCACCCTGAGCACTCAACAAGGCTTGTAGTTTTGAGGTTGATGTGATCTTGGGCATCTCTGGCATGACAGGTGGAGTAGGATGTTCGGTGCTATTAGCATGCTCGTGCAGAGGAGGCTGAGGAGGCGATGGCAGTGGAATCCAATTGTATTGACCACGAGCACTGACAGATCCTTCATGATCCACTTGTCCAACTAAAGCAACCTATTTGTAACATTACAGAAATGTCATATTTATAAAAATAATGATCATCCGATGCATAAATCAAGGATTAGAATGATTCATGCCAGTTGAATACAAATGAATTCAACAAGTAAAACGAGCGTACTTACAGTGGGAGTGGAGTAAGCAGAAGTAAACTGATACGAGGGAGGTTGCTGAGCACTTCCCCATGAGAGAGTGTGTCCAGTTTGAAAACTCTGGTTATGATGAGAGTGCAATTCGAATCTGGCACCATCAATCATGAACACTGTTGGAAGAACGCCTGATCATCATGATCGCATACAGCAAATGTTAGATTTCATACTATAAATCAAGTCATTCAATATGACTGTTTAAGCCAAATCAATCCACCAGATTGATGCAGAAGCAATCCAATCTATTTTATAGTATTAAACATCTTGATAGATTCACACATGCGACAAAAACAGATCAAAAGTCCTTGTTTTAAAAATTGAAAAACTAAACCATCCAATTGCACTCTACAAGATACAGACTAGAACTGACTCTTGACATGGGATCAATAGCTGTACAACTAGAAAGAAAAAAACTAAAAGATCGGATTCAAACCCAAACTCACCTCTAACCTCTTTATGAAGAGACTCGTAGTTTCCAGGACTAGGAAGATTCAAACTCTTTCGCATTTCTGCATATTTGTCCAACAGTCCCCAGAATGAGTTTGAGATTGCTGCCATTATCACTTTTGCAAGTCTGTTGAACTGCTGATAATTAAAGGAAAACCAAAAAAGAATTTCAAATTATTTTGCTCATAATTCACTGTTTGCCCATAATTTACAGCCAAATTCGTAAAACATTAAATAAGGGTCAGTTTCATGACATGTTTGCTGTCAATTTGTAACATGAAAACATTCAATTCTAATATCTGAATCAAGTGATTGTACAATGACAATCTTGATTTAAAACTATGATTTGTATTTTATAATGACATTGTGTGCATCAAGTCGATTTTCAATAGAAAAGTGTAAACATTTGATCATTATTCCAAAAAGTGTTTTGTTTTTTACGTGAATCTCATTTTAATCTAAAAAGACATTCCATCTAAATGGACATCAGCACAAAAACAAGTATCCGGCAGCCAATAAAGTCAACACAGTCAGACTATACACTCTAGATCTTTCACTATGGTTCCTGGATTTGGGTGAAACGATTGCAACAGCAGCATCATTGCCAGTTTGAGTTGTAGAAAACCCAATTTTGAATTTTTTATGATCAAATACTGTATATCTGAAGCGCATAAACCCAACACCTAGAAGAGGCGTAGAGTTGGGACGATCAGAAGTGGTAAACAGGATAATACAGTACTGACGGAATTTAAAGTACTGTTCTTCTGGCATGATTTTAATATCTACTCCTGCCAATGTGAGTATGATGGGTGAAAGGTTTGGGACTGCATTGCAGTCGAACGCATACGTGCCTGTACCATCTATATCTTTAGCTTGAAAATGAATAGCATTTAAAGGATCAAACATGAATCTAGGAAGAAAGTTGTAAGTAGAGCCACTATCAATGATGATGAGTGGAGGACTAAAGAGATCCTTTTGAGTTGGAACAATTTTAGAGCCATCTCTTAGAGTGATGTTGGTTAATGGAATACTCCAATGTCTGCCATTTGCAAGCATAGCAGGAAACCTAATAACCAATTGAAAGCCATGAGTCAATGCAAGAATCCAATTTTAATACCATTTCAACTCACCAACGAATGTCTCCCTTGAATAGACTTGGGTCTACTCCACCAACAGTCACTACACCAGATTGAACGTGACCATCTACTAGACTGGACGAATTGTACCAAAATGAAACCTGTGAAGCAGCAAACGCCTTGTTGGTATCAAGCATTGAAAACACACTCGTCGGCTCCATCACACTTGGTGGCGCAAGCCCAATGATTCCGTCGTGAAGTGGAGTGTTGGAAGTGATGGAATTGGCAAGACAAAGCTGTTGGTTGGGAATGCTTAAACCACCGATTGAAAGAATGTCTTGACCAACATTACATGTGACGGCAGTGCCATCAGCATATGTGAATGGTTTATAAGTGGAATTGACCAAAGAGAATGATGAACTAGAATCAAGTTAGTGAATGACAGTCTCAACTCAAGCAATTCACTATTTTAAACTCACCTTGATGAAGGTGTGAATGTAGCCATTGTAGGCTGTCCACAGTTATTTCCTCCAACACATGCATTGGATCGTAACCAAAACACTGCAGATCCAGTATCAAAGTGCACTACAAAATCCTTTGGTGGGGTTCCAACTTGGATTGTAGAAACCAACTAGTATATTCAATAGTGAATACCAATAGTGAATACCAATGATTGAATCGTAAATATACGTATACACGATGGTGCACAGCATCGAGTTTTGTTAGACTTGATACAAGTTTCAATTCAAACTTACAATCTGAGCTGCTGCCATGGAGCCCAAACTCACAATCCCATTATCAACCATTCTCGCTCCAGTCAACGAAGGTGCTCTATTGACAATCTGTGACATTCGTCCCATTGTAGCTACCTTGACTTGTATACTGAAATGAAATGTCAATCATTAGATTACTACCAGAACATGATCATACTATTGACTTACTTGAAAGAATCAGGACTTTTACTAGACAATCGACTAATGTCTTTGGGATAGAATGCATTGCTCAATACAACACAGATAGCTAAACTAGCAATCCTTAACAGCAGTCTTGCCATGACCATTGTAAGTTTTTGATGGAGTTGGTTGGCGTTTGATTGATTGACTCAACCCTCAAGTCACATGACTCTTCAAGTAACTCTTCACAACACAATTGGTGCCATCAGATTGATTGCAATGCTTTTTGGATTCTTTAGTTGATTGTTTCTTGTATGAATTCTTGCATAACAAGTGTTTTCATTTGTTTTAATCAACTCATTTGTTCAATATCCAACTCTTGATTACAAGTGATTTACGTGAATATAAAACAATAAGTCATGTATTCATGGTATTTAAATCCAATCCAACTCTAGTAATTTATTATAAATGTTTGAATCTTCAACTTGTAAACATTTAATGTTTATTCAAGTTGCTTCCAATCCGATTTAGAGGCCAAATCACTCCTAATACTTTACCAAAAACCAATCCTGCTGAAACAGCTCCAAACACTCTTGAATCTTGCTGTTTGATTGGGTTATCTCCTTCGACCCATACATGTCCTTGTGGAATAATCTGTCGAGTTGATTCAGGTTGGTGTGGTTGAGATTGAAGGTTGGGATGTACAGTATTGGTATTGTGACGGATACCATCACCAACTCTTTGAATTCGCTTTACAAGTGTCATGTCAGGATTCAGTGGATGTGTAAAGAGAACAATGGTATTGGATATACACACTCGCCATGGAAATAACCATGGTGAAATAAGATCTACTAGAACAATATCATCTGTGTTTTGATGAGATGTTGATTGAAGTGGATTGAGTGTGGGTGACATGGAATCTCCTTTTATACGAGCTATAGTTATTACTCGAGTGTTGATGACCATCAATGCCATGATGGGATATGTGATTCTTGCAAGTGTTTTGATCATTGAGTTGGAATTATAAAATAAATTTCATCAAATTCGTGTTTATTGAAAATACTCTTCAAAATGGATTCGTCAGTTTTATTTTCCAACTGCTGTTCGGAATCGAAATCCTGATCCTGCACTTCCACCACGATGACTGCTTGATCCACCTGTATGTCGTCCTGATCCACCCACACGTCCACCACGATGTCCTCCTTGTTGCTCTCGGTGCTGCATATATTCCCTCTGTTCTTGTAGTCCAAGTGTCACCGATCGAGCTTCAAGAAGCTTTTCATTGGAATCAACAAGCGATGCTACCTTGTCTGCATACACTCCTGCCATAAACTCCAATCTCGACATCTCAATGCCTGGTGCGGGTCGGTGGAAAATAATATGTCCACTTTGAGGATCCAACGAGGCATGCAACTCTTCACTAGTCGTCATTTTAGACACAATCGCATTGACACGAGACACTTCCAACTCAAACAGCTCTGCTAAGCTAGATAATCCCATGGATTCATAGTATGGTGCATAGGTGAAGATATATGTGCGAAGCGATTCTTCCTGAATACTCTTGGCTAGAGTTTCTTTGGCTTTTTCTGCATTCGACAGCAGGTCCCAGATCTTGATGTGATTAATATAGTCACGACAGCTTTTCCAGTCGCCTGCTGCCATAGATTTGGCTGCTGCCATAATATGGTCACGCACATTTTCAGGTGGTCCAATAAAAATCTGTCGGTCGTTGAAATCAAGCATACGGCGGAACGCCTTGCTGGTGACTTTACGTCGAGACTCGTGCGCGTGAAGTGCCATATTCGGTACTTCAAGAAGCATAGAGGATACCAAATATACACACTCAAGAAGCTCCAGATTGACATGCATGTGAAAAGGCAGTTGACGCTGTCGCTCCATTCGCTCTTGCTCCGCTGTCTTTTCAGCTGCATATTTGGGTTGCTGAATGCCCTGGGCCAACAGCTCTCGTGTCTTTCCAGAAGATGCAATATCCTGCAATGCTGTCGCTGCATCACGGAATAGACCTGCACGGAAGGCACAGAGTCCAATCTGCACCATGGTACGGTTGAACAAGACTTGCATATGAATATCTGTCTGAGAAATGGTCTCTTGTACATGACTCATGAGAATCATATCGCGTGCTTCGTGGTAGTGGTCGTGAAGTGCCAGGTGATAGACATGACACAAGAGGGCTCGAGTACGAATACGGCCAATAGAGGATTTGTACAGACCACGGCAAAGAACTGAAACTAAATCCACAGGGCTTTCAAGAATTTTAACAAGTTCAGGATACACTTTACGAACAGAATCTTCAACTGTTTTGATCACAACATCCGGCTTGTTGTACAAGTGTTCCACTCGACGCATCGTCATCAAATCAATGTTTTCACTGCTAGCCTTGGTGACTTCTGCATACTTGACAGCACAAACAATCGATGCGTACAAGGTGGTTTCGTCACGCAAACGGTCAATGTACTCGGTGCTATGAGGATCAATGCTTTGAAGACTTTTGGTAAATTCATCGTCAAGACGATCAACAAAAGAAGTAATATGGCCAGGAAGAACAACAGATTGACCAGCAGTAATGTGTCTATCACGGATATGCTCTGGAACTGTGTCTTGATCAGGATCTTCTTCAATCACATTCAACGAAAGAGTAATGTGAGGGTTTTCGTCCAACAAGCGCACCAAGTCTTTGATTTCTTCAAGAGCCTTGTTCCACATGGAAGAAGACATGAATCCAGAAATTGGAACATAGTCAAAGCGAGCAGGAATAAGCGCAGTAAGTACGCGAATCTTTTGGTAAGGTGTAACTGCAATTTCAAGGAGTTGCATTAGAGTTTCAACCTGAGCCAGTTTATCGGTGCTCTAGATCAGCGATATAAACAGTCGAGTTTTACATGAGTGACAAATGGTTTAGTAAAACGCAATCAGATATATTGAGTATAATGCTACACCATTCAAGTATCGATAAACATACTTTTTTTCCACGAGCCTCCAAAACCTCTGTAAGCTTGGTAAAAAGACCTTCGGGAGAAAGATCAATGAGCTTTCCTCCTTTTCCAACAAGCGTAAAGGATTCGTTTCCAGAGCCGGTAGGCTCACCCTTGCCCTCAGCTTCCTTTTCAATACGTCTAGCATCGCGTGCTTTGAGAGTACTTTTAATGGCTTCTTCTGCCTCGGCTTCAGACTCTTCTTCATCAACAGGAGCCTACAAGTATAAGATCTAGAAGCATTAGCAACCAATGATTTAAAACAAGTAAACAGCAACCATTGTCACTAGTAAAAATACGTACAGCTCTAAACTCTGCAATCTGCTGTTCGTATGTCTTGGTGGTCTTTTTAATTTTTTGCTTCATGGCATTTAAAGCCTTGGCAATGGTAGCATTCATCTTTTTTGTAGACTCTTTGCTTGATAGCGAATTCTTGATAAAATCATCGATTTGAACAAGAGAACGAGAAACAAAGCGGGGGAGGCCTTCTTGCTGGATAATGGCATTTGATTTAATAATGGCCTTGATAAGACGATCAAATTCTGTATAGTTGGACAAGAGTTAGTATGCAAGATGGTAAAAAAGTTGATAAAATTCCAATCTTGGCTATAACCAATGTATTGGCCAAAAACCTCGACTGGAATGGCAGCAAGTTCAAGTCAGTCAACACCGCATGATTCGTGCATCTCGACTCCATGTATGCACTTGCAGCAGTGAATAAAGCACAGTAGAATACAAATTGCCATCACAGATATTTCAAACCAATGACATGCACATTAGTAAGATGAGGAACAGCAACTCACCATTCTGAATGCTGATCCAGTCACTGGATTTCTTGGCACTATGCATGGCAGCAACAGCACTGCGCATTTCACCAAACTTTTTATCACGAGCAGATCGGATAGTCTTTTTGGCATCGCTATCATCCGAATCAACACTGTCGCCATCGCTGTCATCGTCCATATCATCAGAATCTGAGTCTGAGGAATCCGAGTCAGATCCTTCAGTTTTTGCCCATTTACTACGACCAGTCAATGCGGGTTTCTTTGTGGTGGAAGCAACTGGAGCATCTGAGCCCGAGTCAGATCCTTCATCAGTTTCTGATTGATCAGTGACTGAATCTTCTGAGAAATCATTGCTGGCATCATCCGAGTCCGATGCAGCACGAAAGAAACGAGACATGGTAGCAAAAGTAGTTGAATTGGGTAGTTGGATGCTTCCTTTAAATGAGTTGTTTGCTCTGAATGCTTCTCAGATGTTTCTCTTTTGAATACTTTAAGCGCTTCTCAGATGTTTTTCTGAATACTTTGAGCGCTTTAAATAATTTGTTGCTGAAAATATTCAAAATGTTTTTCTTGTCACGCGGCTTGAAATTCGTTTTTGTCAAAAGAAAATTCACACATCACGTGAATTGCCTCAACTCACTTTTGATGTCAAAATCATTTCTGCTGTTGAAACACTCAATCGTTTATTTTTGGTATTGTTTCATTCTCAAAGTCAAATTATTCAAAATATTCGTTCAAATTGGATTGTTACTTTCAATATCAGCTAATGCGACATTTTAGACTGATTTGAATCTACACGTTTACGTATTTGGCTCGTTGATTCTAGAGTTGGTTTTGTAATGACTAATTAGCATGTTCATCCATCGCATCATTTGTACGTGGTGGGTTAAAAACATGCTTTTTTTCATCTTGTAAATCATGTTTCTGATCAGACAACGTGCTAGAATCAATACTTGGAATGGTGGCTAGACCTAAACCTGTCGATGTTAGTGTCTTTTGAAAGTAAATAGGAAGTGGTGCCGACACGGTCAAATCCAATCCATCTCGAAACCAGTCTTTGATACTAAGCTGATACAAATGCAAATGAAGTGGTACTTTTTTCCAATCCGACACGTGCGCCTATGCATATACATGTCTTGTAAATACATGGTACATTTAGAATGCAGAGTAGTGTCAGATATTTAACACTCACTTTAAAGTTTTTCAAACACCCCTGTCCATACTTGTAATCTCCAACAATAAATGATCCAAGAGCATCTGCACAGTGTAATCGCAGCTGATGCTTTCTTCCAGTTGTGGGTTCCAGACACACCAGTGATGTCTTGTAGTTTTGAGAATCATGAACCAAGTGGTCAATTAACAGCTAAACTTGAAAAATAAACCGTCAATATACACTTACCAATGGATTAGATTGCAACAGTGTGACTTTGGTTACTGCTTTTTTAACTGGATCGCCATTCGTAGACATTTGTTTTGGAATACCATCGTCTTTTAATACATGATTCAAAAATACACGAGTCAGTATCCTATAATTTCATAGCACAAATCACTAGATTGCCAAATGTTTAAACTCACGCCATTCAACAAGATCCATCCTCTCGTGCGGTGCTTCACGACCGTTACTGACAATTCCCGAAACGATTTTATGCTGACCACCATCTTTAAAGTTTGAATGGTCTAAAAGCGTAGGCGTCAACAAAGCCAGATACTATTTAAATAAAACACGCATTTAATCAACTCATCTTGGCATACACTCATGCCACATAAATAGGATTACTTTTCGTGATATCCGCCCTTCCTGGCGAAACATGGCAGATACTCGTGCAGCCGATTCTTTGGTTCGAGCAATAATCATTGCTCCAGATGTATTCTAAATTTAAACGATAACCAGTATAAACTAGTTGGTAATCAAACGTTTGTAGTAAAATGTAGGTTTGCTTAAACTCACTTTATCAAGTCGATGAACCAAACGAAGCGTTTTGGATTTATCTGTTTCCAAATGCGAAATAAGCTTGTCCAGATGCATATCAATTTTTGAACCACCTACATTGTATAATAAACTCATCATCAGATATAGTTTAAATCAAGCACTAAACCTTTACAATTACCTTGTGAAGCTAGTCCATGTTCCTTATCAATTACGTATATGTGCTGGTCTTTATATAGAATACGCATTTTGAGTTTTTTAATTGCATCCTAGTCATTTATAGAAATGTATCTCAATATACGCATTCAATACAACCACTTGATATTGACAAAAGCAAATCGGTTTACCTCGGTATCATTCTGCTCAGTTTTGTCACCATGCGGTTTGGTTGCATACGCAACATGTACAACATCGCCTGTATGCAGAATGCCTTTGGGCGAAATCCGAACGTGCTCTGCATGTGCAGATCCAGTTACCCAGACTAAATTTGCATTGATCTTTTCTCGAATTTTTAATGTATTCATCAAAGTCATTTTACCAAGAAACTTGGCGAGTGTCAGTAAATGACAGGCTTCGTTCACCACGAATTGTTTTTCAAACATATTGGTTTTTATACTAGTTGGAACATATTTTTTGTTTGTCGGTCTTTTTTTGTCTGGAGTCAGTTTGGACAAGCGACTTGAAATGCGCTTTGGTAATGCTGGAGGTAATCTACCAGACGCTGTACTCGCTGATTTCAATGCAGGTGCGATTTTAGCCCATCTTTCCGCTGATCGTTTTGACATGGACGCTGGTGGATTATAAACTCCTTTAACTAGATCAAATGGAGACTTGGAAGCGTTTTTGGGTAATGATTTGGAAGACTTGTGTCGAATTTGAGTTGATTGCAATGGATAGTTGTGAGTTGTTTTATTCATGCCAAGGGTGATTGATGCAAACGATTTGAATTGTAAATCCAGTTTCAAACTTGCTGTATATTGACGAAATACACATTTACAATGTATCCGATGCATGAGTGTATTCAACATCCTGATTATCTAATATAAATGTTTTCAGTAAATCCAATTTTTTGACTTTTAATCATGAGCCCATCACGTGTTCATTTACAGTTCAAATAGCATATTGATGATATAGCTGTATTCACGCCAAATGGACCGCTACATACGAGTGTAACCAATACTTGACTATTGTTTATTCCAGAGCAGTTATTGAAATAAATACACAAGTGTTTCATTTTACGTGAGTATTGATAAATCAATTAGATAATGGTATTCAATTTTCAAAATATATTTAGTTTATATGAATCAAGAGTCTGGCTTTTGAAACCAAACAGTTGGGAATAGTAATAGACGATGATGAATTATGTGGGTCGAGGAGAGAGAGCAGTATATACTGAATAGGGCAGCGATTGTGATCTAATTTTGGACAATGCTAATCTACGACTTGCTGAGGCTGGTATACCCGTAGGAGAGCTTGGCCTAAATGGACTTTCTCCAAGACTTACCAACTATACAGCGCGTGCTAGTTAGTATTGCCACAGCATTACATATAGGCGGTGATAAAATGTACAAATGTTACCTTTTTGGTCATGGGTGTCATTAAAGTGGATTTACTAGGCGAAGCCACTGAACTACAATTCTTGGGTGAGAACGATGACAGATTGGACATATGCGATCGCCTCATTGGTTTATATAATCCACCATGCGACATTGACTGTTCATGTCGAAGAGGCGAAGACTGTAAAGACTGTTGCTCTTGTTGCTGTTGAGCTAATCTTTCTATTGCTGTTTGCTGGCATAGCAATGCGATTGAATTTGCATCAATTGCGCTATTTGCAGGTGTCGTTTCGCGTTTCACTGCATCTCGACCAGGTATGGATTCATTTATCACTGCCTCGTTTCGTAGCGGGGTTAGCTAGCAAACAATACAGTATACTTTAGTTTCAAACCAATGTTTAAAGAGTATACAAGTTCATGGTATATTATGCATTTACCACAGGCAAAAGCGATTTGATGCAAGGAACAAAGACTTTGTTGTAAAACTTGACGATATCACATCCACGCTCTTCACCCTCCATATAAACCTGTGTAAAAACCTACAAAAAACCCTCAAACCAATTGTGAGCATCGTAACACATTTCCATTTTGAATAACGATAGCCTTTAAAACTTACAGAATCCATAAATTGGGGCTGAAGATTGTAGCTTTCAAGAAGTTCCCTGAAAGTCACTGGTGTGTTTTCAAAACGACAATACGTGAATATACAGGTGATCATAATGGTATCCAAATGTCGATTCAATAACAACTGCAGATGTGTTTCGTTGCAAATTAGTGCGTCGAAAAGTCTCCATGCCATGTTGACTATATGCGTCTGTAATCGCATTGCCTTTGTTAACTGAACAAACCTGGTATATGCCAATTTAAGAATTTTTCCAAAAATAACCTAAAAAAGCATTCCGTCACATATTAGCACGTTTGAAATGGTTAAATACTCGCGACCCATTGACTAGGCGTACCTGGAAGGGTTTGAGCTGAATTTGAATGTACTGAAAACTCATTGATTGTGGCATTCCTTTAAATAAATCATGCACAACATCGTCTGGCATAATATCCGAATAAAGCATACACAGTTCAGACAATATGGGTGGTGAGGTAGATGCTCGACAAGGGGATGCTATATTCGATGCTATAACAATTTTAGTAACAATTCCATATATTAAACTTGAACATGTTTGATGCACCTTTAGAAAAAGTAGATGTGCCGGTAGAATATATAAACCAGTTTCGGAATTCAGTTGATGACCATATGTCTGTTTCAAGCAATCGTTCCTCGATCTGTTTTAGTCTTTTTACCAATGAGTCAGGTATCCAAACATGTGTTTTGACAACCAAATCAATTCCCAATGCAAGGTCAACCACATGGATATCTAAACCATCCAAAATATTTTGTGTCTTGGTAGATATATTAAACGTTTCGCGCACCATTTCGTAAGCTACAGCCATCATGGCACGATGGAATTGACTATCAGATGCTAGACGTGCCTGTGACTCGTAGGGTCGAGAACACCCTTTCTTGGCAATATCGCTAGCTAGGGCAGCATAAAGACGTGCACCAAGCAACCATGCATGGTCAAAATTCGGAACCCGCGATTGAAACGTTTCCAACGATGCTTTGGCTCGTTGAATTACCGATGCACTTGCATTTTCCAAAGCTGGCAGCCGACTCAAGCAATCGTACGGGCATTCAGGATAGTTTGAGACAAATTCATTCAACCTGTGTGTCACGGACGAGATTTCTATGCATGGTGCTAAAACTCTTCTTCTGACAGATTGTAGCACAGTCTTGGCCGTCAAAGGTGTTCCTGCCATGATATTATTCAACCCAGACGAAGCAGAAAAAGCGCTCTTGAGTGATCTGGCACCCGCACACAGTCCTTTTGTTGTGCTTCTCGGAGTACGATCAAATCTCATGGGTGTGGTTTTTACAATATCTTGGCTGTGAAGGTATAACATTGGATCGATTTCGTATCGATTTCGAACAAACATGCTATCAACAAGTCGTGTTGCATCCTCAAGATTACTGAGAAGTAAACCTCGCTCAATTTGAAATGCTCGAACATAAATACACCAGGGAAATGTATCTTTTTTAGAATAAGTCGTATCACTTTTGAGGCATCCATTTCTTGTGCATGTTTCTAATGCGTGAGTAAAGTTTACTATTAAAAGATTGACTTGATCCTCCAATACTTGAAAATTTGCAATGAGCGCTGTAGAGAATATACGAAAGCCGTCAAAAAGTGTCATGCCGGTGTGCTCTAAAGAAGCATGACCCATGGATGACATGATTTCGTCGAATGGTTTGCAAAGATTAAATGGAATTTGACTTGCAAAAAACAATGAAAATAAAACACATAGAGCCTTGTCAGCCTGTTCCAGGACTCCTTCTGGATACATTACATCTACACGAGTATATTTGACATGCATACAATGTAATGGTTAAATTGATTTTACATGGTCCATTCATATTTATCAAAGGCAGCAAAGTCAAATAATCAGTGCATCAACCCAATATCTACCTCGAATATACAAAAAAAGCGTCCAAGCAAACCGACGCATAAATCTTATGTGCGACATAATAGTCTGATTGGATGATCGACATAGAATATAGTCCAGTACTTTATCAAGCATTTTAAAAATGATTAAAGTGCGGTTGTGTGTGTCCATTGTTGCAAAAACACAGCGTTTTAATTGTAAATGTACATCTCTATTGATTAGATGTGGTGGAAAGGATGTGATAAGATCACTGAGCTCTTCAATTAGCTTTCCTAGTCCACCATTTACCACAAATTCTTGACCACTGTCATTCAAATTCAATATTGTCAAGTTAGTGTCTAAATGTCAAAAGTTTATGCGTGCCAATGTACCTAGTATAGGGCAGATGCTTGCCAATCACTCGCACCATTCTTGATAAAGTGAATGAATGCTTGTTTGATATACACTTGTCTGCGATCCATACTGCAAGCACACTCCAGATAATATCCTATATATACAAAAACTGTAAATGATTCACCTTTACATTCGTATTCGCGTAAAATAAAACACTAGGGAAACCAAAGTATGTAATAAATAATATCATCAAGTAATTGATATCATTTTACTAGACAATGTTGTGTTTTTTAAACTTTTAAAGTTTACTGCTTTTTCCTGGTGAATGACATGGAAACATTCATTCTCGAGATTGTTCTCAACTAGAACGTATCCGAGTTGTTAGGATACATGGTACAGTTTGGTTGGAAACAGTTGAGCCAATATCTGGATTGTGATGAGTTTGGTGATCGTGCAATATATGGTTATATCAAATGAGGATCCAATTCAAAATTGTAGTTTGATTGTATGACAAGATTGTGTTTTGAAGAACTGAAAATGCCAATTTCTAGTAGAAAAACGCAATATTCGACCATTCTCTATTTCAAAGTAGAATCAAGTCACTGCAGGATAGAAAAGTGTTCCATTTACGTGGAGATTGATGATAAACTATTAAACATGCCAAATTTGATTGAAATGTAAAATTCACCTTGTGTGCCTTGTTTATGGATGTAGATTGCAAACTCTGGTACCTTGTCTCCAGTATCCGTCCAGTTTGAGCAAGTGTTTCAGAGTCGAGATCTAATTCTAATGCTACCAAGCGAACAGCAGCGATTTGACTTGGTGGCAGCTTGACGTGGTTGGATACATGATTGTTAAATTCTGTATTTTCCATTGTCGTGTCTGTGGGAATGGAGATTGTCTGAAGAGGTGGTCGTTGAATCTCAGCCAAGTTTGAAGTGTTGGTAGCATCAGATGCGTCAGATCCAATAGACGCAATCATGAAACCAGAGCTTCGCTGTAGTAATGAGGATGATTCTAAACAGGGTTCCAGACTTTTTGCTTTTACTAACGACTGTTCAGATTTGAGGCGTTTGGAGTTTGACATGGATATACAGGAAGATGGAATTTTGAATGAAGACGTAGCTGAATCTAGGCTTGTGCTGACATTAAAGATACTGACATGAGTATTCAGTGCTGATGACTGTTTCAAACTTTGGTCATTTGAAATTGTGTTTAATGAGCTACTTAAACTGCTAGCGGAATTACCTACAAGCCTGAAACCCTGCCGTATTCGTAGTGGTAGCTGAGGTCTATTGGAACATAGATCTGTAGTTTCTATAGACTGCTTCTCAACCATCATATCGATATCTGAAGAATCTGGAGTTGGAGATGTTGCTGGTGAAATATCCATCACATCTAGGTCGCTTCTTTTTCGTTTCATTACTGTTGTGTACTACCGCTTGACAAGAATATTTGCACTGATACTAAAAAGCAAAAACACTAGATGAAGACTACGAGTGGGTATATGTAATTAAAGATACGAGTGGGATCTAGTAAATGAACGAGATTTGAGAATCCAGATAAGATATGTCACTGAGCAATGTCAAGGCAATGTACACTAGCACACAGTATTGATGGCGGTTGTTATAAATCTTTCACTCGATATTTCCATTTTACTACAGAACTGACCAACTGAACATTGCAGTTTTAGAAACTCCGCCATTCCGCATACGAAGCAAGCAAGACGCGACTTGATCATGTCGTTGGTATGACTTGCAGTTCTAAAAGGATTTGTCAGGATAGTTTACTGACAAAGCCTTCAAGTTTCTTGATATATAAAAGCAAATCTTGCACTGAGTTGGTGTTTATACATTATTTCAAATAGTATGGTCTGTTTTGTATGCACAGAGATTGAATTTGGATGGTATTGCTTATTTTTGAAAATCTAATTCAGAGATTCAAAATCATGGATAACGTCAGCCATGTTTTCCAAGCACTCTTGTTTGAACAAAAGTCTCCAATGTATATCCTAGTACATTCAAGTATACCATTATTATTACCACACATGGATGCTTTTTACCGAGTCTCCAGCTGCAAAGTGTAAATCACCTTACCAGAGCAAACTCATTGATGGTAATTGCTACTTCAAGTTCTTTTACAAGACTGTTTATCAATTCAATTACATTTTGATTACAACAAATAGATATTCATTTTCAATGAGGATATTTGGTGAGCGTGTGTAGATGGCGTGATGTTGGCAACGGTTGAAAAGGCTCGCTAGAAGGAATGTTTCGAGTTAAAGGAACGAGACCACGATTGTGATATTTGATATTAGGAAGAGCATATACGTAATGATCAAATATCAGTGAATTGAGCAGAGCAGTTGGGAGATGGAGCAATGCAAGCGATTGGAAAGCAATAGCATCTCCAAGATTCAATACTTGTCATGCGGCATGTTACAAAGATGAATGTTGGGACTCCGCCTTACGATTTGCCACAACCTAGTAGAAAAGCAGCACCGTCACGCTTGGGTTTATAAATATGAGTGAGGCGGAGCAAGACTTTAAGACCTACTCAATTATACATGCCGAATGAGGGAAATATGAGGGAAATTCTTGATTGAATATCTCGAACCGGGAGAATGTATTGGTTCTGCTGAAAACCTCCGACATTACTACATGAATAATCGACGCTTGATATTTTGCTGGTTTTTTAATGCAGATTGTTTTTATTCCTCGAATCAGATAACTGTTACAATAATATTAATACTGCTTCTTATTCAACTCTAAAAAAGCGTGCATTTGGGAATAGCTTCGACTTTATAGTCAGTGTAGTTATTTAACAACTCAGAGTAGTGGATAGTTGGAATATCAGGTATCTACCAAGCTTACACCAGTGTTTAATACACCTGTTGGTCAACCTGTAGATCTGCTTGTTGAAAAACAGCTTATTGTATTTGCATCTAGTTACTATTAATCTACGATCTGGCTTACTTGGCTTTATTAAAGATTTGAATATACTTGTGCGATAACCATCTTGTACCTGGCGACTCTCACTTGGTGTTTACACTATTGGTGATTTTACTATTCTACCAGATCTAGTCCATTAATACCACTGCTTTAGTTGGCATTACAGACTCGACCCATATTTATACTTGCATCTCGGACAGTATTTCTAACATCTTTTCTATTTATTACTATGCGTCAAACACTAAATGATTTTATGTCCGAACACTCGCTATCTTTACAAACTTTTGTCCAGTAACACTTTACACTGCTATTATAATGGTGGGTGTTTCTACTACTGACGAAAACCGCAAGCCAATGGATAACATGTAAGAGTTTTCTAGTTGAACTATTCTATTCAAGCCAGATTTGTATTGGTGCTTTACAAGACAGTCAAAAACCCTTTCATTTGAGTTTGACTTGTTTCATGACTTTTGCTCAGATACTTTCTGCGCACTATTCAGTTGGTTCGACTTCATCTTGAATCTAAATCATGGTGGCCATGTCCAAGATGTTTTGCCACGTTTTGTAAATGTCAAATACACGCGTAGTTGACATTAAAATCGACGATCGCTGTGTGCAATCTGGAACGGTTGCATCCCATATAAATCATGCTAACATGTCTAAATGCTCATCTTTTATTAGAAATCATATTGGGTCTATCATACTTCCGACTCCAAGTACTACACCTACCTCTCCTGTATGTACATTGATTTGTATTGAATGATTTGATCATTGGAACTGGAAACTAATCACTCTTGCACTCATTCATCCGTGACTAATCTCTTTTGATTCAAAAGATCGATACCACATCAAATAATCTATATTTTAAAAACAAAAAAGAGTCTGCATTCTCCACTGATACAATAACATCCAAAATTCATGACCCATTCAAACACCCCGACATGATCAAATCCTCACAATCTGCATTAGCCACACCAAAACCCGATACTCCTCAAAGACTGATTAAAGGTACTTGTGGTTTTGTAAACAATCATAGTTTGACTGTCATTGAAAGAACCGCATGGTTTGGTTAAGCTGTTGATTTGAATGATGTCATTTCAATCGACTGTTTAAATAATCTTGTTTAATTCCAATATTTGTTTTATACAAGTTTTTTTCGAGTCAAATTTAAACCAAAAGGATGCCGGTGAGCTGATTCTAGAAACAGACGAAGATTTGGAATGTGCAGATATTCTAGATTTGAGCACGGCTACACCTCCAATGTCAAAAAATCGATGCTATTTAGCTAGAATTCAGACTCCTTCACTCATTCAACCCACACCATTTCAATCATCACTACAATCTTTACTAGCGCATTCAAGTCCAATTACTCCTCATTTTCTTTCGCAAAAACCTAGCAACTCCCTTCTTTCAACCCCACTTGCTCAGTATCTTAGTTCTACCATGGGGATGTCTTCCAATGTATGCAATCAGCTGAAACAGTGCGTTCCACCAGCAAAGATGCTTCGAAATGAAGAATGTGATACCCTTGATTTTCAAAACGACCAACCAGAACTTCATGATACCAAATGTGCCTCTCCAGCTCATTTCAAAGTAGTTTCTGAAGACTTGTGTGTCGCTACTCAGTATGCCACGCGAGATTGTTTGATTGACGACTACAAACAGCTATATACAGAAACATTCAAAAATGTTGATTTGGAAACAATTCGAAAATTTGCTGATAATATTAGTAACTTAGAAGAGGTAATAATCATGTTTGGTGATGACTAAATGGGTGCATATGGTCGCGATGTTCACTGTTTGTATCATGTAAAAAGATCAACCATTGTACCAACTGATTCTATTTTGATATCATGACTTTGTAGAAGGCGGAGTTTGAATGTGTTTTGGATCAGTGGATTAACGATTTATGGGACGAAGCACGGATTGATAGAGTGATTCGAAAATCTGATATTTTAATGCGCCATCCTCAGCTTGAGCCGCCTACAAGATACATAGTTTTGGAATGGATGCGTGAGGTTGTACACTTTTGAACACGTTTACCAACTCAATCTTATTCGGATAGGCTTTTAATAGTGTCGTGTATCAATTTAGGTTTCTGCACAGGTGATTCAGTCCAGAAAAACATTTCACATGGCAGTTAAATTTCTGGATGGATTTCTTGCATTGAATGAAAATTTAGCCGAGGATGATTTTCAACTGGTTGCTGCGGCTTGCCTATTTCTTTCTTCTCGGTTTGAGGTTTGTGGCATTAATCCTGACAAATAGATGCTGTTTATTTATACAGAGTTGCTAATATCTGCATTGGTTTTAAATTGCGTTGTTATTAGGAGACTTTACCACCAACTTTGCGTTTTTTTGCAGAGTTCAATATTGCCGATGTAGATGATCAACAAGAGGTCGAACGAACTATTAAATGTACACGCGATTTTACAGAAAAAGTCGAGGCGAATTTACTTTATGTAGGTTTATTTTGGCATCATGTCATTACTATATCTCAATACTTTTGATTGCAAATTATTCAAGTACCAATTTTTTAAAATGATATTGTTTTAATTGGAATTCTGATAGCATATGCACTGGGATGCTTTAATTCCAACCATGGTTGATTTTCTTGCTCGATATTTTCAATTTGCATATACATTTTGGCCACAAAAAGAAACGCATTGGTTACCCACATCTCTGATGAACAACGAAGTCAACAAAGACTGTTTCAAATGTTTTTCAATGCGTCGATTTGATCCCTATTGGTATGCTTCTGCTGCGAGTATTATGGATCAAACGTTGTTTTATCCCAAATACTTGGAGTACAAGCATAGTGTGATTGCAGCAGCAGCATTTTGGCTTTCATGGCCTGACAAAGGTAAATTATGCCACTATTTTCTCTGTGACAATCATCCTAGAGTTGCAACCAACAACTGTGTGTTTAAAATTTCAGATACCCGACAAGAAGTAGCTGAAGCAGTGACTGGTCTCAAAGTACATCAGATTATGCCATGTGTGGAATTTATTAGAAAATGCGATATTCAAGTTGAAAATTTCATCGAGGTTGTCCGCGGTCCAATGTGGGAGTTTGTTGTCGATGCCAATGCCAACTCGGATGACAAATACAGGACACCATTTGACATTGTCGACAATCAAATTATGGGACTTCCGCGCGACTAATGACCAGATATATTTTAAGTTGTGGCTGCATGTTGATCAACATGCAGCCAGATACGCCCCAACAACATGATTTTTATGTGGACTTTCTGAATATATTGTTTTTTGATGCTTTATTCTTTTACGCTACATTTATATACAACAATTTTTGTGCACATCATGTCTAGAATTGCGTTGAAGTCGCCAACAACTGTGTATCTGGATGTTCTGATGGTGCACATACCAACTCATAGATTGAGAGATTATACTTTGAATTATTGAAAAAGCAGTCGGAGATTAGCTAGTTTTTGTTTTTGCTGTTGGAGTTTGGTTTTGGCTTCAACTGATATGCTACTTTGATGCTGTCGTTTTTCGCTACTTTTTGCAGTGTCTTGTACTTCCGCACCTTGCGTCTTTTTTCTTACATCAGATTCATCATCGTCATCGTCATCATACATATCATCATATATATCCTCGTCGTCATTTTCTGTGTATTCATCTTCTTCTTTAAACGTGGCCTTTGCCATTTCAAGTTTCTTTCGTTGCAAGGCCTGTATATTCTCTTCAATCGACCCCTTGACAATAAATCGAATACTTACTACCGGAAGTGTCTGACCCATACGATGAACACGATCTATGGCTTGCTGTTCAACTGCTGGGTTCCAATAAGGCTCCATCAAGTAAACACGAGACGCAGCTGTAAGATTTAGTCCAACACCTCCAGAACGCAACGAAATGAGCATGATCGTGACTGATGGATCGGTTTTGAATTTCAACATGGCTTCTGAACGAGAAGACAGCACCATTTTCCCCACAAGTTTACAAAACTTGAATCCATGTGTAAGAAGTGGTCCCTATTGCAACATCAGGGTATCATTCCAACACACCATGGTATATAAATGACGGTAAGCATGCAGGTTGCAGCAGTATTGATCCAAAACCATAGTATTACCTCGATCAAACTCAGCATTTTTGTCCATTGGGAAAATATAACACTTTTCACTGGCAAATCAGAAGCTTTGGTTTGAGATCTTACTTCAATTAATGAATCAATCAGTGCTATAATTTTGGTCGGATAGGTTAGCCAGTCATCACTTGCTACAGTCATTCCAATTGGCGTATACTCGTCCATCGGCTTGATCTGTGTTGATTCCTCATTATCTGTGGCGGTATCTATTCCTGTAAATCTTTGGATCGTGGTAGATGTAAGAACTGTATGGCAAATTGAACATGCGGATCCTTTTTCTGATTGAAATACTTTTGAGCAGTCATTACAGAATCTATATATTGTCGGTTATCCAACACAAACATGTGTCAAAAACAATTGCAAAATAGTTGTCTATTACAATACAGAGACCGTGCCAAACTTACAAGTGCCCGCAATACCCAATAAAAATTGGCTGTTCAACTCCATCCAGCACACAGTCACAAGTCACACATCTGTCGTCGCCACTTTCACGATATAGCATAAGCATGTGTCTAACTTCCTTGGCAGTATACCTGAACGTTTTCAATACAAGAGATGTATCATCTGCTTTGGCGGAGTTGTTGGCTACAAGACCATCTGCTGGAATTAAAGAATTTGCATCGTTGACCGTATCTAGAAACTCGATGGGATTTTGAGCAGACGTTCCACTTTCCTTTTTTAAAATCAATTCTCTGATTTCTGGATCATTTGAATTACACAATTTTGGATGTGTGCAGGCCTGCCGCATTCTTAAAATGACTTCCAAAATCAATATATAGTTTTTCAATACTGCATTGTCAGACTCGAGTTGTGAAAACAACTTTTTTCCTTTGGCGTGAATGGCATCATAGATTTCACGCTCCTTGGGCAATAGATCTAGTAGAATTACACGATCAATTTTTTCTGGAATTGAAATCAATGGTTTTCCATCCATCATCTGCGATTTGGTTCTTCGTAAAGTAATAGCCTTCATAATAGTTTGAAGTCGTGTTAGACCAATAGAGTTTGTGCTTTGCTTGATGGGTCTTGCAATGTAATACTTCCAATTTGCAAGAGCATCAAACGGCTGTAGTCGCAAAAACCGCAACAGACTGTATAAATCATCCATGTGGTTTTGAATAGGTGTGCCAGTCAAGCACCACCGCTTTTGTGCCTGTAATAGAAATGCTGCCCGTGCTTGCACTGTCGTTGATGATTTTATAATATGCGCTTCATCCAACACAATCCTATGCCAGTATATCATGTGTAAAGGTGGGGTAGCAGTTGAAGTAGTGGATTGTGAGTCTTCGCCTATATCATCTTCATAATTATCTGGCTTTTTTTGAGAACGCGAACGAAAGTAAGAATTGGCAAGAGTGGTATATGTAGTAATGACAATATCGTATTTGGCAATATGATGTGCATAAATCGATTTCTGACGACCATGATACACATAGACGCGCAGACTGTTGCGTTTTGTATGGGCTTCAATTTGTTCTTCCCAATTTGAAATCGTAGACAAGGGACATACAATCAATGTGGCTCGCGTTGGTATAGTTGCACTACTTTTGTCGAATTCCAACTCAAGCTTGCGTTTCTTGGACATTTCGGAATTTTCTTGTGTTCTAGATGCAGCAAATCCAAACAAGTCACTATGATGAAAAAGAGCAGACATGGCTGAAAATTGATTACTTGCTATACTTGGTTGTTTGGTTGATTTTGGTGGAAGTCTAACAGGAGTTTGTGGCATTGTTTTAACAATCAGAGAGATGACTTCAATGGTTTTACCTAGTCCCATATCGTCTATTTTATAATTACATTACAAGTAAATAAAAGGCATAAACAATATTGCTTTTGATTTGGAAAATGCACAATAGAATGCTACACAACTTACCTGCAAGAATTCCTCCAAGTGTTGGTTGCGGTTTTTTTGCGACTATTTCATTTGTAATCGTGTTTTTGTAAAAGCCATTTGGCAGTTGTGTCCAAAAGCCAATACAAGAAGAAGCAGCGTCTGACGAATCACCATTAATAGTTTCGACACCTTCTTCTCGATTTGTCATGAAATACAATGCCTGGCGTTGATGCTTGTATAGCGGAGTTGACAGCTTTGGGCTTGGATCCATCTCGGGTAATTTTTCAGCGGATACTAGAGAATTATACATGGATTCAATTTGTGATTTGGCAGTGGCAAGAGAGGTTTCAGCTGCAGAAGTTTCCAAAGCATACGTTTTAGGCATAGCATTGGCACGATTAGCCAGTAGCTCTGATTGGGGATTGACATATTCTTTCGAGTTATGTTTTGGTGTTTGAAGATCTATACGACAGTCTAGCAAATAGCTACCGACACGAGTTGCAATGCTACGCATACCATAGATATTAGTCCTGAGTAGTGCATGCGACTTTTGAATTCCCTCGATAGGCAAAAAAGCTTGAAATTGAATTGCTCTAAGTAGTGGAGTAAGCAGCTGTGTAATGCGATTATCAACAACTCCAAGTTCTAGTCTTGTAGTGTTTGCCATGACGTGCAATGAGTAGCGATGATTTTTTTCTACTGCAGAACGAACATCAAGCAATACTGGCATATCGATCTGGCTCTGAATGCTTGCTTGTATATTTTTAGAATTTATGTTGGTAATGTATGTATTGAACATACCATAACACACGATTGGATCTATAGGTGGGTTTTTTACACTGATGACTTGAATTTCCGGCGTGTCATCATCCGATTCAGTAAGATCTACAACACTAGTTGATGACTTGGGTTCCTGTTTTAATTGATTCAAGGCAGATTCATTATGCAAGTGTTGAGTAGTAGCAGCAGATGGATAGTGAGCTGTTGTGGGCATGGACTGAGAAGTTGCTGATATATCAGATGACAAAGTAGGAGGTAAAGATGTATATGATATTTCATCAGAAATAACAATAGGTTCGTTGGAAATAACGTAGCTAGTAGAAAGTTTAGGTTTAGCGTTTGAATGGCTCAAAGATGATGAGCTCAAAGGGGTTCCAACAGTATGCGAATGGCTAAATTGGTCGTAATGACGACAATCCGGATTCTTTTGATTGCAATTGCTGTTCATTGATGAATCAAGGTAAAAATCATGTTTAGAGTATTGACTATAATGATCTTTGGTATGTGATTGTTCAGAATGATGGCAGTGTTGATGAGCAGACGATGCAGTTTGCTCATCATTGCATTGATAGTACTTTTTAGGCTGATGGTTGCTATGATGTGGTTGAGAGTGCTCTAAAAAAGAATCATGGTCTTTACTAGAAGGATCCATGGCTCAAATAAATATATTAGAGTAGTGATGCTCGTCTTTATAAGCAATAACCCTGATTTTTATTAGCCGTATTCGGGTAAAATCAAATAATAATGTCAAAATATATAAACGGCCAGTTTTGATTGGCGACAGTCTGACTGAACGATATTACTTTTTAAACTCTTTGGTTGAATTAGCCTTTGTGCTCATTCCTGTATACAAAACTAGACATGTTCATATTACTGTTTCAATACATTCCATATTCTTGACATATTTTTAACCAACTTTTCTTTTTTTTTCAAACTCAACATTGGTTGAATGTCATGGAAACATTCATTTTCGAGATTGCTCTCAACTAGAACGTATCCGAGTTTTAAAAAACATGGTCGCGGTTGATCCCAACACTGGAATGCGATTGCTCAACCTGATTTTCTTTTGAATGAGAGTCATAAAATCACTCCTGATCCGTTAATTCAAATCACTAAATGTACTGCCACTGTTGATAAAAACAAATACAAGGCTCATATTTATATCACAATTCAAAACACCTCCAATCTGTAAGTGACATGCACGAGGGATTAAATCCAAACTATAAATAGATGCAGTCACTAAGCTACTGTATCAACCCATGTAGCACGGTATATAATGTGTCTTGTGATTGGCAAGTTGTCGCGATATTCAGAAACTTTGACCAGCAATGCATCGGTTATATCATTATTGGAATCCAGCTCGATGTGTAATGTAATGTGTCGTGTAAATATACCTGTACGTGATCGTGTATCTGATCTACGCATGGTCATAGTTATAATATATTCCAGAACATCAGATGGAATTTTACAATATGGGTATCCGATCACTGCAACGACCACACAAGCACAATGTAAGTGGCAATGAACAGTACATACTTCGCCTTGACTTATGGATTCAGACCAGTTGGACTTGCCCCAATCTACTCATCAAATACTAAAGTACTCAACTAGCAAAAAGTATACGTGATATCAAAATCAATATATTTGCCTTGAATAATGAGACGGTTATTGATTGTGTCAAAACTTGTGCGTGAAATTCCAGAAATTCATTTGTAAGATTGTACATGTTTTGGACAATACTTTCAACCCAACAACAAAGATATGGGTTGTTTTATCAATAAAAGCATGCATTTTGACTGGAAAGTGAATTTCTCAAACATACTGGCCATATTTAAATCCGAATGAATAGATGGTGCTTGAACCCCGCATATCAAACAGTTATTTAGAATCAGATTTAGAAACCAACTTTACGTACAAATCAGACTGTTGTAAAAGCGTTTCGTGTGTTCCTGACGAGACAATATGGCCATGATCCAAGACATGAATACACGTAGATAGTATAGAAGAAACACCCAATAATACCGTTTTTCTTGAATGAAAATACTGCCAAATCACACTTGAACTTTATTTGATATACTAACATGAATATTAAAAATACATTTTATTCAAATAAAGTCGCTTGACTTGCTTGTTGTTTAAACTCCATCTTTTCTTGCAAAGTAATTTCATCCTCAATCATTAAAACTACCTCCCGTGGAACAACCCTAACGGTTGTATATAATGGTTTCCCATCAATATAACCAGATACAAATGATGGTTGCTTCGTTCCATAGTTAGGACCAGAAGATTTTTGTAAACGCGCCGATCGTCTTTGTGGTTTTTCTGTAGTATCGAAATACTTTGGCTTGATAGTGGTTTTTGTTGGTGTTTCCGCTACTTGTGATGATTCTTTCATGGATATTGCTTTTATAGATTCAACCAACGATTCTCGCTTTGATAGTAAACATATGGCAATGGCTTTTAAAAATGTTGTTCCCATTGGTTGAACCAAACTGGAATTGACGTGAGGAGTATGTTCGGCATCATCATCATACGGAAAAGTCAATATAGCATTCCGGTCATTGTTTTCGACAAATAGTTTCCATTGCTTTTGTGTGAATAAAAATGTTGGGCAGTTGAACGAGTATAGTGCTGAAATGACTTGAATGCCTCTGGATGAATGATACCACATTTCTCCTTGTCCAAATGTCCGATGCGTTTTGGCTTCTGATGCGATGAGATGAACACCATTATCGTTGAGGAAATGAGGGTCGCATTTGCCTCGGATGTCATATTCATATCTAGCAAGAATACCGCCCACGATGATTTTGGTCTCAGAGCTTGCGATCAGATCAAGACCAAAACGGCTACCAATAGCTTCAACGAGGCCAGCAAACTGAAATTGGATATCGCTTTCTGACGCATCTTCTGGCAATGCACTGAAACGATTCAACTTCCTAATGATATATCCGTCTTGAGCAATTTGATTATATTTTTCTTCCCAGTCACTTGGAGTGTCCAATAGGGCAGCCAATGCATCGAGAGTACCAACATTTTGAATGTTTCTGTAGATAAATGGATTTAAAAGGCGGTGTGATAAGTTTGACGCTGTTGGCTTTCTGACAAGCACAACGTCTGTGCCTTCTGTTGTTTTCCAAGTTTGAGGTTCTAGTATCCAAGTAGAGTGTTCTCCAGAAGGTGGTGTGATTTGTTGGTCCATGTGTTGTTGATTTTGTTGTAGTCTTGTAGAGATGGAGTATTGTTCTTCATCCTCTGTGTCTAATTCAAACTGTGCTTCACCTTCCGACTCAGTGTCAGTGCCAGCATAGTCTTTTGGGTAAGTGCGAACAAGGTGAGCATCTGGTAAAGAAGGTATGACTTCTGACATTTTCGTTTGAGCAAGAAAATTGATAATACAAATTCAAATGTATTTTCGGCCATCACATAATAGTTTCCTAATTCTTTACAATTATAAACTGTAATTACAATTGGTTTTTGATTCAAATGAATTCAGTAGTTAAACCTTGCAAGCACTTAAATAGAACTACACTATATGACATTTATACATTGAATACTATTAGTTACTCACTGACTATCTAGTGTTTGTTGATTCCGGGTTATCTTGGCACTATTTTCCTGCAGCATTTGATATTTCTCTGCAAACCTGATCAAATCAAAAAAATGCACAAAATGTCAAGTTATAAACAAAACCACAATCTATTCACAAATGTGCATGCATTCATGGACTTGCCTGGCAGAAATGCGAGCCAACCCGGCACCAATCAATAAAATCACTGGGAATGGAAGAACCATCAGCACTGCCATCATCCACGAGTTTGAGACTCCAATGTAAATTCCAACTGTTAAATTCACCACACTTCTTAGAATATCAGCCAACAAGTTTCCAGAAACAGTCCCAATTTTCTCGGTCGAATCTGCCAAAACAAGCTCCAAATTTGTCGGCGTATACATTGGATCACCAAAAAACTCCATGTCTTGATATACTACATGTTGAAAGATCTTTTCGCGAAGCTTGTACATATTGCGCGATGCAGCGTATCCAAATCCTACTGCATTCATTACAGCTGCCACCAGAGAGCACATGCCAATAATGATCATTGCAAGTGACCAAAAGTTTGTAGAGGCAGTAATTTGGTCAGATGTGTGCAAAGCATAGCCTGCAACCACTTTTCCAATGACAAACCCTTGAAGTGGAGATTGAAGGCCTTCTATTGTACTTCCAATGTATCCAATGAGAAGATACGGCCATTCTTGTTTGGTTTCCAGCCAAACACGTTTGAAAAATTGAAATGATCGAAAAAGTCGATCAAATAGCTCGTTGAATGGTCCATCAGATTTCATTGGATTTGCTCCACCTTTGACATTGGTTGATTTTGACAAAAAAGGCTCTTCAGAACAGTCGTCCATAGGCTGTATTTCAGCAGATGCACTACTTCTTTTCCTGAGTAAACCATGCCTATTGTCAGCTGTGGGTGTATTGACAAGTGGGATGGCTGCAGTGGTCGAATATGCACTAGTTTGGCGAGTTTCCAAAAGTGTTTTGAATATTGTTTGAGATTCAGTTAGTTTTTCAAATGATCCATCTTCGGCAACATGCCCCTCCTTGAATACAATAATGCGAGTAAACTCTGTAAGCGAGGCAACGCGATGGGAAACACAAAGTATTGTCTTGTTTTTTCGAGACTCGATCAAGGAGTTCATGACAAGCCGTTCTGTAGATGTGTCTAAAGCACTTGTTGCTTCGTCTAAAATCAACATTCCAGATTCAGCTCCAAGATAGGCACGAGCAATGGCTAAACGCTGAATTTGACCACCACTTAGAGAAGTGTGCAAACCAGAAATATCAGTATCATATCCATCTGGAAGCTCATTGATGAATGTAGATGCCTGAGAAATGTTGCATGCGTTCTGCACGACTGATCGGGATACCTGATCTGTATTACCGTGAATGCCGAGACTCACGTTATAGTGTATTGAGCCATCAAACAAATCCGAGTTTTGACTTGATATTCCCATATGTTTACGCAACCACAGCGTGCTGATGGTGGTGATGTCCACTCCGTCAAGTAAAACTGTTCCGGAATCGGGTTTATACAAGCCGGTAAGCAAGTGCAAGACTGTAGATTTTCCACATCCACTTGGCCCAACAAATGCTACAACTTGGCCAGGATTTAATGTCAAACTGAAATCTTGTAAAACCCATCGATTGATGCGTGATGGATATCTAAATGAATACGTTGAATTGATTGAGTATATTGATTAAAGTAAATCAAAATGTAACACCAAGCCATGTCCATTCAAACACTTGCCTAAACCAGACGTTTTTAAATTCGATTTTCCCAATAAATCGCGGTGGTTCAATACCAACATGAGTCTGTCCAGGATCTTCCAACTGACCAAGCTGGACTAAAAGTGCATGTAAAACTAAAAATCCGTATTGAAACTCTCTGCTTGCCTGACCGATATTTCCCAATGCAGTGATACCGACAGCAATCTGTGAAAACGAGTTGAGCACATCTCCAGGAGTAATCTCATTGGCAGCGACTAGTTTTCCACCAACATAAAACGATACTGCAAATGCACAAAGCATAGTGAATGAATACGATCCCCAGCCGAATCCATCGAATATGCATTTTTGCTGATGTACAGCACACGCTTCTGCCAAATGGCTTGTGTAGCGAACTGATTCGTAGAATTGACGATTAAAAGCCATGACTGTTTTGATTGAAATAAAGACTTCGTGAGCAACAAGACCAGCATATCTGTACGATTCTCGCAACTTTTTATCGAATACAGACGAAGTATGGTGCATATAACCCAATACTGCTCCAACCACTGGGAATACTGCTAGGATTGCCAATGATAGTTTTACACCTAGATTGCATCGAGTATAATTGAAAGCATGTCAAGGAGTAGTATAATCAAGCCATATATAACAATTTAATGATTCTACTTACTGCTATGTAATGCAAGATACGATCCGAAAATAAATACAACCAAGTTACGAATCACCCAAGGTAGCTTTTCAGAAATTACAGTTTCGATACGATCGATATCACTAAATATCAAAAGAGGGTTAATACCATTGCAAGTTATTCAAGACAATACATGAATAGAAAGAATTCACCTTGAAATGGATTGAATCAACAACTGTGACGAGTTTGATTCTCTCCAAACCGAGTCTGACGCCAACAATGCATTCATATATCTTGTTCGCAGAGACTAAAATAATTATAATTAATATTATAAACAGTGAATTCAAGACATTCTTGGTTGACATACTTGAACTTGCATCTGAGCAATAAGTTTGAATACAAAAGATTGAGCAGCAGAAACAAGCCATGCAGCCAATGCAAGAACAAATGCATACATGAGCAGCTCATTCAAGGACAATGCAAACTTTGACTTTGCATGACTCTCATTAGGACTGATAACTGAAGCATATTCAGAGAAGATGGAAGTGAATTGACCCAACAATAGATTTCGAAATGGTTGAATAGTTCCTTCTACAATGGATAGAAGACTAGCTAAACACAGTAACCATCTTATATAAACTGGAACAAGACTATAAAAGGATGGAGTAGATTTGTGTGTATTGGACTGATAAGATCCAGTCAATGGTTCGAGTAAAGGACTTGTCTTGTCCATATGATGGTTGAAACCTAAACAACCCTAACATTCTGTTCAACTATCACTTTGATAAGCATAACTGTACAACACTATTCATTAACATCTAATGTTTTCTAATTCATAATCTAATAGTATTCATAAATGATCTTCTTTCTAAACCAATACACAATATCTATGACAACTTTATAAAATATAAATCTGATTACAAGATATATTAAGTTATGAAACAGTATAAAGAATGCATTGAAAGTCTTGAAAATACATTGACAGTTTTAGAAAACTATCGATAAACTGCACTAACAACTAACCATCCAATATTAAGTATACCACATATAGATCCAGTAGCTGCTAACATGACAGAAAATGGTCGTCTCCATCCACCCGTTTCAGGTGTCGTCAAATTCCAATAAAACAATGCAGGCATCACAAAACACATGATAACTCCACCTGTTCCTCCAACAAACGACAGTACATCTTCCAAAGTGTTAAACCACAAGGACATGAGGTACGTGAATACAAGAATAGATGTGGTTAAAATGTAACTGCGAGAATGCTCTTGCTGCATGGCACTATGTAGCGATCTGTGAGCATACCAAAACAAATTCGAAGTCATGTATGGAGCAGCTGTAATCGGTGAAGTAATGGTTTCTGCAAGAGTGTGGTAAGCAAGAAGACGAGTGTATCGAGATTGATAGGCAAATGTTGTCAAGACTGAATCAAGACATGCACGACACGGGTGCACTTGAATCGGAACAGACAGTGCAGCAAGCAAAGCGTACATGAGTCTTGCAAACGTAATAAACGGTGTGTCTGGAACTATATAAAGAGTGTTTGAATCAGCAAATATGATTTAGAATTGCTATACAATAAAATCGACAATAGCTTACAATTATCAAGAATTAAAACCATTGAAGAGTTTCCAAAAGCTAAAAATCCGCATATTCCCACAGCAAGATACAGAATTGCTACAGCAATAATACTCAGATCCACAACACGACGAATATGTCGAACTGTTTCTGGAGCAACACTCTCGCCACGATATGTTGCTCCAACTTCATTATAGACTGAAAAAATCTACAGTAGCAATATAAACCACAAACGTTAAAGTCAAAAAACACAACATAGTGAATAGAATGCAATTAAATGAGCTCACGTTTTGATGGCATGTAAACGCAAATATATAGATGGATATCGTTTGAAATGCTTCTATTCGGACAGAAAACCAAGGAATGTCCTCGTGTTGATCAACACCTTTGTGTGGATGTGGTGCAGAATAGCTCAGCAGGATCACCGCAAACGCAATATAAAGTGCAGCACCAAGACACGTTGACGAAAACCACCAAAACTCATCCACCGATTTTGCATAACACAATGGTGCAATCAAAACTAGAAATGCTATAAAGATTGGACCAACATTAGCATATAATCATGAATAGAAATACAAACTAGAACCAATCTAAACCATCAAAGTAAAATCAAACTCACCAAACATCCAAAACTGCGGAATTTGAAATAAATGGTACAACCACGAACCAACAATAAATTCAGGAAACAGCACTGCTGCAGCCTTAGGCATTGAATCAGCTATGGATACCAAATAGGATACAGCAAATCCATAGCAACAGGCCGACATGGCAATATCTGCCCACATTGCTCCTTGACGACCCATGGCTGTCCTAGCCAATGCACCATATGATGGCTCACCTTCTTGAATAAATAGCGATGTTTGTTGAGGAATACGGCCAGTACCAGTTCCATATGCCAACTGTGCAGATGAGATCAACAGTCGAACAGAAAACCATGTCGCGGCAGCTGAGCACAAAATTAAAAACGATCCATAGCCAATACCAACCGTGGCAAAAGCATATGGAATGCTCATTAGTCCGGTTCCCATGATGGTGTTACATAAATCAATCGTAGATGTAAGAACTGATGGACATGGTCGACCATGAGTATTGACTGTAGAATTGACTGTATTCCTGCGTAAAAACGATCCCTGGCGTAAATATCGAGAATCAATTGTTTCTTGACTATCTGATTGATGCAATTCTTCTGGTTCGGTCTTGTATATGCGATTACCATCGAGACTGTTGCTGAGCAATGAGTCTGCACTAGTCCGTGTTCCACCATAATCAGGAAATTCCATAGAACGTGCACTTGCAAACGATCCATGTATATACATACTATTGGTGGTAGTATTGTGTGAAAAACTGTTAGGAGTAGCCATAGATGCATCAAATATATCAAAATTAGGATCATTGTACAGATCAATAGGCACCGAAGGACGTCTTGAATGAAACGATCCATCATCACGAGAAGGAGATCCAAACAAAAAATGACTGCTACTACTGCTTCTAGCAGCCATTTTGTTTTCTATATTGTTGTTGTGCATGAAATAGATTGAATCAGAGGATGGACGTGGAATACCCAATTCAGTCGAGGGCGGATATTCTGGGCTATTTGGAAACGGCGATTGCAACAAGCTTTCATTGTCATTTGTATTGAAGTAGTTGGAGTTGATTGCAGGAGATAGCAGCGATCTTGTGATTGAAGACACAGTTGATGTGATAATAGGTGAATGGAACAAGGATTGAGAAGTAGATGCTTCGGGTGATTGAGAAATGTGCGAATTATCGTGTGAAAAATCAGCCATAGAACTAGATTCAGTTATTGAAGCAGGAATATTAGCAGATGATTGATGCCGAGAATCCATACGCCTGAGTTCTACAGAAGCCGGAATGGTGAATGAATGACGATGTTTAAGCGTACTGTGTGGTGTAGCGTTATTTCGATTGACGCGAGTGCTATAGGCAGAAGCAGCGGGTATATGTTCTCTTTGAAGATCCATAAGAAGTTGCTGTGATTTGTGTTTATGGTACAGAGCAGCTTGTCTTCGATTACTATTATTACTACTAGCATGAGTAGGATTGTCTATATTATTATCGTGGTTTAAAAACGGTGAAGCCATGCTCGCGCTACGATTGAAAACCTTCCGAACAAGCCTTCGTTGAGGAGTCAAATGCTGATGAGGATGTCCATTTTCTCCACTGGAATAACCATTACTACTGCTACCCGAGGCGATGGTGCTTTTCATAGCCTTGGATGCATGTTGGTGTAAAGGTCGTGGTGGTTGAGTGTAATAAGGATGTGGATGATGAACATGTCGAATATTGCTGGAAGTGCCATGTTTTACACCAGTGGTCGCAGTCTCGACACACTCTCTACTCTCTACTAACCCATCACTCTCTTCCACTTGCTTTGAATCCATGTCAAGTCAAACCTGGATTGCAATTTGTGGCCATTCAAGCATTTCGGTTGTTTGGTTTTGGCCAATTTTGACTATTTTGGCCATTTATTTTCTGTCAAGAAATTCATCTTTTTATACATTTGATAATGTGTGAACTGGAGTTGAATGTGTCGAGTATAATTGATAAAAGTCGAGTTTATTCGTGTTCAATACGAAACTAATCCCATTTTTCATGTACAATCCTATGAGTTTATTTAGTCAAACTCTTGTCATATCTACTATTGGATTCTCGTAATTGATTCTCTAGATCTCGAATTCGCTCCAATAACTGTGCTGTTAATCCTTCCTTGTCATGATTGCATGAACATGTCCAATCTATTGGCGTCTGAACACATTGGTCTTGCATTACTGTGTTAGGATAATTCAAAACAGTCTTGCTGCCAATAACAGCATGATCGATTTGCTCCTTGTCTATATTCACTTCATCGGTTTGGATATGCACTTCAGTCACATTGCGATGTTTGTTTTTTTGTAAAGCATATTCAAATAGTTTTAAATCCACCAGCAATTGTTGTGCAGTCGGTCTTTTTAGTGGATCTTCTGCCGTCATGCATAGAATAAGTGTGGCCTGTCACAATCCATGTTTTAAAAAACAATGCGTTATATTCACACATCAATTGTGATTCTGGAAATCTGAGCAAGTAGTTTACCTCTTTTGGATATTCCTTGACAAGCAGATCTGGAAGAATTCCTGATCGTAGATTACTGATCAATGTTGCTCGCTCCATTCCTGTTCGGCAGACACATAACAATTCAAAAAGTATAATTCCTAGCGAAAATATATCCGATGAGTGCGTGTACCAATCTGATTGTTGCGGATCAAGTTGTTCAGGTGATGCATACTACTCAATATGTAAGCATGTGCTGTGTTGATACATTTTAGTCTGCTGTAGAGCAACTTACAGTTATCGTCCCCACTCCAATGGTTCGCGCAACTCGTTTGGAATGACTTTTTTCTGCTGGTAAAACAGTATCTGACAAAGTGGGTGATAACGAAATAGGCAATTCAGATACAGTCGCCAGTCCAAAGTCACCAAGCTTCCATTCTCCTCGACTTGAACTTCCTTCATATGGTTTCCAATAAATATTTTTTGGCTTGACATCTCTGAAAATTCATGCAGTTACAAATCGTATTAGTACTATACTCGATCACTATGCTACGCATTATCTAAAAACATCAATTTTGGTCAAATGTCAACATAATATCAAAAAATACCTGTGAACCAAGCCTTGAGAATGGATACAAGCAAGTCCAGACAAAATATGACTAAAGCAATCTATAGCAGCACGTTTTCGTTTAGCAGATATCATTCTGTCAGTGCAGGCATTTTGTCTTTCCAGCCAGTCGTGTAATGTGTTTTCGCACAATTCCATTTGAATAAACAATGCCAGTTCACGAAAGTTTGGACCCTGGACACATACTGCAGATTCAAACAAGTCAGGTTGTTGAGCTGGCACAATAGATGTAATGCGATCGCTTTGGTGTTCTTGTAGAAATGTTGCATCACATTCTGGTGCTTTTTGCTCAAACACAATTTTTGAATATTCAGTTTCTATAGATGACAATACTGATTCTAATGAAGATGTATCAACACATGACGTGGAATCATCTGACAGATCACTAGCATCAGTAGAACATTCATTCGGTACTTGTACATGTTCTAGCCACGATGAATAGTATCGCACAACATGTGGATCTGCCACTCTAGCGAGTAATTTGACTTCTCGAAGCACCTGAATATATTGTAGTATGAGTTTCATATAGCTGTTTGATTACCTCTAATAACACAAACCAGCACTAATCATACCTTTTCAATGTTTTTGGAGTTTCGATCAACCAATCTGATTTTCTTGACAGCGTACTCACGTCCATCCAATCGATTGCGACATCGATGAACTTTTCCAAATGCTCCACGACCAAGACAATCCAGCTCATCAAAATCATCATAATATCTAGATGTTTTGGTTTGAAGATACTCTGAAAAATCGGATGGACTAGATCCTTCTAAATGCATTTCCTGTGACGGCCAAGATCTCCTATAAATGAAAAAGAATCAGCAGCAACGCACACATGATTTTAAGCTATAAAACCCGGTAAAGCATACATACCTAGAAGGTAAATTTTCCAAAGCGTTGCCGTACCACTGCGAGTCTACATTAGATTGAGAGTATAATAAAGAAAGTCGTGGCTGGGAGAGATTTTCATTTGGAGAATCCGATTCGGTATATATGAGTAGTCGTTGACTCTTTTCAACTGCATGAACCTCTTCCATTGCCTGCATAACCAGTTCTCGAAATGCTTTTTTGTAACTTTCTCGAACTGTGGATAATTCTTCAATAAAATCGCTCGATGCAATAATCTAATTTTACATGGTCAATGTTTTATGGACACGAATAGCAACATCAGCGCATATCCAAGCCAAAATACATACTCCCATTTTTGACAGCTGTTTGCACAAGACAAAAAACAGCTGTTTGTTTTTATCTCCTGACAAATCATACAACATACAAAAGTTCTAATGCATTGCAGTAGTCAGGGTTAGGCTTTCTGTTATGAGACCAAGCCAAAGCGTCTGATAATCAATTTGAACCTACTTCCAGCAACGACACAAGTAGCAGCTGAGACTGCCTGTTTTTTCGAAGTTTATCTCTGCGACCTGGAGTAGATTCAGAAGTAACTGATCGTTGATGGTGTTGAAAGTAATCAGATGAGATTCCTTTGGCTGTGTGTATATCTGATGGTGTTGAGAGTGGAGTAGACGATGGTCCAGAGTCTGATATACAATGAGAAACAAGCTCATCGTTTGCTAACGAATGATTAAAAGTTGAATTCGCTATTCAATGCAGTTGGAATCCATCATCAAAGTAATCATGTTAGATCCGAGTTATCACTGAACAAAGGTCTAGTTTTGATACAGAAAAATGCAAGTCTTTTGAATCCATGTTCATGTCCATGTCCATGTCCATAGCAAAAGGGCTGTTTAGAATATTGAAGAGTTTGAATTGATAAAAACTGAATATAAAAGTTGTGCCAATTAAGCTGAATGATATAGACAGACTCGATTGATATTTTCTTTGAAATAATTGAGCAACTGTACCTTCATCTTCAGAGTGGTTCAAACTATGATTTTCTAGTTTGTTCATTGAATTGTCAACTCGGATTCGCGTAGAACAAAACAGGTTTCTTGCATCGACTGTCTTGAAATAAGAAATGTGCGAATTATTTGCTTTTGTATTGAAAACTGAATGCGTCGATCAATAAAGTATCGCTTTTTTAAAATAGTTTTTCATGTTCATCCGACTCGTGCATTGCAGTTTAGATAAACTCGTTCGTGTGTTTTAAAACCTTGCAGATACGCTTTAATTCAAAAAGAACAATTTCAAGAGTGCAATTATATACGCCAGTCACCAAAAGACTAGTTGAATGTTACAAGTTTAAAATCACACAATGTTTTGCAGTAAATTAGTATCAATCATCACATGAAATTGACATTTCTAATATTTCATTCCGTATGAATACGCTGTAAAGCCATTTCAACGCGACGCAAGAATCAACCCATTAGTCAGGTGATATCATGTGATGAGAATTCACTTTGAGTTTGACATTCGTGAAATGCATTTCTTTTGCTTTGATTTGTAAACTATTATTAGAATAGTCGTCGAGATCCACACACTACAAAGATGAATGAAACAGATTTGACCAATATATTTGTTATTGTAAGTCGGATGATTATTTCATGTGTTTTATATTGTCAAACATTGAATTCACAGTATCTGCAATGAACCCATTTACAACTTAGAACAATATACGGCGCATAGAATATACTGTTTTTTCTCAGTATTCTGCACGGAATGAACTTGAAACAGACTTTCAGGATAAAACTGCATCAACTTGCACATTTCTGGAACCAACTTGTATTTCATCAATGACTGAAAATCCAGCCAATTTAACTATTCCGATTCAGCCAGAATCATCCACTCTGCAACTACCTCATAGGCAGCCTACTTTGCAACTTACTCGCATGTCGCATTTTTGTAAAACTTTTTTATATAAAGAATTGGAGCGGTCTTTGGATTTAGGGTTTGCTGCTGTATGGGCTCGACAGGATCTGAGTAGAATATCACTCCAAGAGTTTCTGGATGATGTAATTGTAGATCTAAGTGATTGTAAACTGTGGGTGTTTTCATGGAACATACAAAACCCTGTTTCTTCATATATACCTGTTTCCACATTAATTCGGGGTATATTGATTTGTATGTCTGTCGAGATGTTCAGAATTCAAATCTTGTGCTTACTATTTTTATTTATTTAGAATCAAGCCGTGGAGGGTTTGATGCGAGTCAAATCTATGATACAGCTGGATCGACAGAGAATAAATCTACTCGGGAATATACACTTTACCTGGAAGCAATGCATAATTTATTTGAACGGTTTGTGTTGCAATGAGATGTTGGAGTGCTCTGTTTAAAACATATAGTTGGAAAGACTTGAATGAGACTTGTTTCTCACTTACGCATGGGTTTGTAGGAAGCTTGGCTATACACGACTTGGATGCTATTTTTTGAAAAGTTTGGATGCATGTACTTGGCCAACGTAAGTAGGTTTACCAGGACTTGACAAGTTTATAGAATTTCTGACACGTTCAAACAGCCGTGGAATCTGTGTTTTTCGGCTGTTTATTTATCTGGTATACGGAAAACTGGTTATCCAGCCTGTTCAGTCTATCCTTAGGTTGGAGCCCTTAAATCCAGAATGGCTCAAGAAACACTCTAGTATTTCCAAAAAGGTGGTGTTGTGATATTTTACTATTAATATGTTGGCATTCATACAATTGCTAAACTGGTTTGATGTCAGATTAAAGTTTTTATAGCACCGCACGGCATTTCTGCACAGCTGATTCCATCCGAGTATGCTGACATCTACCACATTC